AACAAAAAAAAAAAAAAAAGGGTATCAAAGAAATCAAAGCCACATTGAATAATCATGACGATGACATACCTTCACAACTCTTACCTCCACAATGGCACACCGAGAAAGTTGGAAAGAAACGTGGCAGCGTGATCAACAAGCACAAAAGGCGTCTCTGACCGAGACTAAAAACGAGAGAATCGGATTAGGGCATGAAAGGCAGGGCCGTTCGATGGCTTCTGCTCCTTCTATAAGACTATCGGGAGGTGGCGGATCTTCACATGTGTACTTTTCCAAGAATTCAGGTCAAGCACCGCGGAACTTGGGCTTTTGGGTCCCAGTCGGCCCCAGATCCCCATGCAGAACCATCGAGCTATTGCTAAATAGGGAAGCGATGTGGAGATCACGACGGCGGACCACTGCCAGGGTAGTTAGGACACGGACTCGCACAAAAATTGAGGCAGCGTTCCGGGCCCTCACCTTGAAACACACCAGGCCTGCACGAGACAGATATGGCACACGTTCGTACCGTTGTTCTTCCCATGATCAGCAGTATGATCGTTCAGCCGAGGCAGGAATCGCATGCTCATGCGTTTCCAAACGTTGCTTTATCAGCGATGAGCTGGATTGGTGGAGAGGGAGGGAAATAAGAAGTAGAGTAAGCGGATGGATGGAATGCAACCCCGGGCCCTTCGCCTACTTTCCCCAAATTTCCCCATGCTTGGCAGGACATTGGATCGTCATTGGACTGGGGCCGAGCCCCGGAAGTGAGACTAGCATTAGCACTCTCAGTATCATAGTACTAGTGGGTTAGTTAGTGAGTAGTTAGTTGGTTAGTCAATGGCCAGAAACCCAAAAGCCAGCCAACAGCTCAGTTCCCATTCCTTCCGCCATGGTTCCTTTCCCCAGGGGTGTGTGGGTAGGACGGAGAGGCAAGTATCTTCTTTTTTTTTCTTTTTTTTATGCTGGCATCTCTTTTGGGTGATTGCTCCGGCTGCGCAAACCCAATCCCCTCTTATCGGACAGGGGCGCACAAAGCGGTGGCGACGTGCATTCTTGAATCAATTGACCCCTCCTCCAGCGCTCCAGCGACAAGGAAATGAACGCAGGAGAAGCACGCCTCGGAGCGGGGAATTGATTGGAGGGAAAGCTTGTCAGCTGCCCTCTAGACCGACGCAACTAAAATCATCCACGGTCACCATCCAATCCGGTCGCGCCATTAATCTAAAGAGACTTCCTCCTATTCCTAAGGCAAGGTACCAATTTTGTCCATCTTCCCTTTCTTTTTCCCTTCCTTCTGTCTCCCACCACCAAAATAGAAAATGCAAATAGAACGAGGCAGGGGGGCCAACCCGAAAAAAAAAGCAACAAGGGTTCAAGCCTCGATGGGACCCGTCCTGACTAACACACTTCTGTCAACTACTGCGTAACTACAATCTGGACCAACTAACTTTAGGGTTCAATCAACACGAGAAGGCTCACTTGCCAATCACTTGGCTGGGAAATCTCCTATCAAATTTTTCATGTGCAGATAGGGCCATGTCTAGATGAAGTAACCACCCGCTTCCCAGCGATTGGGTATAAATTTTCCGCAAACACACTTCCATCGAACCCCCAGGGACGATCCCTCGGGTTCTCGATGGATGATCATGAATCTCATCAGTTGCGGTCTCCACAGATACACACACACCAACCGGCTAAGCTAGAGAGAAATCCACATAGTTTCGCAGGAAATGCTGCAACCAGATTGCAAATATATATCACAGGCAAAGGAGAATGGAAACATGAGAAATGGCGAATGTAGGTAGAGAAAGGCGGTGAGCGAAAGTAGAGAATAGAATACATCACGCAGTGATTAGAAAGTATGGGGTATCCAAGAAAGAAATCCAACGCCCACAAGGCCGAGAGGAGGACACAAAAGGCCTCCGTCCCTTTCCGTGGCTGGAGCAGTTGCCAAGGCCCGCTCGAAACGTATAACGAAAGATCTGGGGGGAAAGATAGAAAAAGGGCGAAAAGAAACGAAAAGAAAAAGAATTGAAAGAGTGGAAGGCAAAAGCAAGTCTGAAGCGACTGCTTTGAGCAGTATTGAACGTAAAGGTAAACTCCAAGCAACATGTCGCTGTGGAACCCGAGAAGATGATTTGGAACACGGAGTAAGGAAAAGAAAAGAAAACGAAGAAGACAAGAAAGACAGGATGTATAGAGGCCGGAAACAGTTGAAACGACCATGCGAATATAATGACCAGAAAGCAGTAGCCGCTGAGCCATATCGTTGATGCGTCATGTCCAAGAGCGAGACTGCAAATACCGTCTAGGCCTCGGCCACAGTAGACTTTTTGCGGTGGAAAAGACTGCGTGTCCGAGATTTGCTACGCTGCTTTTTGTCGGGTGTCCCACCGTGACGACCACGGCCACGCGATCCGGTATTGGAATCATCATCAGAGAGGTACTTGTCTTTGTGGATCCTGTTAGAGTAGATGGTGGGTCAGTAGAACAGGGCATTATCGACAAACAAATGCGTCACTTACCAGCTGTTTCCAACCATGCTAATGCCCTTGGCTTCGGCCTGGCGGTAGAATTTGGCTGCCTTTTTCAGATCCTTCTTGCAGCCAATGCCCTCGGAATAACAAAAGCCTGCCTCCACGAGCGCATCCGTATCTCCCCATTGGCCGGCAACCTCGAAGCAACGCAGAGCTAATGATTTATCCTGCTCAATGCCCCATCCGTTTAGATGGCTCACGCCCAGTTCGTAGATACTGAGGGCAAACTGGGCACGGTATGCTTTCTGCAATTCCCTCACCCGGCTTGGCATGGCCGGGTTGGAATCATCCATCAACTCTAGCCCGACAGAGTCCACGGCTTTGCGCAACCACCGAACGCCCTCTTGCTGATTGGGTCGCATGCCCCAACCATGTCGACAAGCCAAAGCATACAAGAGCATGCCAGTCGGATGATCCTGCTTCGCTGCAACACGGAGGTGGTAGGTGGATTCTTGCAACGATCCTTTCTCATGGCACTCAATCCCTTTAGTCACATGCTCGTCTGCTGTGATGACGGCGGAAGATGCATTGGTCTTGGCTGTTTGTGGCCGGACAGTCGATGCAGAGTCTGCTGAGGAAGTGGCATCCGTTGTCTCCTCAGTAGCAGGCGCCTCGGGAGCAGGTGCGCTTGAGGGGGTAGGTGAGCTTGAAAGGGCAGATTCACCTAAGACCGGTTGATCCATCGACGCAGCTTCGGAGGGACGGCGAGCCTCGGGAGAGGCCGGTACTTGCGGGGCAGATGGAGGCATCTCTGGCGTGAGCAATTGTCGCCCGGGTGGGGAGCCATACATGGAGCGTGCTTTCTTGGAGGATACCGAATGACGCGAGGGTGGAGGTGACGGGGTTCGCGAAGACCGTGGAGGCCCAGTTGCGCTCAGCTGATCAGGACTCTCGAAGAGCGGCTGCTGCCACTCAAAGTGAGGAGTGTGTAGGCCGGAGAAAACAACGGAATCCCTGGAAACCTGGCGTCCGCGGGGAAGTGGGTACTTGGCATAAGTGTACGACACGGCGGATGATGGTTCCTCGCGCATTGATTTAGCCATATCAGCCACTGAAGGCACTACAATAGGCTGAGGCTTTGAACCCCGAGGCCTTGTGCCCTGTGACTGCTCCGAAGTTCCTGTCGGTATGGGGGCTGAGAGACTGGTGCTGGACCGACTGAGAGGGCGTGAGAAATTGTATGAAGGACGTGGAGGATTACCGCCATTGTTCGAAGCCTCTGAATTCAGAGAGGGCGAGCGTCGATGAGACCGGTTCATAGAAGTCATGGGTGACTGTGGCAGTGACGTAGCGCTACAGGAGGACAATTTCCTCGGTTTCGAAAAGGTCGAGCCCGCAGTCGAACTGCTATAGTCATCATCCGAGCTCTCGGGCTGCAAGGCCCTATTGCTGCTCGAAGGCCTCGATCGTGGCGAGACCGGTGGCGCCAGACCCCGTGGAATATTGAGTCGAGAGGAGGCAGCATCGGTCAACGAATTTCCAGGCGATCCTGTCAGAGCCATACCAGAGGGCGTGGCGGCATAAAAGCGAGGAGGCGCTTCTGGTACGACGCCCTTAGCTGTATCCTCCTGTGCCGACTCCGCCTGCGTAGCTTCAAGATAGTCCTCCTCCGAGCTTGTCATTGGCGGTTCATTCTCTAGGGCACTATTCGCATCATCATGAGGAGCATCTTCGTTGGCAAACTGCGGCACGCCGCTCAGACGAGGATGTTCGGACTGGGGACGGAACTTCGGCTCCTCCAGCTCAGGATTGGCCTTCAATGTTGGCTGCCTCGTGAGATCATTTCCTCGCCCACTCCGTGAGGAATCATTTGAGGATGAAGAGCGAAAATAGCCCGGTCGAGGCTGCGATAACGACCGTGCGACACTGGCCGGAGGAAGCCTGCTCATGCGCCGGTCTCTGCGAGCCGATTCCTCTAGTTGTTTCGCCAAAAGCCGGCCCTGAGCCGCGAATGCATCAAGGGGCGAGAGCGTGGGAGGGATTTCACCGTCAAAGTGTTCAATGCGCGGCGAAGGCAGACCGCTCCGCAGAGTATCATGGGAGGGCGAGCGAAGTTCGCCAAAACGTGGCCGGGCGTCCATGGTAGCACAAAGGTGGTTTCAATTGGCTGAATGCGTGTATTTTGGGAGATTAAGAATAGCACAGACGTAGCCTAGGTTGCCTTCAATCAAATCATCTAGTGGTCTGCTACCGCTATTAACCTTGGGCGGGTAAACTTGGGCTTCTTTTACGGATCGAAGTAGTTCGAGATAGTAGTCTGCAGCTGGTTAAGTTCAATGCGCGGCGCGGGGAGATCCTTCACGCCGAGAAGACGAAGGAGAGAGTCCTTTGATGACTGGCACCGTATCAGACTCAAACAAAGGAATGGCAGGCGCCGTGAGAGGAAAGAGGAAATGAGAATTGAAAAGAACAGGTCCAATGAGCCAGCCAGGTTTGTGGGGGAGCAACAAGAATCGAATGAATCGTGGGCGGCAAAGGAGCGACAAATAGTTTGGAGTTGAATATGGGGACGAACGGGGAGAGAAACGGTAATGATAACCGATTAGATTGTAGTGGAAACAATCACAAGCCAAAGGTAGGAACGATGAACAGGCATCGTGAACTCCGATGGACGGGGTGGGAGAGGAGAAGTGAGAGAAAGAGAGGATCGGATGGATAACGAGAATGGACTGACTTGGACTTGAACGTCCAGATTATTGGTTTGAATCAACCCAACTGCAAAATAAGCCAAAGGGAGTTTTCCGTTGTTACGCCCTGACGATCACCAAACAAACGAGGGGCGCCTGCATTGACAGTCATTCTGGGCAAGTCCCCACGCGGAGTACCAAGTCTGACGGAGGTATCCAGCCGTATCAACGTTCCCTCTGTATGGTCAGTACCGGTCTGTGACACTGGTGATCACGGGAGTGAGATTCCTGCAGCCTAAGCACTACTAGTACTAGTACCGTAGCAAGGCATCAACAATCTTCGAGCCGTATGAAACAAGCGGATTTCAAGGAGAAAACGCATACATCATTACTGTCATACCGTACCAGCCAATTATACATACCAACGGTACCGAGTCAGGGGTTCCAGACGAACTGCTTCCAGAAATTATATCAAAGTTACTACATACTATTTATTGAAAGGCTAAACAACACCCTTTCAAATCTCCGATTCTTGCACTGGATCAAATGCAGACCATAGCCCTACCATAACCTTAGCCCCTACTACAAACAGAGGCCTAGGTGTACGTGTCATAAAATCAAAGGCGAACGTCCCATCCAAAGCTTCTAGAAATTTTAAATCGACAGCCGGAGGCGAAGGGGCTTTAGTTTGGTTCACAATGTGTCGTTGGTGGAGCAGCCACTCTATTTATATTCACTTGCAAATTTTCCCGAAAGTGTATCCATGGACAAATGCGACAGACTCGGTAAGAGAGCAACAATTTCGGTTTTATTTTACTCTATTTTATTTGAATTATGTTTTGTCTGTATTTTTTTTTTTTGTTTTCCTTATTCTTTTTCCTCTCTAGCTTGATGTGTCCTCGAGACTCAACCGTTTTGTTGATTGCCTGGGGAATCTCAACCCACTCTTGACCACACAATGGAACTCTCATGACTAAGTACCATGATGACAATGGTTGTGATCTGACTTGTTATGATGCTCTTCCCCTCGACACAGATTAAGATAATCTGGAGGTGAACTTAGAATAGCAGCAAGTATGACAACATGCAGTAAGGAGGTAAATCTTACTTTGCTGCGCATCGTCCATCTGGGCATAATGGCGCTCTGCCTTGTTTCTCAGGCGCCCCACTGTCTCATGATCCGATCACCCCTAACCTCCATTCAAAGGGAAAGTGGAATAGGCCATCCAGGATCACAGAGAAAGTTTCACGATCATGATGAAGAATGGTGGTCCCAATTTCGATCCTCTCCTCTACTTGGCTATATGGTAGGGAGCTACTAATACTGCTTGCTCCTCTTCCCCCTCCTCTTTTACTGCCGGAAAAATTACTCTATTGATCTTGTGGCCCGAAAACAAGTGCAACATTGCGTATACAGGGGACGGTTGCACGTACGATGGTCTTACACTCTAGGTGCATGAACACCCGCAGAGGACGCTGTGATTGGTGTGGTGGAGTGGGTTTGGTTTATTAGTGTTCTTATTATTAACAAGTATCCCGTCAGGAACCACTCGAATCCATGAGATGCCCTGGCTTCTGCACCACCGCGGTAAAACATTGACTCGGTCTGGTTTCAATTGAAGGTTAATTGCTTACTATTACTTACATAGTAGTTAGTTGCACCTCGCGACTGCAGGTTGCTATGGTCCTAGAACTTACACTTCCTACCTACGTCAAGCGGGAGATAAGTGGGACGCAGCATTAGCTCTGTGCATGCGACCTTCATTGCCTCATAGGGAGGGTGATGGACATACATATCTTGGCATTCTTAAGACGGAGAGATATAACAGACACCTACTGCATACTGTGTACATAGTACGGAGTAATGCTGGGCAATGACACCACTTCTTTCCCCGCTCAAAGCTCACTATTGTTTGGGACTTAATCTATCCATCTGCACTTCATATTAAGGTGCATGCATGCCATTTGGATGTGGTGAAATCCTCCGAAAATCTCTTCAAGCTACTAACGGAATCCGTCCGTCGTCCGGCCACTTTTTGATCCTTTTCTTCTTTTCTTGACTAACCCATGATCCTAACCGTTGCATTATAAGCGAGCTAACCCTACTAACGTCCATGGTTATGGAGAATCAAGACGTGCGCCCCAAGGTAGCATCAACACTAGCTCCCCGATAAAGACAAGGTCGAAAGCCAAGTAGCCGCACCAAAATTCCTTCACGGGCTGATCCCTGACGGGGCTGATGTGCAGTGTACATACATTTTATTTTATATCGTGGCTGAGATCCTATCGGTCACCTTTTCTTGCCCGATTTTAGGCCCCCCAAAATATGATTCACTAAACAAAGCACGCTTCTTTTTTATAATAACCGCAGCAGACCACGAAAGGAGGAAACACGCACATGGAGAAAACCACCACAAAAATGCGCAGACTTGCCCCCTTCACCAGCCTTATGGGCGCAGACCCATCCCTTGACAGTCAACACTGCTTCGAAACCTCCTGGCTCCTCCCACCACTAGCCTACGCCATTTTCCGCGGTGCGATCGCGCTCTACATCTTCGTGACCATCTTCTTCATCTGGGGCTGGAACGGCACCCATGGCGACCGCGCAGCTATCGGCCAATCCTTCAGCTACTTCACCTGGCTGACATACTGGGGTCTGGGCTTCTACCACATTTTCGCATGTATCCATACCACCCTCTATGCGCTGACCGGTCGCTCGGTGCTCTTCGATCGCTGGCCCCGTGGCCTGCGCGCCCTCCACAGTCTCTACTATACGACCATCACGACGTTCCCGTTCCTCGTCACGATCGTTTTCTGGGCGATTCTGCATCCGTCTTGGTTCGACGTGACTTTCAATGCGTGGTCAAATGTAGGTGTTATCCGATCGCATTTGGTGTGGGTTGCGACTGTCGCATTTCTTGTATCAGTGTGCGACAGTGCTGCGCGAGCGTAATTGACTAACTGATCCAATTCATTAGCTCTCCCAACACGGCCTCAACTCCCTCTACGCCCTTCTGGAAATCATCCTCCCGGCGACTAATCCCCACCCGCTGATGACGTTCCCATTCCTCGTGTTTCTGCTCCTCCTTTACGTCTCTCTTGCCTATTTGACGTTCCACACGCAGGGATTCTACACGTATTCATTCTTGGATCCTGGTGAGCACGGAGAGAAGAGTGGCAAGGTCACTGCCTATTGCTTTATCATTCTTGCGGCAATTGTGATTATCTTCGGCATTACTTGGTGTGTTATGTGGTTGAGGAGGAAGTTGACCGGGGGTAAGGTGAAGCGGTCGAAGTTCGATCATGAGAGACCGATTGAGATGCGGGAGACGGAGGTCTAGGATTGATGGTTATTAACTCGTAAAAGGTGGGGTAATGTGTTGTAATTCCTAATGTTTAGTCCATGTATTATGGTAGTTGCTAGAAGCAGAGTTGATGCGAACATCACTCGGTTAGATAAGTTAAAAGGCATACAGGAAAAAAAGAAGGGGAGAATGATAAATGGGGTTTCAAACGCCAAGAGGGAAGAGAGCCAATCGTATCCAAAGCAATCATAATGCCGCGCTATCGATGATATTAAACCTTTTCCCAGCTCGTCTCACTGCTGCTTCCACTGGGACTGTGGTTTGGTGTGATGGGGCCACTTCTCAGGCCCAGCATCCATCCTACCAAGAAATTCGGGGCCCAATCGCCCACGATACTGTAAGACCATGCACCGCGTCCAGCATAGATGACGGGCACCTTCGATTTCTTCCTTCCAAAGATATCCTTGGACGCAGGCTCCAGCGCATCCAGCACGGCGTAATGAAGAGTCCGAGCATTGGATCCACGTATCATGCTGGGTCCCGCAGATGCAACGGGTCTCTGTTCAATGCTAGAAAGATACTGAGAGCCGTAGAGGGATCGCTGCTGCGTGGTCCATGTGAGCACTTCGGTTCCAGTGATGTGACTCTGTGCGTTTCGGTACTGAGGACCAAGGTCGATGTTTCCAAGTTTCAGCTCCACAACATCGATGTTGTTATGTTGCAAAAGACATAACTCTCGCCGAAGCGAGGTAGCAAACCCTGACAAGGCACGTGCTGTGGTGACTTCTGGGCTAGTAAACGGAGCAGACAGTGACGAGGATATCGAAGGGTAAATTAGGACAATGGTGCTATTCGTGTTGCGGGCAGTAAGAAGAGGAAGGAACAGCTGAGTTGTCAAGATGGGCGATAAGAGTCGAGTATTGACTGTATCAGCCCAAGAAGATGCTGGAATGGTGGCTAGGGGACCGGTCACATAGTTGGGTGAAGGTACGAGAATCAGTCCGCTCAGCTGGCAAGTGTGCGGCGGGACTCCAGGCATTGGCCATTGGGGTTGGGTGATTAAAGAATGGATTTCAGTCAACGACGGGTGAATGTCAGATGTCGATGAAGGGGTCTTATGATTTGATCAGTGGGTTTTCTCCGATTCTGGGATATGCGACAACTTACAGCCGTTAGATCAAGCCAAAGCGGTCTGATATCCATCCGATTTTCCGACTGAACCAACTGCTCCTCATCCGCCGATGAAACAGTAATATATACGATGTAGCCTCGACGTTCGAGATCAGTAGCAGTCGCCTTCGTCATCGGTTCGTGAGGGGACCCGGCAACAACTATCGCAAGACATTAGAGGGGCTCGTCACAAATGCAGAATGACTATAGTTGTCCCTGCAACATACCTACGATTTCCTTCCGAGCGCCATTTCCAGCTCGCCGAGCTTTCCTCCGTCTACCACTTAACTTTTTGTTGCCAAGATACAGAAGGGAAGTAGTCCCAACGAATGCTAGGATTGCGGCACTCCATGCTCGATTCCGAAGAACCCAGTCATGCGCGCGGTCAACAAGAGACTGGGAAGCACGACCTCTCGAAGGTGGTGGCGGGGGTCGGACCGAGGAAGGCAACCATGACTGGTGAGAGAGGGTGTCCCGTATCACTTTGGCGGCATGGTCAACCTGCCTGTCGATCGAGTCTGCGACTTCGAGGGAGTATCTCCTTACGTCATGCGGTATCGAAGCAAGCTAGAGGTGCAGCGGCTTGTTAGTGTGCGATAGCTGTACAAGTGTTAACAGATTACTAGCTTACATAGTCAAAGAAAAACTGGTCGTCGCTCGTCATTTTGAGAGTTTGTCGTGAGATTGGTAGTTCAAGCTAATTTTGATTGATGAAAAAGAATCTACTGTCACTGATAAGTTTCACTTATCGGAAAGGTCACATGAACGGGTATATATCGCCCCATCCTCATGCAGATCCGTGGCTGCTGATTTTATCCTAACACCATGGAGTACTACTAGTACTAGTACTGTGTATACCAGTATCTGATCTTGCTGGAGGTAGTATCAAAATAGCTGGCACCACTAGAGCATTCATCTAATGCTTCATATGTTTTACCTTTTCTCATGGTTATGCGTTCTTTGTACCGCTGGTTCACAAGCCCCCGACATGGCTGGAGTATACTATTTTAGTTCTAGTAGTCCCTGTGCCTGACCTACCAAGTCTTGGGATGACTACTCCTTAACTATGATGATGATCTTGTACAAATATTGCTCACATAATCTCTCTCCCCTGGACTATGTCACTTGCATTATTTGCCCCTCTCGCCGCATAGAACCATGGCCCCAGGTTGAAATAGTGTAGTCACGTGAGGCTGGTGCCTGAATCTTCTGTTGATTATCAATTCTTTACCAGTGCCACTTAAGTTCATGACGCGGCTTTTTTCTTTCACCTTCGGCCTCTCCAGGAGTCCCGTCCTGTGGGCCTTTAATAACTGTGACTGCGCCATTGTTGGATTGCGACAGAGTGCAACTCCTTAGCTTGTATAACAGTATTTCGTTCTGGGCTCCACTAGCCGATTATAAATATCGGAAGCAGCCATAGGCTCTGCAGCACCCTTTACTCGTTTTTACCAGCCTATTAATCAATAGTCATACTATTTGTCCTGCTGTTTGTTATATGTCTCCGACATGCGCGAAATAGACCCTCTCGTCATTGAATATCAACATGACAGGCACCGACCCAGGGAATCTGAAGCATTAACCATGCTCAAAAAGATCGCATCGCTGGTCAAACCTATCATGCGCCGGAGAACCTGGAAAGTAGTGACGCTCAGTGAATTCTACCCACATCAGCAAAACCTCCTTGGGCTTAATATCAACAGAGGCCAAAAAATATGTCTTCGACTGCGGTACCCTTACGACGAGCGTCAATTCCTCCCACTCGAACAAGTCATCGATACAATGCTGCATGAGTGAGTTAGCTAGATATGTGCTGCAAACTAGTTGCTGATAATTGCAGACTTTGTCACATCGTGCATGGGCCGCACAACCGAGAGTTCCATGCTCTCTGGAACCAGCTACGCGATGAGTATGAAGAGCTTCTTATGAAGGGCTATACTGGGGAGGGATTCCTTTCCGAAGGTAAACGCCTAGGTGGTCGTAGGATACCTCTTCACGAGGTCCGGAGACAAGCCAAAGCGGCCGCAGAACAGAGACGGGCACTGTCAACTGGGTCAGGGCAACGACTAGGGGGTGCTCCTGTACTACGAGGAACAGACATGCGTCGAGCTATCGCGGATGCTGCTCAAAGACGCATAGATGTAACGACGGGCTGTGCTTCGGGAGCAGAGAACAGCAACGAACTCGCAGAAGAAGCGTCGAGAAACGGCTTCCGGACGAAGGCTGAGGAAGATGACGCCAATGAACAAGCAATTTTGCAGGCTTACATTGACCTGATTGAGGAAGAAGAGAGAGAGAGATACGGCCCTTCTTACGTCCCCCCAAACCATGAGAATCCGGCTGGGCCTCGTTCAACTTTATCTCCTCCAATTGTCCCCGAGAGCACTAGGCCTACAATGCCATCACAACCTCCAGAACCAATAGACCTTACAGTTGATGACAGTCTTTTCGAGGCGCCATGGACGTGTCCAGCTTGCACTTTAGAAAACCCGGTCAACTTTTTGTGTTGTGATGCCTGTACAGCGGAGCGACCTCGGCCATCGAATACACGTTCTTTATCTGGACCTGGCAAGATTCCCGGTAGTTCAGGATCTCAGAACAAGAATAAGCGTCGCATAAGCTACCTGGATGGCCAACCCACTTTTAAAAACCGTACTAATGCCGTTGAGACTCTCGCCGAGCTTGAAAGGAATACCGCTAAACGGCCACTTGGGTGGGTCTGTCAATTCTGCGAGACTTTCATGGAAGCAGAATGGTGGACATGCTCAAACTGTGGGACGATGAAGGCCAACTCTTAAAAACCTATGGACTGCCCTCATACTGTTCCGCTTAATTGAGCCTAGTCTTCTGCTCTCCTGATGATTTCACGAAAGATGACGATATACGACTGGTTTAATGGGCATTAGAATTTTCACACACTTTTCTAGTAGTATATATTAGCTGACTCAACTCATCGGATCAAGGAAGTTTTATAAATAATTGGAAGTTCGATGGTTGTAATATTCTCAGTCCTTCCCTCTCATCTGTATAGATCTGATGACTAAGATGTGACTAACTTTAACTACACCCTCGGCCCATCTATTCGCCGACTAGCTATACCCACCAACCAAATTTTCCTTTTTCTCTCCATCTTCCAAGCTCTCTCTCTTCACAACAACTGATGATGTTCGCAACCACATAATGAAATGCTCTTTACACCAAACAACACACATCTACTAATAGTACAGGTATGCTACAATACTTTATTTCTCTCATCATGAATCCCTATGCCCACTCATTTCAAAATGCTGGGAGGGGGAGACAAGCAACAGCTCAATCCACAAACCAACAGTCTCCAATATGATGAAGATTTTTCTCAAGAACCGGTATTTTTAGGAAGAGCCGGAAGAGGTATGACGGGATACCCAATGGGATCCTCGTCGTCGATGCTTATAATGGTTCTTCTGAGTGGAGTTAAACTTGTTGGTTTGTGGATCGACTGGAGATGCTTTTGTCTTGTTCCAGTTGTTACATTCTTCGTATCAGGACATTGGGAACGGCGTGCTGATGTGTTATGGTTTAGGTTTCGTCGCTTTTTAGACTTTGGGTTGTGGTGTTTGGGCTATGTGTGGGGATTGTCCAATAGGTTCAGTGGTTGTACATGTGTAGTGCCATTAAGCTTGCTTTATAAATGCAGACAAGTCTATATTTATCATGATATACATACATAAACATGAAATTTAGGAAACGACCTGATCAAAAGTATTCCACATCAACTCCCAAGGATATAAAACTTTTTTAGCAGCCATAACAACGCCAGTCATGCATGGAGACAGATACGCGACGGTAATCAAGCGATACTGACAAATTGTCGCTTCTTACCCGTTGCTGTCGTCTGCTGCTGTTCCTCCCACTGTTCCTCATCAACGTAGTCCTTAGTGCCGTGTTCCTTCACCTGATTGCCGATGTACTGCAGAGCGGAGAGGTTGAATCCCATCTCGTCCTTCTGGCGTGTCAGAACCCGGCGGAGGGAGGATCGGATGCTATCCAGCATGGGACGCATCATCTTGCTAGCGATAATTTGACGATGGTGGGTCTTGAGCATGAAGAAGAGCACGCGACAGGTGAGAGAGATATTCCACTCGCGGTCGGCCCAGATGTTCAGGAAGGTGAAGAGCGCAGGGACCTTCGAGAAAGGCAAAACAAGCAGTGCATCTTGAAGTGCTGCGGCAGGAATCTTTTGAACGACATTGAGAAGATGCTGCTCGGCAGAAATGTTGCGCAGTGCCAAGTATAGTGGATTGCGGTCTGGGGGCGCAACGTTGGGCTGGACCGCTTTCATAGCACGCCACTCGCGCACGACTTCCAGATCCTCTATTCCAAGATCCAGAGCTTCCATGATGCGTTCTCCCGCCATGAGTGTCTCGCTGGTCTGTTTACCGGCGTCAACGGCTTCGGCCTTCTCGCCTTCCTCATCTTCCTCATCCACGAGGTTGTTGTCGTACATCTCTTCGAGTTCCTTTTCCCGCTCTTCCTCGAGGAAGAGAGGCTCATCAGTTTGCTCCCAGATACGGATACTCTTGTCGTGACTGGCGCTGACGACGAACTCCCCAGTATGACTGATAGTCAGTGCCCAGATCTCGCCATGATGACCGGACAGTTTTTGAATATTCTCAAACTTATCACCATCCCAGTACTTGATCACACGATCTTTACTAGCACTGAAAAAGTTATGCCCGTTTCCATCCCGGTTGTGTGGGACAAAGGCAACGCCCATGATACTGTCTTCGTGTGCCAGGAAGGCCTTATGACAATCACCAAAGTCTAAGCCCCAGAGACGGACTGTCTTATCGGCTGAGCATGTGACAATCAGCTTGCTGTCGTACGAAATATCCATGTTGAGAACAGGAAGTTTGTGGCCATAGAGGTTGAGGAAGAGCTTCAGGGAGTCTGTAAAGAACACCTTGACCGTATTATCCAAGAGAGAAACTGCAAGTAGTCGAGCGTCGGGCGAAAAACGCAGGTTGAGAATGTCATCGGAGACTTTCAGGGTCCTAGTATGCACCAACTTGAGCCGGGGTGTGGTCCTCTTAGTACCCGGAATCTCTTCCTGGACGACCTGGAAGTTCCAAAACTTTGCAGACTTGTCCGCGCTGCCGCTAACTACGGACTTGCCATCAGGGTGAACATGGAGTGACCATACCGGGCCATCGTGTGCATTGATCGTATCCAGGAGGGTCGAGGATGCAATGTCGAAGACTTCGAGCTGGCCGTCTTTGTTACCAACAACCACGATCTTGTCTCCAGGGAGGAAAGCCGAGCATAAGGCATAGCCACATTCTAGGGTACGGAGGCAACTCTGGGTGCGGACGTTCCAGATTTTGAGACTGCCATTAGAGGCTGATGCCAACATCCGATCGTCGGAGCTCAGAGCGAGTGACCGAATATCAGTGCGATGACCGGGGATATCGACTGCCAGGTTACGGTTGTAATCTTCGTCATCCTCGTCCTTCTTTCCCTTCGCAGTGTTGACAGTGTAGGCTTCAAGCTGGTTATTAGTGGTTGCAGCGACCAACTGGATGCTGCGGGTCGACTTTGTTCTTATCCAATCGAAAGACCGTACCTTTCCACCAGTTCGAACGATGGTGTGGGATACGAAGACCTCGGTGACCGGTGCTGAGGAAATATCGTCGGATTTCTCATTATCAGCTTCTGCCACGGTGCCCTCCTTCTCAGTTGCACGCTGGGCTTCCTTTTCCTTTCTCCTCTTGCGCTTTCTCGCCATAGCCTTCTGGACCTCTGTCTCTGAGCGGATGCGCCAGATCTCGACTGCCTTTTCTGAGCCGTGAATACCAATGTAATCCGCCCGGGGATGGAAGCTGACTCCAATGGTGCGATCCTTTCCATTACGGTAGAATGTACCCCTTTCCGTCAAGATCCTGCGGTCCTCTGATCCAACTTTCTCTTTTGAGATTTCAATCAGAGCGCTCTCGTCGATCGACCAGACCTTGAGCTCGCCATCATTTCCCGCAGTGATACAACCACTCTGGTCCGGAGAGAGACCCAAACTCCAGCATTCGCCGTTGGATTGTGCCACATGAGTTTCAATGCAGTGTTGCGACGAAAGATCCCAGACCTTAATCAAAGAGTCTTTGCCAGTTGTCAGCAGAAACCCGGCGTGCTCACTCAGTCCAGCAGCATTGAGTAACTCCATGGAGGGAGCGAGAAAATGCAGTGATGTGACCTGATCGGTATGACCACGTAGTTTGAATAGTCCAACTTCTCCAATAAGATCCCAGAGAATAATATCCGTATCCTTCGAACCACTTGCGAGACGGACACCGGCGCTATCGAAGGCGAGGTGGGTAATGGCAGATTTGTGACCATTGAACGAGATCATGACTGTCGCGGTCCTTGAATCCCAGAGGCGAATACTGCCATCTTCATAACTAAGGGCAAGAAAGAACTTCAGTCAGAACAATAGCCCACACCAGTCATACAAAACCAGAAACATACCCGACCGCGAAAATATCCTCATCTGTCTTGCTTTGGGTGACCACAGAAACTTGCGCTTTGCACGAAGAATCTTGCCATTTCCCAAGTAATTCACCCTTTTTTATATCCCAACAGAGAACCTCCTCACCAGCGCCCACAATGGCTCGTCCGGAGCCCGTCTGGCGGGCAGCGCCAGCGAACTCATCATCGCGGGCCCAAATCGCATTTGACGTAGCGGAGGCTACGAGCCCGAAAGTTTTCGAATGCTCGAACTTTCTGTAATCGGAAACGTCAGTAATGAATAGGAGTTACATATAGGACATTTAGACGAGTAGACTTACAGATATGACTTCACCATCGTTGAATGTCCGAGTACAGAAAAAATTTGGGAGCTTCCAGAGCGATTGCTATCGATAGGCTCAGAAACGGCCGGAGAAAACTACGGGCGGCGACAGAGACCACCGGCCGCATTCCCCACCGCCTGCCGTTCCCCCCAAACATCCAACGTAACTACTCCCCGAAGTACCAGCTCGAGGCAGAGACATTCGATTCGATCATTGCATTACTACGGCGAAATAAACAACTGAAGAAGCAAGACGAACTCTGGATATTTTGCTACGGTTTATGGTCCTGCCATAATGCTTCTTCTCGACTACCACAACGTTCTCATCCATGCCCTCCTGACGGAGCGGTTCTCAGGGTACAGCTGCCCCCGCCTCGCCCCGTATACGCAATGCAGCCGTTACTGACTATTGTTTGGTGCCTTTAGAGCCCCGCCAGTTTCAATCGACCAGATTGCCTCAGATTTCGACGGAGTTACCTTCCATCTGTCTACTCCCGAATCGAAGACGAAGATCCTTATCTCCATCAACGTGAAATGCTTCCGAGAGCTCGTCCAATATGGTGCCCAACAGGTGCTGGAGAGGGAATACGGCCCATACATCGTCGCTCCCGAGCCCGGCTATGACTTCTCGGTCCTTATTGATTTGGAGAACCTCCCCGAGGAACAGGAAGCCAAAGATGACCTCATAATGCGACTTGCGCTGATGAAGCGGAATGCAATGGCTGCCCCGTTCGAGAGAGCTTTCGATGACTTCGCCAAGCTATCGGAAGAAGCTTCAAAATACAGCACAGAGGCGGCCCCTCAGGGTGTTAAGGAGGGAGGAGAAGTTATGGCAATCCACTATCGGGAGGAGGAAGCTATCTACATCAAAGCCAGTCATGACCGAGTTACCGTGATCTTCAGCACAGTCTTCCGTGAAGAGACAGATCGTATCTTTGGCAAAGTATTCCTCCAGGAGTTTGTCGACGCCAGGCGCCGTGCCTTGACTCTGCAAAACGCGCCTCAAGTCCTTTTCCGGAACGACCCCCCACTTGAATTGGCCGGTGTTCCTGGCCTGAAGGATAGCGGCGATGGCAAGACCAGCTACGTCACTTTCGGTAATACTCCCGGTTTCTGCCCAACCGCAAGTTACTAACAGTATCCAGTTCTCTTCCCCCGTCACTTGACTCCTCAGCGCCGCTACGAAAACATCTCCCACATTCAAATCTTCCGGGATTACTTCCACTACCACATTAAGGCGTCCAAGGTACCGTCCTTTGTTATTGATACAAGTGTCGGACTATTTACTTACTTCCACAGGCATACATCCACACCCGTATGCGCAAGAGGACAGCCGACTTCCTTCAGGGTAAGTGGGGACGAATATCGTTGCTGAGTTACTGGATACTGACAAATAATAGTCCTCAACAGAGCTCGGCCAGAGAACGAGGAGCGGGAAAGGAAGACGGCCAGTGGCCGGACATTCCGGGTTCAGAGTTAGGCGTATTGTATATTTTGTTTCTAGGCAGAGGAGCCGGAGGTGCAACAGCAAGCCGCGATGTGATTTATTGAGAATGTATAGACTGCAGCAAAACACTTTTTTCTCTTCACTCCTTTTACCTACCTATAACATTCCGTTAATCCGAAAAAAAGATCCACGGGCACGATTAACCGAAATGCAGAACACAGCTAAATACGTTCTATGGGACCTTCACATATGTGCATACAATTGCCGCCCCAACGCTTACTTCGGAAGCATCCACAACGCTGTTCATTCCTTACTTTCAGTGCTCTGTATACAACTCTGGAATTCATATACACCCTGTAAGATATGGATGTACACTCACGACCTATGACAAGCTGGAAGTTCCTCCGCACTAGGAACACCCAACCTACAAAAGCAAGACGACTTAATCTGAATATCAGCAACAGATACAGTAACATCAAGCTGCTGCATAATAATCCTTGCCTCAGCTGTCCGCCCTAACCTCACCAAACACTCATGATACCCATGCAAAGCCCGAACATTGTTCGGATGCTGATGAGCCCTCGTAAGCGCATCATCCAATCCCAAATCCTACGCATAAGCAGTAGCGGCCTCTTCCACATGACCTTGCTCCAGCATCAAAGCCGCATACGTATGGCGCGTGGGAAGCATCCACCCCCCACGGTTCAGTATACATCAGCGAATCGTCGTGATGAATAGCCTCGCGCAGAGGCTCAAAAGCACGGTCATAGTTGCCTCGCCTGTACTCGATTTCGCCGTCCAGCATAGCCGTCGCTACTTTCAGAACATCGGAAATCAGGTTCGGAAAATCTTTTCTTGTCGGTGGGACCCGTTTCACGGCCGCGTGATAGAGCTCGCGCTCCTTGTCGGCTTCAGGGAGATTTCCTGTTGCAGCCCAGGCCATGCCCTTGCCGTAGTGGGTCATTGTGGTGGTTACACAGTATAGGTCTTGGTCGTCGGGGAGGGGGAGATTCTTGATCTCGCCCCAGAGCCCGAAGCGGATATAGACGTGTACGCGGACTGCTTTGAAGAACCCCAGCCAGTCTGCTAGCGGTGGAGTCTTGACACGGAGCACGTCGTCTGTGAGCGAAGATTCCATTTGGTCGAGGGCCCTGAGAGCCGCGGTTGACTGGCCTGCTAGCATGGCTGCGTAGACTAGGGAGTGGTAGTTGTGAAGGCAGTAGAAGCTGTAGAAGTTCTTTGCACCGTTTTTGGCGAGATATTTCTCGTCTGCGTGGACAGCAGCTGTGTTTGAGTCTATGGAACGTCGGTAGTCGCCGACCAGGACGTCGAGGTGTGTGGGCATGTGGTGCATATGGCCGGCGTCCGGGACGAGGTGACGAAGCCGGTCCGCAGCGGGAAGGGCGGCGGTCGGTGTGGCAGACATCTCTAGATAATGGATCCAGAAATGGATGAGGCCTGGGTGCTTGTCTGCGCCGGGGGTGTCGTAGACCCAGGTCGAACACGGCTCTTACGTCGTGGATGGGGGAGCCCGCAATAGGCAGACCACTTTGTACATGAAACATCTTCCGGAGGGCTGTGTGCATCAATGCGTCGGCATAGAGGGTGGCTACGTCGAGGTCATCGTCTCCAAAGCATTGGTAAACTTCCTTCATGGTGTTGGCGTATGCTTTGTCCACGGTGGGGAAGTCGTAGGGGGTCGGATGGTCAGCTGGAAAGCGAGCTTGGATTGCATTGATGAGGGCCTGTTCTACTGGGGTCACGGTAATGCTGTTCAGCAATTCTTTGGCCTTTCGGGAGGCATTGTGGTATTTATTCAGGCTGTCTGCGAGGTCACGGGGTCGAAAAGTCGCCAGGATTCGTTGTAGTTGGGGCTTGTGGCGTAGGCCAACCCCCAGAATGCCATCGCACAGGATGGATCATGGGCAATAGCTTTCTCGAAACAGCGCTTGGCCTCGGTTGAACCATTCTTGGGCTTCAGGGCTCTTCGTGGTAATTGTACGCGTGAAAGATCCTAGACTGTAGTATTCGGCGGTTGAGGCGATGGGATGCACAGCGGCCTGTTCAGTCGACATTGTTCTTTGGACTGTGGTAAGCTTGAGTAAGAATATATCGGTTGCTAAAGGTAAATGGGACGTTATGTAGTCAATATATCTAACGTCGAGAATTGTTTCAACTTGGGATTCGCCCGTGCGTCCTCATGTTTATATTTCTAGATCACAGGTGCGTCACACCCTTCACTATAACCTACGAGATGTGGCTGCACCGCGGAAGCACGGTACGAACCAGTAATATCATTAATCAAGGTCGACGTAGCGCAAATCGAACTATAGAGTGTTTGCTGTCTTTCAAAAGCCGATGTGGTGATGGTGAGTCTGAGAACTAGACAATAGTCAGCATCAAAGATATGCAAATGCCCAGTATTGCTGTCTAGAATTGCTCCCCGATTACTAATTTGCCAAAATGACGAGAAGAGAGGAAATCAGTATGATTGAAATACGGGAGAAAGACATCAACGCTGGCTCATGTCCATGGCAAGATTACTCTTGAAGACTGTCTTCTGGACATTTCTTCTTTCCACACCGATCAAGGTACTTTTGCCTTTGACCAGGTTCAGATACGACTCCCGTGACACAGGAAGCAGACAGGAACCGGGAACATGCACACGCGGAGAGCTGTCAAAAGCGTGGTCGCGTACATCATTTCCAGCTGACTGGCACCCATGGTTCAGCCGTGGGATGTCTGAACTTGAATCCGGGGGCGGAGCAGGGCAATATATATTTGCCAGTAGATTGGCTAGTAGTACTATTTTACAGATGGATTATAAGCCGAACAAGTCGTGTTTATACTGGTGTTGAGTAAAGTTATCTCATCGTCAGGGCAAAAACAAAAAATAGTCGTCCGGGCTGGACATCGTATCAAATCCTTCCCTTATACAGGGCAGCTATTAGGGCCTCGATATGTTATACAAGTCTACGAATCTGATAAGAACAATAAAGGTATTGGCAGTGTAAACCACGGGATCGTAACTTCATCTTGGTACCCCAAAGAATCATCGTGCAACGGTGCATAGCGAGCGAAAAATACACCAGTCTGGTCTAGAGCCAAGAACTTGCATCTTGCAGCCTTCTCCGTGCCCCAGACTGCACTTGCTTAACAATATCAGCAGCCCTCTCACTCTTCTTAACCATGCCTACACCCGTGCCAGCCCAAACTGTGACAGTTTCCTTGAAATCGAGCTGCTGGCCCCGAGCACCCTGAAGATCGCGGTATAACTGTATCCGCATGTCACTCATACTCATCCCTCTCTTGACATAGTCATAACTGCTATTCCTCAAGCATCGTCCATCATACAACTCTGGCCATGGACTAGGTCCCCACATCTCATCAAAGACCCTCGATCTCACGGTGGCTTGTCCACCATCCGAGGCATCGAAAACCGCTTTCCGAAGCTGATGCGGCAACTCCGTTTCTACAGCTCCGAGAAACCGCGTCCCCATCACCACCCCAGCAGCACCGAGCATAACCGCAGCAGCAACACCTCTCCCATCCATAATACCCCCAGCTGCAATGAGTGAAACATCTTCAATGTCCCGATCTCGTAACACATCCGCCACTTCAGGTAAGAGCGAGATAACACCCGCCCCAAGCGCATGTCCATGTCCACCGGCATCACTCCCCTGGAGTACCAGGGCATCTGGGTGACAAGCTTGAGCAGCATCCACCGCGGCATTCACACCGCCCACTTGAATCCAGACTTGGGTGTACGGGGACGCCTTTCGGATCCCCTCCGTCCAGAGTTTGAATTCGTCTGTCGTAGCGAACGACAACCAGACCACAGCCGGTTTGTACTTGGAAAACAGCGACAGCCAATGCGTAACCGGAGAACCGAAGACTATCATCCCCACACCGAGGGGAAGTACAGGCTCCGGGGTATCTTTGCGTGTGTCCATGATGTCTTGTAGTTGGTGTTTGGCTCGTTCGAGCTGCCCTGCTAGGGAGCGCTTGCTATCTAGGAAGCCGATCTGTCCTAGTCCGCCTGCGCGGGTGACAGCTACTGCAAGGTCGCTGGTTGCAGCGCCACTCATCGGGGCGTTGATGATTATTGGGGCTTGAACCCAGGGTAGGGCTCGTTTGAGTTTGTGGATGCTTGACATTGTTTTCCTTTTTGATTGTTTCTTTGATATGTTGGTGATGGTGAGAATTAAGGTCTGTATGAGAAGGGTGAATGTGAATGTGGGTTGCCATTAATTGTACTTTCGTTGTTCTTTCTTTTTCTCAGTTTTATGAAGGTGTTCGCGTACAGTTTATATCAAAGCAGCTAGCTAGAGGTATCTCTATCCATTCTATATCGAGGAATGGCACCGGGCTGAAGCATATAGTCATTATATTAATATACACAAGTCATAAGTAACAAGCCGATATTTGAACGAGGAAATCATATCATGGCCGGCTTAGAAATACATATAGTTAACTACCCTAACTAACTACTAGTACTTAGAGATCAACCGTAGTGCGTAAGTTGAGCTCTGGGCTCCACGGCACTATCGCCGGGTGGTGTTTGAAAGCTGGCATTTGCTTCCACGCCAAGCCGATCAAAGACCGGGTCGCCGAATTTAGGGTTCACGATGGATGTGGAGTGGAGAAAGTGGGCGGACAGTCTTGTCGTCGTACCTGATCGCAGCTGGGAAAAAAGTTCCCAGGATTAATATCGTCAAAGGGAAGGAGAAGAGGGGTCGTCTTTTACGAAGCTTCTTATCCAGCTCAGGGAGATGCTCCCATCTAATGGACGTCATTGGGAACTAGTACTCCACACTCATGGCGGTCGATTTGCAGCCAGAATGGTGAATCTGCGAGACCACAAGTCTGATACAGATGCTGAGGGAACCCCAAGCAGATCGATGATATTAACCTCCTCTCACCGTGGATCCTAATGATTTCATACTCATTCATTGCTCCACCTTGATTTTGGCATGCCCCACCATCGGCGACTGGGCAGTCCCTCTTAGTAGAAACTCGAACGATAGGTGGGGACTGCGCTTTTCAAGTCCTGAGAATAAAAGCGGCTGTTGCTATACGCAAGGGAGACTACACACCTGCCTAGGTGGATCATGTCGATGCTCTCGATAAAATCCCCTGTGAAACTGGCATGTCTGCCATGGTGAGTCGACCATCGTTGATCTTGGCAATTTTCATCTTGCTTGATCGAACTGACTATTTGCATAGCCGTGCCATCAAGACCCGTTGTGATGGACAGACTCCTTGTACTAATGTAAGAGGGATCGCACCCATCTATCGACAGACTTAACGTAGAGAATGACAGTGCTACAACAATCGCCGGGAGTGCCGCTATCGCCCCAGTCGACGAGGCGGGGCGCGCAAAGGGGATGCATTCAAGGCAAGGAAGCGTGCCATTGCTGCAACCGATACACCATCCCCATCCTTGCCATTGGGCCCAACACAAACCCAAAGTCTTCACTATGCAATCACCAGCATCCAGGATGTCAGAGATTTATCCGCCGGTGATCTCGCATCAGACGAAAACAGTAATCCTGCTTTCGAGCTGGGGTCACTCGCAATAAGAGCATATGGATGTGAGGCAGATCTGTACGTTGAAGCTAAAACCTTCCATACATTCTTCATGATCTGGCCACTAACACAGTACCATGTGGCTTCAGGGTCAACGCCTACTATGTTTTTATCCACCCATATTTTCCGGTCTTGCCTCCACCGGCGGTTGCTCAATATGAGGACCGCCCATTTGCGATTTCGTTGCGAACTGTTCAAGCAAATCAGGCATTCTTGCCTTACTGGCCGACGTCTCCATTTGCGTTGGCCTTGTCCGCGATCCTCGTACTATTTCCTCTACTAGAAGATCCACATTCCATGTCTGAGGCTGCAGTCAGTACCCGCCAGTCATACGCCGAACTCTATGCACATGCCGCAATGAGCAGCATTGAAAATTGGATTGACGTTCCCGAACCGGCAACTACAGCTGGCGGTCCGACCCGGTGGAGCTCGCTGCACCCCGATCTCCCGTGGAAGCTGGAGTCCATCTTGGCTCTTGTATTGCTGGGCATGTACGAGCTTTGCCAGCGGGGCAACTTCTCGAAGATGCGCGCTCGAGCCAACCAGGCGCTGACAACCGCGGTGGATCTATCATTACATACTACAGACCCGGACGAACCGGGCTGTTCGGATGCACAAAGTCGGGCCTGGTGGATGACGGTCAGTTTCCCTGCCCCGGTATCCGTTTACCCTACTCACAGACTACTGCAGATGTTTCTCAGTTATCATTCTTCGATCCTTAATAATTCGGTAAGTTCCATGAATATGACAGCTGACCCATCAGCACCCTTAGTTTATCAACAATTCAACTAACTCAAGCCAGAGCCCTATCATCCTCATTGACGACCCTCGGATTAGCACACCGTACCCAGTATTCCGTGGCTGTCTTGAGGTATGCTCCCCCATTTGACTATAGCCCCAAATGCTCTACTTACACGTACACCAGCCCTGGCCATTATTGGCAAAAGCACAAGATACACTCCTTCGGACATGCAACATAGCAAAGGAGCTCGAGAAAGAGGCCAGTAAATCTAGTCAATCGCCCACCCTAATTGATCGTATTCGCGAGCTTAACTCTCTGATATCATCACTCGCTGCTGATTCCGATCGATATCGATGTGTAACAAACCGGCAAGGAGCCGAATGTTTCGCTCCTCGAAACCTCTGGGCAATTACAAGTGCCATAATTCACAGGTGAATCCTTACCTATCTAGCCCCTCTCCAACACACACACACACACACAGATGACGTTTCATCAACGCATGCAATTGGCATTCTAACTCATTCTATATACAGCGCCCGGATAAGATTGCATCGATTCAGGGCTTTCCTAGACCACCCTTTATTTCTAGGTGAACACTGTGGTCTCACCTCGATCAACCGTATCGACTTCCTAAACACCTCACATCTCCTATCCCCGAGTCGGATAACCAAAATCAACGCGATATTTCCCTTCACCGAGCAGGAGTCCACAGCCATATGCCTGAAATCATCACTCACCGTGTCCAGAGTTTTCCATAATCTAACACCGCCAAATCTATACTATACCGATGCACCTTCCGATAGCGAGATATTACCCGGGTCCTCACTGTCTCGATTCTGTCCTCGATCGCTTCCGTATATGGCCTGCTGCCAGATGCAAAGCTTCTATGCGCTCACGATTCTCCTGCGAAGAGTTCGCACCTCATTGTCTTCGGGCGACTTGCAGGCGTGTTATCACCTATTGAGCCAGCCTGAGCCAGGCTCAGAGGTGCAGGATGCCGAGCGACTGGTTGAGGAGCTAAGACATGGTCTTGAATCATTGAGCGCGTCTATGAGGGCGGATGTTGCTTTCGAGGGTGTCGTTGGTATGGTACGGGAGATTGAAGGAGTTTGCTTTGCTACAATGGCCTGAATTGAGTCGGGAGCATGTGTTTTGTGGCGAGAATTAATGGTAGAGGAAAAGGACTAAGCAGAATAGGTATAGATTTTAGACTGCGTGTGGATATTGCACTCTTCTACACAAAATGCCAAAAGTGTAATTTCGTGTATTATAGTAGAGAGTCTTAGAGTCATGCATTACATATCAAGTGTTGGACTTTGTAATGATGGTTTGACAATAGTCGGCGATTGAAGTTAGGTGTGGATCCACGGACTTGGTTAGGGCTGTGTTAGTTTCGAGATCGGAACGAATCATATCCATTAGCTGACTCCATTTCCAACCAAACACCGATCTTTGGGCTGGAGCAATATGTCGCCAATCTGCACATACAAGCGAGAAGTGGTATGACGATATAGCCTGGGTAGCGTCTAATGCTGCTATAAAAGGACTCCGAAGTTTCCCCTCTCCCCTCCCCATCTAGTATCTTGTTGTACAGTGTAGTCATTTCCTTCATTTCTTCTATTTTCCTTCGTTCTCTTCATCAACTCATAATGGGCTCTGTCGAAAATTCTCCTGCTGTGCCGGCAAGCGCTGGGTATTATGATCTTGGATCTTTTGGGCACACCATCACCACGACCAGCGCAGATACACAAACATGGTTCAATCGTGGGTTGACCTGGTGCTATGCCTTCAATCATATCGAAGGCGCCTACTGCTTTGAACAGGCAATTGCCCATGATCCTTCATGCACAATGGCTCATTGGGGATTGGCGTATGCGCTGGGGCCTAATTACAACAAAGGCTGGGATCGGTTTGATCCGCAAGACTTGGCTGTTTGCTTAAGACGTGCCTTTGCCGCATCGCAACGGGCAAAGGAGTTATCAGTCCATGCCGCGCCCTGGGAGCAGGCGCTCGCCGACGCCATTGCACTGCGCTACCCGAGTGAAACCCCGTTGACCGACTACTCAGTACCAAGCGCAGAATACGCTGCCGCCATGAAATCAGCGTACGAAAAGTACGGCAGCGACCTGGATATCGCAGTGCTATATGCGGATGCGCTGATGAATCTGACTCCATGGGCCCTGTGGGATCTGTTTACAGGCCAGCCTGTCAAGGGTGCCCCGACAGCCGACGTACAACGAGTGCTAGAACTGGCATTAGAGCAAGACGGTGCTTATCAACATCCCGGTCTTCTGCACTTGTACATCCATTACATTGAGATGTCTCCCACCCCCGAGCTGGGTATGAACGCTGGCGACCATTTACGTGACCTAGTTCCGGATGCTGGTCACCTGCACCACATGCCCACCCATCTGGATATCTTGGTCGGTGACTGGCGCCGTTCTATTGCGTCAAACTATAACTCGACTCTCGCGGACGACAAATTCCTGCGTCGCGCGGGGGCCGTCAATTTCTACACGTTCTACCGCCTCCATGATTACCACTCGCTGATCTATGCTGCTATGTTCGCTGGAAAGCTCAAGACTGCCATGGATGCCGTTGCTCGTATGGAGGCGTCTGTTCCAGAGGAGGTACTTCGCATGAAATCTCCTCCCATGGCGGACTGGCTGGAGAATTTTATGACCGTGCGCGTGCATGTCATGGTGCGCTTTGGTATGTGGGAAGAGATTATTCAGATGGAACTGCCCCATGACCAAGAGCTATACACGGTCAAAACGGCCATGGTTCATTATGCCAAGGGAGTCGCATATGCAGCGACGGGACGAGTTAGTGAAGCAGAGCAAGAACGGGAACTATTCCAAAAAGCTCGCACACGAGTGCCGGAGACTCGTCGAGCATATAATAGCAAGTGCGCCGATCTCCTGGCTGTGGCGTCTGCCATGCTCGACGGAGAAATTGAATACCGCCGTGGGGAGTACGACCAGGCGTTTAGCAGTCTTCGCAAATCGATCGAGCTGGATGATAGGCTTCCGTACAGTGAACCCTGGGCCTGGATGCAACCTACTCGACATGCTTACGCTGCCCTTATGTTGGAACAGGGCCAAATCGAGAAGGCTGAGAGTGTATATCGGGCTGACCTTGGGCTGGACAACACTCTCATCCGGCCCCGGCGGCACCCGAACAATGTCTGGTCCCTTCAGGGCTACCATGAATGCTTGGTGAGGCTGGGGAAAACGGAACAGGCAGCCATGATCGAACCTACACTAAAGCTGGCGCTGGCTGTGGCAGATATCCCTATCAAGGCATCTTGCTTCTGCAGGCTAGACACGTCGCAGGCTCCGGAGGTGATTAGGAAAGGTTGTGGCGACGATGGCCGTTGTCATTAGGCGATTGACTGTCCCATTTCCATGCAAAACTATGGATGTATATAGACGACCCGAAATGTTACCAGGAAAGGAAGAGAGAAAGCGTTTCTCCCGGGCTCTTCTCACTCAGCTATCATTCCACTCACGTTAATATCATGATTGTTACACATAGTGCTTGTTCTTCACTCGCAGTGACAGGACTTCTGCAAGTTGCCGTCTGACCTAATGAACATCTGCCGGACAGGCAACACCCGTGAAATGAAACGATGACAATCTCGATGGTACCCCTGCAAATCGAATTTGGGAGTTATTGCGGGTAGAGGTCGTGGACTGGTGCGATGGAGTCCATGGATGATGAATTCAATGAAATCCGCATAGTTACTCCGGAGTAGATGGGGAATGATCCACGGACCACAGTGAGACCCGAGCCCCGACAGGAGAAGAAAAAGCAACGAAACTTACCGCCTAAAGAGAATGGTGAAGAGAGGATGTGTCTCGACTGGTAAAATTGCAGTGGGTATAGACCCCATTGTGATGTATCACTTCTTCACCGCCGTCTACCTCTGCCCCAGGCCCCCAACAAACAAACAGAAACGATCCGGCCGGTGACGATCGTTTCAATGTTCTGTCCCTTCCATTTCCTTCGTTGTAATCATTTTGACTTTTCGACCCTTCCCTCTGGGTGGTCTTGCATGGAGCACTCAACCTTACGGAGCCTCGGGATTCGACCAGAGCGCGGGGCATGACTCGTGTCACAGCAGTGACCGCACCCCCGGTGTCACTAACCACAGAACCGGTGCAATCAGCTCGGGCCTCTTCTCAGCTAGCAAAAAGCAAAGACCTCTTGGGGGCCAATAACGGATCGTCGGGACGTCTGAAAATGGGGAAGTGTAACCAACCCCCCTGGCGGTGCGACGACTAGTGAATAGTGAATATGCAGAATGATCACCCCGTCTTACTATATCGGATAAGCTGGGAGACCTCAATTGGATGGATGGTACCGGGGATCTGGTCGTGTGTCACCTCCCCCGCTGCAAGGAGGGCTGAACGGCGGATACATCCTTTTCCCTAGACGAGTATAGCTCTGTCCAACTCTGGAATGCTTGTGGTCCTGGTCCAGAAGGTGAGATCTTAACGCGGCTGACGCGAACCTTCTGTAGCCTATTACAAAGGCTCCATGCTGTGGGAAAAGTCAATAAGACCTCATAATTGCTTTTTCTAATTCCGACAGTCGGGATCGGTTCCCCTTGGCATCCTGAGAAGCTTAATAAAAAAAAAAGTCTTTTTTCAACAAAAAAAGAAAAAGAGAAAAGGAAGAAGAAGAAAAATTTGAATTATGGGTCTGGCGGGGAAAGGAAAAAGAAAGCAAGAAAATAAAACAAAATACCACCTTAAGGCTCGCAGGATGTTACTCTGCCTCTTTAAAAGACTCTTGTACTTCCACTGATTCATACGGGTGTTTATCCAGCACGCAACCACCACGGACAACGTTGGTGGCACCCAATCACCAGCTTCAGGGAATTTCTCTGCCCCAGAATCCGCTGTCTCCCGCATATTTGCTTCCTACCTGACCTTTGAGCTGTTATTTTCACCCGTGGGAAGTGAATGACATTGCAGGGGTTTGGAAAGTCGATCGCGGTATGCGGCCAAGTTGGGAGTTCATGTGGCCAGCCCATAAGTAAGAAGTGTCTGCAGTCCAGAGTAGAGAGCGGTGACTATTGACTGGGGACAATTTATCCCTATGGCTTCCAACGTCCAGCGGCTATTTGACATCACTTAACCTGAAGCTGATCCACCGCGCATTCTCTCTTCGGGTTCTACTTACCTCAAGTTTGTGCTGCCTCATATCAAACTTTCTTCCCTGCATGGACGGCATTGGGCTTTACTAGATTTCACCCTTGGAATGGCAATAGATATTACATATCGGCATATTCAATCTGTACAATTCAGGCCATATCACAATTGGTTGATCTGTAAGTTGCATTTTCTTCTCTGGGCCATGATAAACATTGGTGTCTCCAATGGTTCCTTGATTCCCTTTTGGCTTTCAAGAATACCTGATTTAACATAATTCAATATATGTACTCCTTACAATCCTCCATGTCTATTTCTTCCCTTTTATTTTACTCTTAATTTCATTTTATTTATTCTGTTTTTTTTTCCCTTGCAACGCTGCTGTCTTGCCAACTAAGCAGCCCTTATCCCTTGAAAGCATACGATGATAGGGACTAGATATCTCTTCACACTGAGGCAATTGATAGATCATGCCTGCTTCACTTAACGATTTTGTACTCTTAGAATAGCCTATCATAGCTCCCTTCATTTTTCCATCGCTGATCTCTTTGCGATGCTCGAACGCTCCTGTCGTTAACCAACGCAGCCTTACGAGCCCCCCTTCCCCCAGACCCTCTTTCCTTCTTTAATCTTTTATCTCCCCTTTTCTTTTGCATACTAGGACACTTCTAGGGTCAGCAGAAGTTAAGTGACTAATGCTTCGTATCGTCTAAGAGAACAGTGTCCGAGTCATACCCAGCTATCTGGAAGTCACCATACAAGCGCACCATGTCTGACAGACTCAGTTCTCTACCCCTGGAGATAGTCCTCCAGATTCTTTCGTACCTGCCTTTTGAGTCAGTGCTTGCTTTTGGGGAGACGTGTCACACCAATCACCGATCGCACATTCTCTGCCTCCGATGTCTACGACTAGGGGTCTTCGAGAAGCGAACGCATTCCATAATATCTTGTCTTCAGGCAGGCTGGATCAAGGCAGATCAAGTTGGGGAAGAGCTGAGGGAAGACTTTCCCGTCGAAAGGGAGATCGGTTCTGATTACACTATCTCCATTATCCGGCCGAAAGTCAACTCGATAAAACAGACGCTCCCTTCCAAACACCTAAGTAAGACGAAGGACGCAAAACTCCGATGTCAGAGGGATCCGCCAGCAATGCAGGAACACATAGTTCGAACCCAGAACCGAATCTTTTCTAGAGTAGTGAACCGGTACGGGCCATCACTCGTAAAGCTCGAGTTTATGGCGTACGATATCGACATCGAGAGCGCAATGGCACTAGGTACCAGATGCCAGTATGGGTTGCGCCACCTGGCGCTTCGCTTTGAACATCAGCACATCAGAGATGGTCATATCAAGCCGAGTACCTGGCGATATCCGGCGCCATGCAGCATTGCGTGGAACCTTCTCATTGGAATAGGACAGTACAGGCATATCGGTATTTCCGGGTTGCAGACCTTGATACTGGAGCGCACCGGCATCACGCCATGGCAGTTGACGATGCTCGTGAAGAAGAACCCTAATCTTACGGTGTTGAAGTTGAAAACCTGCCACGGTGCTCAGCCAGATTTTCTGAATTGGCTGGGAGGCATTGAGCAAGACCCGGACGACCCGGCAGAAACAGATAACAGCTGTGCACCGGGGGAGAGGCTTGAGGTTCTCTGGTTGGAGAACTGCCACGAGATTCTCACACATCCTGTTGATGACTATGAGGGCTTTGCAGATGAAGTCTGTGATAGTGGCCTTGAATGGGTGAGAGGCTTGAGGAATATGAAAGTGAGTGTCAAGTTCATCCTGATGAGTACTGGTTGCAATAGCAGGCTAACAGCACATGGCTCTTGAAGTCCCTCTCTTTCAGCAAATGCATGAATATACCGTCTGAGTATGTTGAACGGGCAAACAAGTTAATCTGGAAAATCCCAGATATTACATTGCCATTCTATAACTATGAAGAGGATACCCCTATCGAGGTTGATCCTACTTTCCTGTAGTGTTGGTGCTTGTCTGTCTGACTCTGGCATTTACGACGTGACGATGTCTTCTTTTGTATTCCTTCCTTCCTTTTCTCATTCATTCACACATACCCACTTCTCCCTAAGCATTTATCTCCCGGAGTCGTTGCATTCATGGTCACCCAGAACCACGGCGTTTCATTCAGCAATATCATGGCGTTTGACGATCGACAGATAGAACTGTTCTTATCTTTACCCTAATGTAATCAATGCTTGATAAATCTTCTCATATATATCACTATTATCGTCTCGCTCTAGGGAATAAACTTTTGTGCTGTACTCTAGCAGTTGTAACCTATGAACTACGTGGCAATCTCCTCACTCGTTGGCGCTATTTCTAGTCGTTACACGGTGGGCTGAAACGCATGGCAATTCATAGATATGTAGTCCTATTGGCAAGCTTAGTGCGCTGCCATCCAATCAGTCCATGGAGACACAGCAGCATAGCTAAGAGTGTATGATGTGTATTAGAGTCTCTGTAATGTGTACTACATTCGTGAAGATTCTATGGGTTGTGGATAGCCCTGCTGTGTGGCACAGCTGGGGGGTCAATGTTGGTGAGATGGCAAACATCTATAAGTAGATAATGTCATTGTTTGTTTCATGGAGACGGCTTGAGATTCCCGACTTCCTTGGATATTGCAAAGATTAGAGAGCTCAATACTCACCTTCGATTTCTATCTATACGTCCTAGAATGAGCAGACATGGAAGCAGAAGACGAGCACCACAAGATACAGGAGCAGCCAAAGAACATGAATCCAAGCGGTTATCTTGTTTTCTCTGACACACCCTCCGTATTCACGCTTTCACCCCTCCAAATGGACAGTAACACCAACCACTATCTCTCCCTCTCCACTGACAATGTTTGGGACATTCATTCACCGTCTAGAGTATGAATCCCTTCACTCCACATCTTGGCTTCTACCGCTTCTGGATATTTTCTCTCCTTATCTTCGGATGATTCTCTTCAAACCTAACCTCACGTCGATGCGTTGCCGAATGAACCCTTCTCCGAATACCGAGTCACCAGTATGAAGAGATACAGGTCTGCATCCCATTTCTGGGACTCTGCTCTGAACAAGATCTTCCCCAGGCGGACATCGCGATCGAGATCGGATGAGCGCAACACGTTTCTGTCATTCGAGTCCTCTACTACCAGTGAACATACCGATGGCTTTTACATGTACTCCCAGGCTCTGTTAGAGCAAGAAAACAGACGCCGTGAGGCTTTGCCATACCGCCAATCCGACAGCACAGAGGCTTCATATTCATCCGCTGTAAGTGAACAGTCCTGAAACTCGACTTACTGTGTTGGAACTGACAAGACGCAAGCTCATGGCGCCAATCCCGCGCCCTGCCCTCCCCTATACGATTAGTTCTCCCGAGTGGAATATATTTTCCGAAGCTGTCAAGGCCCTCGAAGATGCCATTGATGACGATGCATCCGACTGGCTTCACAGTGTGCTGTCAGTCTTTTCCAAAGTCTACACCGTCGCCAAGATTATCGTCACAATACTCATGTACTATGGAATTGAGGTACGTAGCCGTGCCCCCGGCGATCAATCTGGCTATCCTCTGTCACGGGATTTGAACTGACTGCAACCATAGGTGGAAGACATCCCTGACAGTGTTCCGGCCCATATCAGACGTGCGGAAGAAATTGTGACGTCCGACTCGATCACTGAGCTTATTGAGGCTGTCGAGAGTCTCTATTATTCCGTATATGCGAGGCTGATAATGGAGATAGCGAACGTCGACTTATCAACTTACTTCAATTTGGAACTCCGACGCACATCCCGCAAGGATGGGTTCGCTCTCCCTGAGCCCGATCATTTGCTGAAGATCTTCACGCACTGCAAAGACACCCTCGAAGCGCCAACCGTTTGCAACCATGTCAATGTGAATCTTATCAAGTTTCACCAGGATGAATTCATCCGCCGCGCCATGGAGAGGGCGATTGGCACAGAGTTTTTCCTCGACGATCTCCTCGGATACCGCCGTTATACTATGGGAATTGTGAGCGACACCTCGTCCGAGTTTCGTTCGAAGTGGAACCACGACACCTTCCTTTATCAAATACCACCGGAGGAGATCCTCACAGTTCAATCCGAGAAGTACCTTTCTTTTATACCCAAACTGGAGGCTGTGTTGACGGTTCCTGGTTTTGATCTTCCATTTGTTGACCGCGACAGTGTTGATCCGGAACTTTGGGAGCGTGAGCTCGTCAAAGACCATCGCCAGGCGGCTTTAGCCAAGATGGAAGGCAAAGGCATCGGAGACGTCAGGCGTGTGGACGAGCGACGTCGCCCGAGCGATTACATGAAGGAGAGAAAATGCATCTGTCGCTCATCGTGCATTTGCTCCTGGGAATGTACTTCGGATCCCGAACGTCCCTGCCCCTGCGCAGACCGTATGATGCAGATAATGCTTGTGAAACGTCGCAAGGTCCCGGGAACACGCGACTTCGCTTCCCGGTGCGGCAGTCTTGCAAAGGCGATCTTCGAATGCGCTTCATTGATTAAACGTGATGTCGATGAGATCGAGATCGCGTTAGAGCTGGACCGGGCGTTTCTTCTAGTGGATAGTGAGATCGAAGTCCAGCGCCGAACGCCCCGCAAGGCTAACGGGGTGAAGTCCTCAAGTGAGGATCGAAGTTCTGACATGGGATGATACTCATTGATCGTTTCGGGGAGCGGAAGTAGGGGGGATATGGGATGATATGAGACCAGGTTCTTCTACAGATTGGGGGATAGTAGGGTGATCCACAACATCATTCGACTCCATTGATGACGATCAGGGATATGTAACTAACTACAAGCTGCTTTAGCGGCCCCATTTGCCCCCAAAAATACTATTCTGGTACTCTGATGTGCTGTACCTTGACCGTACCTTGCCCTATGATGTAATGTACGCGGTAACACTCGGAACATGTAAGGAAATAAAAACGTCCCAACACCAACAGAAAGCCAAACTTTTGACAGAACTAAATGACTTGTTGAAGGGTTATTATTAGTCACAGCATGCCATGTGCCTGAATGCTCACTGGCTCAACAAACGTAACCCTGTGATCCAGAAAAAAGCTGATCATTCCACCGCTATTATCGCGATCTCCCAGCATGGTATTGTCCCAGCAAACGGGGAAGAAAAGGAAAGAAAAATAAATTACCTTAGGTAAATCGTGCGCGGAGTGAGACTGTGTCAAAACTCCAGTGCAACTTTTATTCTCTACCACACAAAGAAAACTGTTCTAGCGGGCATGGTGCCCAAAACCGTATCGACTTCGGCGACTGTATTATTATCCTCCTTTTCGTCTCCGTGGCCGCGAAATCCACAGTGGATCGCAAACTTCAGAAGACCCAGAACCGGGGTGCGACGGTATAGCCGTGCTGCCTGGCCGTCCTACGGCATCACCACTCCCGTCCCGGATCGTCCTCCACAGTTCTCCTGTTCCGGGTCTAGGAAATCTCCATTCTGCTTCCAGACAGGGTATGCGCTCTGCGCCAAACGGCCGTCGCGCCCCTTCCCCCCACCGTTCCTGTCCCCGCCGTCCTCGTCCTTTTCCGACCCGTTGACCACCCACTACCACAGTCAGGATAAGAGATTATCCGTCAAGGGCGAACTAGTCAGGGGGCTGAACAACGGCGACGATGCCGTATTGGTTACGGATAATTTCCTCGGGGTCGACGACGGCGTGGGGGCATGGGCTACCAAGCCGCGAGGCCATGCTGCGTGAGTTTCTGCTTCCTTTGCTGTTTGGTTTCCTAGGATGAGTCATGCTCATTTTTATATACGGATAGACTCTGGTCCAGGCTTTTACTGCATTTCTGGGCTCTAGAAGTCGAACGAGGGGTTAATGGTGATGCGCCGCTGGATCCGGTCGAGTACCTCCAACGTGCTTACGAAGAAACCATCGGCGCAACGACCGACCCCAGCGAATGGTACGGGACAACGACGTCCGTCACTGCGATCTTACATTGGACCTGCGATGATACGGGGAAAGAAAAGCCTTTACTTTACGTGACCAATGTAGGCGATTGCAAGTTGATGGTCATCCGTCCAAGCGAGGAGAAGGTCCTGTTTCGGACCAAGGAACAATGGCATTGGTTCGACTGCCCCATGCAGCTGGGGACCAACAGCGTGGATACGCCTCGGAAGGATGCAGTGCTGTCTCAAGTCGATCTAGAGGAGGGGGATGTCGTACTTGCCGTGTCCGACGGCGTTCTAGACAATCTTTGGGAACATGAAATATTGACCATTACGCTGGAGAGCATCAAGAAGTGGAACCAGGGACGGTATGACAATACAGACCTTGAGTGGGCTCCTCCAGAGGTGCTGGCAGAAGAACGCATGGTCTTTGTGGCGAGAGAGCTACTCAAATCTGCGCTGGCTATTGCCCAGGATCCGTTCGCTGAGAGTCCGTTTATGGAGAAGGCAATTGAAGAAGGTCTCGCTATTGAGGGGGGTAAGTAGACTCTCTGCAATATAGTGAGCAGCTGGTTGACTTTGCAACAGGGAAAATGGATGACATTAGCGTGGTGGTCGGTTCCTGCAAGAGGAGGGCTTCTTGACCCGGACGCACGCAATAGGCTTGGAAGCCTCGATCAAAAGACCAAATGAGATCTAGAAACGTATCGCTGCAGGTCTTGTCCTGACGCGTCCGACGCCGTATATCGGTTCCTAAAGGGTTGGACTACGACACGTTCATAGAACTGGGAGCTACTCCTCACCTTCCCGCCTGCGAGTTGACGCTGAACCGTATCATCTCGCACCAAGCGTCCGAACATCCAAGCACCGCGCACTCGAGAATAAAAGCATTACTATAGAAGGCATGCACATTAATGCCGAAGCCACGAGGTTATGGACATATAATCACATTGACCATCACAAGTCAGTAACCGGCGGGGAATGATTTGCATATGGTTGAGTTATATTGAAACTACGATTCATGTAATTAGACAATACTGCCCTTGTTATTCTTTTTCTTCATTTCTCCCTTTTTTTTTGAATACTCATATTCCCTCTAGATTTCAAATCTATCAATTTTGTTATACAGTAGAATCGTAAAAACTTCCCCAAATCTAGATAACGCACGGACCACATCCAAAGTAGCGACATTCCGCCCGGCAAAATCAGAAAAAAAGTTTCAATCTAAGAAAATCAATCGACGGAAATCACTAACACAGCTCCCACGCAACATTCTCAGTCTTAATTCCCTCATCGCCACCAACCCGCGAAAATGAGGGCCAAACGTTCAAAGAAGTACCGCAAGCTTATGCACCAATATGAGCTCGCATTCGGCTTCCGCGAACCATACCAAGTCCTAGGTAAGCCGCAACCAAGCGCATCCCAGAATCAAAGTCACCTAACAAATGGATATAGTGGACTCAAACTTCCTCAATGCCGTACACTCCTTCAAGATGGAGCTACTCCCTTACCTCGAGCGCACACTGCAGGGCAAGGTCAAGCCTCGTACGTCTCATCCACACCCCATTCACCTACTAAACTACAAAGACCAATAACCCCCCGGTCTTGTCTTTTAAGATAATCGCTAACAAGACATGATACATAGTCCTCACAAAATGCTCCCTAGCAGCCATCATGGCCAACCAACCAATCAACCCTCGCACCAACAACCCCGTCCGTCCCGCACAACTCCCCCCGCCCACCGTCCTCCCATTGCGCCACTGCTCCCACAACGAAGACGCCTCTCCTATCGACGAAACAGAGTGCCTGCTTTCTCTTCTTTCGCCGTCCGCAGACGTCAAGCGGAATAAGGAGCATTATATCCTTGCTACGGCGGACCCGGCGACGCCCAAGGCTTCATCGCAGAACGACAAGAAGCGGAAGCGGGGTGTCGATGAGGCCGAGATTGCGCTGAGAAAGTCGAGGATGTTTAGGAGCGCTGCGCGGGCTATCCCCGGTGTGCCGATTGTTTACGTGAAGCGGTCTGTTATGGTTTTGGAGCCGATGAGTTCGTTGAGTGAGGAGCTGAGAGACGGGTATGAGAATGGGAAGTTCAGGGCTGGGTTGAACGATGATGCGGCTCCGAAGAAGAGTGGGGACGGGGAGAAGAAGAAGAAGGGATTTAAGAAGGTGAAGGGCCCGAATCCTTTGAGTATGAAGAAGCCGAAGAAGAGGGATGCTGAGTCGGCTGGGCCTCCGAAGAAGAGGCAGGCCACGGAGGATGGAGAGGGCAAGGAGTCTACGGAGAGGACGGAAGAAGGTGATTCTGCGCCCAAGGCGAAGCGGAGGAGACGTCATCATAACCGCGGTGCTAAAACTGAAGGCGAGGATGGAGGCGATGCGGCTCCTGCTGTCACGATGGAGGAGTGAACAGTTTCCACCTGCGTGCTTGCTTGTTGATGAAAAAGATATCGTTATTCATGGTATGGCGTTCCGGTTGGGCAAAAGACAATTACATCAGTTTAACCCAGTGTATATTCCAATGAACACAATCGATGTAAATCCATCCATTCATTCCCATCTAATCATACACTCACTCATAGACCCCAAAAGAGAGGGGAAAGAAAGAACAAAGAAGAGAAGAGAAGATCCCAAACGCCATCCACCATCCAACACAGCAATGCAATCAATCAACATACAATACAGCCTCCACCATCACCAACCAAACCTAATCCTTCTTCTCAGCGCCGACACCTGAAGGCGTAGACGAGAATCCCTGCTCAAAAGCCTTCTCATCCGCCCAGATCTTCTCAATTCGCTTCCGGTTCTCCTTCGCCGTATCGCGGTTCCGCTTGGCCCGCTCGTACCGCTCCGCGGCCAGACACTTGTTCACGTCGCGCTTGATGTCGTTGCAGTTTCCAAGGGCCTTGTGCAGGAAGCCCTTGGCGTGGCATTCGTCCAACGCCGTCATGATAGCTTCGCAATCTGTCATTCAATTCAAGTTAGTTTGGGGGTTAGTCGTACGGAGGAATAAAGCGTGACGGACTGGCATTGTAGGGAGTGTGGAGGTGGGAATGCATGTTGAATCTAGTTTTCTTTTCCGCGGGTCTCTAAAACAAGAGAGATTCTAATTTCAACCAAATGTTGCAAGATATACCCAACGTAGAATTATAGATAATCAAAGCGGCGCATACGAGAAATCTCCGAATCCATATCCCGGGCGGTGAATCTGTGAGCGAAATTCTGCCGGGCGGAAACTGAGGGGCCATCAAGAAAAAAAAAAAAAAAAAAAAGCAACCAGCGTTGACGATCTATCTAACTATCGCAATCCACAAGACTCTTTTTCTTGTGGATAATATTGACACTGGTTTGATCAGGTCAATTTAATGATTCTTTAACGGAATTTGGAAGAAAAAAGTTTTTGAATATTTTCTCGACTGGATAGATTTGCTCGCATCTTTACGACCTTAAAAGTTTGACGATTTCCGATTCTGTTTTCTTTATAATTGCCTTTCACGATGTCTTCTATGATTACAACTACTTCCTGGGTGCGACGGGGTGTCGCTGCCCAGATGCCAATTAAATATGAGATTGATGAAGAGGAGATGAATCGGATATCGACTCTCGCGAAAATGCAGCTCGAGGATGCTCAGAGTGATCTGAAGGCTGCCCAGGATGGGGATGGGGACGAGGATGATGATGAGGCTATGGAGGAGGATGACAAGAAGGATGTGATGGAGGAGGATTCGGGAAAGAAGACGGAGGCGGTCAATGCTGAGTACGTTTGGTTTTTTTTTTTTTCTGGCCGTGCGCGGGTTGGTCGGATGATTGAAGCTGACCTGGATGTAGTGACGATGACTTGAAGGAATATGATCTCGACCATTACGACAGTGATGAGGTCGACGAGGATGGCGAGAAGACTACCATGTTCGGCAATGTCAAGTCCCTTGCTTACCACCAGCCTAACGAGGCGGATCCGTACCTGGTGATGCCACCGGAAGAGGACGATGAAGAGAGAGAGGAGCTGCAGATCCTTCCCACCGATAACTTGGTGCTTGCAGGTAAGGTGGAGGATGAGGTCGCACACCTCGAGGTCTACGTTTACGAGGACCAGGACGCCAATCTCTACGTGCACCATGACATCATGCTGCCGGCCATTCCTCTCTGCACTGAATGGTTGGACATGCCTGTTGGAAAGACCGCCGAGGGCCGCACTACAGGAAACTTCGTGGCTGTTGGAACGATGGAGCCCGATATTGAGATCTGGGATCTGGACATTGTCGACTGCATGTACCCCAACGCCATCCTGGGCCAGGGTGGTGAAGGTGAAGCCAAGAAGCCAAAGAAGAAGAAGACCAAGGCGAACGACGAGTTCCACGTTGACGCGGTGCTCGCGCTCTCTGCGAACCGGCAACATCGCAATCTCCTTGCCTCCGCCTCGGCCGATCGAACGGTTAAACTTTGGGATCTCAACACCACAAAATGCGCCAAGTCCTACGCCCACCATACCGACAAGGTGTGCTCCTTGGACTGGCACCCGAAGGAGTCCACCGTCTTGCTGAGTGGCAGTTACGACCGCACTGTGGTGGCCGCGGACATGAGAGCCCCCGATTCCAAGGCCCGATGGGGTGTGGACACAGATGTCGAGAACGTACGCTGGGATATGCACGACCCCAACTACTTCTACGTGACGACAGACGGCGGTATGGTCTATCGCTACGATGTGCGAAACGTCCCCGCCAACCCTAAGGATTCGAAACCCGTGTGGTCCCTGCAGGCGCACGACGACTCGGTGTCAGCTTTCGACATTAACTCCGCCATTCCGGGTTTCCTCGTCACCGGTAGCACAGACAAGCAGGTTAAACTGTGGAACGTCGAGAACGACAAGCCTAGCATGGTCGTCTCACGCAAGCTGGAGGTGGGCAAAGTTTTCTCGACTACATTCGCCCCCGATCCGGAGGTCAGCTTCCGACTGGCCGTGGCCGGCAGCAAGGGCGTTGTGCAGATCTGGGACACTTCCACCAACGCCGCAGTCCGCCGGGCTTTCGTGTCGCGGATGCCCAGTCTGGAAGGTGAAGTGCAGGAGCGCACAGTCGGCGTGCAGGCGGATCAGAATGAGTCAGATGAAGAGGACGCCGCTCAGGAGGTTGGTGCAGCCGCCGGCGGTGCGGATGGCTGGGAGTCGATGGACGAAGACTGAGGTTCTAGAAACGGGGAAAGATATCCTAAGTAAGGAGGCTATTGTGTGCGCATTGCGTCAGTGTAGAAAGCCTTTTTGTCCGTTCTGTGTGTATAGTCCTGTTTGCCTTCCGTCTGACATGCAATGAAAACGTTGATACCCGGTTTGGTTTAAATTGCAACCCAATGGTGATCGAAAATGGGAACGGAGGACATGTCTGTACATGGCAACGATCGACCCGATCCTGGTCGAAAACGGTCCTAGTGTGAAACGGCCCGTCTAGCCAATCAGACCCGCCTTTTAATTTGGAGATTCAATTTTCCAAAGTAAAGCCGACAATTACTACTTAAGTGACCCGGGAATTGGCGATGGATGTCACGGTATCGCTTAGTGATGGGAAGAGGGGACAGTGTGATGCGGGAGGTGTAGAAACAAAGAAAAAATAAATTAACTAGTTCACAATATGCAAGTGACAGGTAGAATTACTATATCAGTGATTGCTTTTGTTATTTTCTTTCATTATGTACGACCAGGATTATCTGCAAATCCCACATGGGAAGAAAAAGCAAGGCTAAAAAATATATAAAAAGATTAAGAGGGAAAAAAAAGGAAGGGAAAAAAAGAGAGAGAGAGAGAGAGAGAGAGACCAGCCAAAGTAGCAGTGGGGGCTAACCTGACATGGTAACTCGTTAATCAGAAGGACCTCCATGGCGGGTGATATATCCGCTCTCTGTTGGCCCTTGTGACAATAAAAAGAGTTGTAAACGAAGTCCACAATTTACTGTGTGTATTAAGTTTACCACAGAGTGGGGTTGGCCCGCGCGCATTGACACCGAAAGCCCATTGTCGGGATCAGATTTCAGATCGGTTCAGGAGTCTCGACACGCTTCTGTGCGACAAATAGGCCCTCCGAAAACAAAGGAATGAATGAAAGCTGATACTACCTTAAAAGCATACAGTGGGAAGTATGTTGGATTGATCAATCATATACTACAGGGGGAAAGTTTACCTATCATACTTCGTAGATCATACCCTCCACAGTCATGCAAGCACTAATTGTACTTTGGTTGGCTAGCGATACGTTGAGACACGGCGGCCGCAGAGTTGTTTCATCCCCACTGCTGATGGTACATGGCGCTCCTGAGAGGTCATTCCGTTGCCGTTCCTGACGCCAATTCCGGCACCGTCGCTTGACCATTGCAGTGCGATGATGCTTGGGTCATTATGATTGCTCTGTTTTTTGTGGTCGGAGAGGTGAAAAAAAAGTTAATAATAATAATAAAAATAAAAATTAATCAGGGACATGAAATCTTCCTCTCAGGGCGGAGATACCAGGGGTCTTACCGTCTCATATTGGGCATCTAGGGCACGGGTGGAAGGAGGATACAATTATTCTCCTTGGAGAGGGATGGTATTCAGAAGGGGGTAACGTAGAGGTTACCTAGGTATCGAGTAGTAGTAATGGTTAGGTCATGATTTAATTTAATGACCATCACTCTGCGTCGTACAGGTGCCACGCAGCTGAGAAAACAGCCCTGGCGCTTCGCATCGTCCATATCTACCGAATGGCAGGTCGCAAGGAACCGCGTGGGATAGTCACATCAAGCGGTCTTGGCCGTCGGAAGACCGAATCATGCAAAGAAGACTGCATGAGGTCAGCAGAGATAATCACTTCTCCATTAATAGATACACAGATTGATTGATTTTTGGGGCCTTCCTGATGGGGTACTTCCGTACCGGGGGGAAGAGAAAACATACCATATTTACTCTGTACTCTGGGTCAACATCGGCACTTTGCGGTTTCCCATGGATCACACATAGGTTCTCGAACCTGAAAAAGCCCGAAATTCACGCATTGGAATCCACCAGAATCAGGGTCCCTGGCAGAAGGCGAAAGTTTTTCTATTGTTCACCAAGGAACAGGCTGTTTGAACCGTAGGAAGGTAGGTGACCGAACCGTGGGAAAAGCGGGAAGCATCCGACGAACAGATGGTGACTGGATAACCTTGAGGGGGACAAGCAGGTAAAACTCTAAATGGGTGTCCATCAAGCCTGGTGGATCGAAAAGCCTGGAACACACCCATAAGGCATTTGCCTCTGCCCCTACCTACAACCTTTTCTACCTTTCCTTTTCTTCTTCTTCCCCTCTCGTTTACATACTTCACTTGACTCTTTTCTTTTCTTCCTTTTCTCTTCCTTTTCTTCGTTTCTTGGTCCATTCCTCCCTGGGGGATTATTTACCTTGGATCAACTATTTCACTTCTTATTCTTTCATTCCATTCTCTTATCCTGGATTCCCTCCTTCCATCCTTGATTTGGTACTTTTTACCCTTCCTTATTAAAACCCCGTGGCGCGTCCTGGTTGTCCGCCCCGATTTACCCAGTACAGAGTGCTGCTGCAATTATTCCACCCCTTGAGTCGAGCAATCCACCCACTTGAGACGGACTTCCCACCATCCGATTTTCTGCTGTGCAAGAAAAAGGAATCGTCACCTCAACTTTCATTGAATGAAATATCCAGAAACTTTGATCTTCGACAAGCAACGGAGACAGAAAAACAACTAAAAAAAAAGAAATTCATACCAACGCGCACCGTCTATATCTGATAGCGGACATTCCAGTCATCGACCTTCCATTCCTTCTGGTGCCAACCCCGCAATCATCCACCACGCATTCTTTATCGGTACCGCAAACGAACGTTTGGCAGGCACTAAAAATAGGAGGGCCATTTGATAAGGAAGAGTGACAGTTGACGTGACAGTTGATCAAAAATAGCTGCTGCAACACAGTTAACCTATAACTCGGCCCTCAACCCGCTCCTTGGTTGAAAGTTATTGACCACTATATCGCATCGCTGTAAACTCTCGGAACCACTACCATGTCCTCGCTGACCCGAGCATTTACCAAGCGCCACAAGCGCCCCGAGGTATCGGCACCGATGCCCTACCGGGAAGGACAAGTCAAATTCTCTGCTGGAACCATCAACCGGGTTAAGATCTCAGCACCGGTGGAGTTGCTGTCCACCACGAATATGCTCGCTTACAATGCGCCCGATCTTCATTCAGCGGGATCGTCATCTACGTCATCTCTCCAATCTCCGGATGACTCAGAATTGTCTTTTGCGCATCAGAGTTTCGGATCGCCCATCACAACACCCAGCGACTCTCCCGTGGAGCCCAATCCTCTATCGTCATATTTCCCCAAGCGCTCAGCGACTGTGACCAGTCATCCTCGATCCTCTACATCTACCGCATCATCTACGGATGCGCCCTTGGTTCCCAAGCGGGCGCTTTCCCACACGAAACGCTCCCACCAAGAGTTAGCTCGTCAGCGCTCCATCTCTCGGCTATCGCCTCCTCCATTAAATTCCGTGCGCTGCAGTCCTGCAGTTCGCCCAGCGCAGGAATACTCTAGCCCCGAACCACATCCCTTTGGGAAAGAGCTGGAGCAAGTGAATGAGGTCGTGGAAGAGTTTGGTGGCACTCGTGTGCTCGATGAAGAGGAGCTTATTTTACAGAACAAAGGCCTGATGAAGTTCACCGTGGACGAATACCTGGTAGAAATTGAAGATCTTTACGGAAGCATCTTTGACGATCGAATGGGCCCAATTGCTTCCGGACAGTGGCTATGAAGCTTCATTGTCATGCGGAAACGGCTCGATGACGTCGACCGGAAAGGGAAAGAACTGGATTTTGTCTCATCATTTGTTATGACCTACTAATATTCGCTCTTTTACGAATTCGTCTGCTTATCTGTGTTTTTTTACCGGCTTTATACCATTGGGAGAGGATCTGTTCCTTGTGTGATTTTTTTCTATTATCTTATGGACTATGGTTCGATTTACATATTGTATTTTCGTGATGGGTTATGTTACGGTACTGAAATCGAAGGAACCGATGATGAGTCTCATCTCTGTACTTTTTCCTTTCCGATCGACTAGTATTAGAGGCCATGCCTGCAGTTTTAAACCTAAATCACTTATCTACAAGTCTACCCCGAGTACTAGGTACGCCGTTACCACTCCTTAGTACTACTACTAGTAGGAGGTACACACTAGCAAGCCATTTCCATATTGTCCAATTAGGCGCTGAGTGGTGCACGGATACGCGCCGGTCACGCGCTGGTCACGGGGATAAGCTCCACTAATGCCCCACAAGAAAAATTTCAAGCAGGATGCTTCTCCGCCTCTGTCGCGTCCCTCGTAAGACCAGCTCCTCCTTTTCATCTGCTTACGTCTAATGCACTGCTTGCTACGATATTGTGTGTGTTAGATGACAGATGGGGCTGTCTTCGGTCGCCATTAACTCCCAGTGCGCCTATCATCTGTAGCATCAGCGAAACATTCAAGTTTTGACCACGCTGGCGGTGTCGTGTGCTCTTGTTCTCCAATACTCGGCTTGTGTTATAGCGAGAGTTCTGGGGTCCAATAAATGACGAGCATTGGGCAAAGTCTCCCTTCCAGCTGCATATCTGAACATTCCTGCTGACCTATCATGGTCGCCCTCGCCACGCCCTCGCGCAACCCAGCGACGGGAATTAGACAGCCTAGCCGCTCCAAGATGCTAGCTACGTCTTCTCCTGTTCCCATCTTGAAAACTGCTAAGGAAACTCCCACGGCCGGTATCAAACATAAAATGGAGGATATGAGTCTTTCCCTGTCCCCCTCGTCTTCTGGTTCGTCCGACGGCGAGGGGCTCCCCAGCCCGAGGAAGCGGGCTCGGGTGCAGTTCAAGGATGTTGAAATGGTTTCGTTCGATGAAAGGGTGCAAGGGAACACCGGGGCCCCGGAGAAGAGTGCGGCAGTGGTTCGCGAGGAGGTGCGCCGTGCTATCCAACGGCATATCTCGGGCACCGACAGTGAAGCCTACGACCGCATCAAGGAAATCTTCTCGGTGGATCCCCGGCGTGGGGAAGAGGATGGCATGTTTTCCTACGATGTACCTACACACACGACTTTAAGATATCATCTTCTGGGCCTTCTGTCAAATGTGGCTTCCTTGGATCGCAGCTGCAACGGGCTGGTCAACGCTGTTCTAAACAGTGTATGGCTCGGGCGCGACGAGTCCTACGTTAAGTTGTATATTCGCTTCCTAGGTAATCTTGCGGCCGCCCAGGGAAGCTATCTGGGACCGGTGCTCAAAATGCTCGTCACATACCTAAGCGAGCTTCCCAAGGGTATGGGCAAGCTGCCGGGCTATGCTCCCGTTCTCGTGCCAGAGATCTACACCCGGGTCCACATGGCTCTTCGTCATATAGTGCATTTGATTCCATCCGGGAGCGGGTCATTATCGCCCGTCTTGTCCATGCAGTTTCCTTTTGATACCGATTCTCCAAAGGCCAACATTGCGTACACGCAAAACCTCATCAGAGTAATTGGCTATGCCCCAGAACTCCAGGCGGATATCCTTGCTCTCCTCACTGAAAAAATCGTCAAGATCGATGTTCAGATTCAGGTAGATATGGACGATCTTGACGATGAAGAGGAAGAGGAGGTTCTGCATGCTGTCTCTCCCGGGGCCATTATCTTTGGTGAGGACGATGACGATGACAATGCATCGGTCGTGAGCGATGACTCGATAGACGCCGAGTCTCAGCGGATTAAGACGATAAAAGATAATGTTCTCAAGCTGGATGGCATGATTGATTCTCTGTTTGAATACTATGCGCCGACCTTCACCTCCGGTACTTTGGACGACAAGGAGAATACGCTCGATCTCCTACTTAGCCACTTTCAAAGCATTATCCTTCCTACTTATCGCTCCCGCCATTCCCAATTCCTCCTCTTCCACTTCTCTCAGTCGTCCCCAGATCTTGTTGACCGCTTTACCACGGCATGCATCGAGATCGTTTTCAATAAGCTGCAGCCAGCCATCACACGTCAATCTGCCGCTGCCTACCTCGCCAGCTTCGTTGCCCGAGGTGCACACATCTCTGGTGAGATTGTGCGAGATGTTTTCGGTCTGCTAGGCGGACACTTGCGGGATCTGCGCGACCTCTATGAGCCTTCCTGCCGGGGTCCTGACCTCCGTCGCTATGGCCCCTTCTACTCTACCGCACAGGCCCTACTCTACATCTTCTGCTTCCGCTGGCGGGACCTGACTACTGCCGCGACGGAGGGCGATAGCATTGAGCAAGTAGACGAGCTTGAGATAGAAGACATCACCTTCCCGCCAATGGTGAAGGAGGCCCTCCACCAGACCATCTATTCTAAGCTGAACCCGCTGAAGGTGTGCTCGCCCGCCATTGTATCAGAGTTCGCACGGATGTCCCAGCACCTGAATTTGATGTACGTGTTCAGCATTCTTGAAACGAATAAGCGAATCCGCATGACATCTTTCCGGAACCTGGCCGCCCTGGCAGACCCGCGGTTCAGCATAGTCGAACGAGAGACTCGTGCCGGCGATGATCTCGGTTATCAACTCGATGCATACTTCCCATTTGACCCGTACCAGCTCCCCCGCAGCCGGCACTGGGTGGAAGCTGACTACATCCACTGGCGCGGTATCCCCGGTGATGGCCAGGATGAATCCGATAGTGAGGCTGATGATTTCGAATCGGACGATGATCTCAGTGACGAAACGGGCACTGATGAAGAGTAAATCCGTTCTCCTTGAAGGAAAACAATTACATTCTTCCCTCCCCTTTTCAGTTCCCAATACCCCTTTCTTGAGCGTTGCTTAACGACTCTTTCTAAAAAAGAAAAGTTTTTTATGCTGTTGTTAGCGTGGCGTCTGGAGCGTCATTGTGTTATTTCAACTGTTGATTTTTTTTCATTTCCTCCCTGATCTTGCGAGAGATACCTACCATGCCTTGTTTGATTTGGTCCACCTACTTGGTACGCATGATGATGTGATTGGTGAATGTATGATAATGCATGGTATAGAATGAAATTCACTCTTGGGAAATATACTACCTGTGCTTCTGTAGCTGCGTAGTACATTCTCCCAATGAATACTGTATATATACAAATAGAGAAGGACTTTAAGACTAATACATGTTCACACTAATACATACCAAAGAAAAAAAGAAGCTTGGAACAACTAACGTCGTCAGTATCTTGCCGGTGAATCATAGAAGAAGATAATATACAATTGGGGGTATGCTTACCGGATGACAGTGCCCCCAGCGGAATATATTTTAGTTGATAGAAGAATTATTGGCTTCCAGTTCAAGGAGGAACTTGAAGTTTGTCACTGAACCCAGAAGGCTGACTCCAGACTTCAACAATACTAAGTTAGAGATAGCTTTTGTCCCTAGCCGACCATACTCCAAGTATTGCATCATATCGATGGGTATAACATTGGTTTTATATACTTCTGTTCCGACATTTGGCAGTCTATAATAGCGTGTACTAGACCACATAGCAACGATAGAATACGATTCTTCTAGCTTGCTAGAGCAGGTATGGCCACAATTGGGCACCAGATGGGTAATTTCGAGCGATGTATGAAATGGCTGATGTTGAGTTGGTTTCCGCATTAGGCAAATTCGGATGGGCACTGATGTTCCCGATTCACTGATCATCGATTGCTTGCTTGGCAACAAACCATCTTGATAGTCTAGCCCACACCTCTTGCTCTCAAATCTGGCCTGAGTACGAGTCGCCGAGAGATGGGTGCTCTTGGCAATACACAATATACCAATCACAAAGACGATCCAACGACTGGGTCCATGGTTAGTAGTTGATTGCCAAAAAGAACAATATACAAACGGCTCAAGGAACAATACAAACCAAGTCTGCCCCCCCCCCCCCCTTGGTCTCAACGACCCGTCAATGCGACAAGAATCTCAAAATGCCGAAACAAAGGGGGGGCTGGGTTTGCAGACTCTCTAGCCGACTGGGAGCCAGAATGGCATTCCACCATTGGAAAAATCAAATCCTGACGACCAAAGCTGGCGTCCCACTGGTTTAGTGCTTAAGCTCGTATCAATGGGACATGAGCATATAAGCATGGGTGGAGTGCCCAACTTTCTAGGTTGACTCTTGCAGCAACTTCGAGTGGACAGAACTCCTGCATTTACAGCCTAACTATGGACGGCGTCAGGCGATATTACAGCTCCCTCGAAACTCGCCTCGGAAATTGGATTGTCTACGGCGGCCGTGCCCACCTGGGCTACTACTCCCCAGATGTCTGGTGGCCATTTCCAGTCCACCACGCGCTTATTGCGATGGAAGATCAAGTGTTTCGATCCCTGCGTTTGAGCCCGGGTGCTCGAGTTCTCGATGCCGGTTGCGGAGACGGCCAGGTGGCGATCCATTTCGCACAGAAGGGCCTGCAAGTGCATGCCATCGATGTTCTTCCAGAGCACGTCCAACAGGCACAACAGAATGTCCGGGAGGCTATTGATAAGGTTGACTGGAACGCCAAGCACAACTCAGACACAGTCACGCCCTTGGATGCATTGACGGTCCAGCAAGGTGACTATCATGATCTTCAAATCGTGGACAAGGGTTCCCTGGACGGCATCTACACCGTAGAGACATTGGTCCATGCGACCGACCTGAACCGCGTCTTATCAGAGTTTTACCGAGCACTCAAACCCGGAGGCAGGGTCGCCCTATACGAATATGACCACTGGGGTGATGACAATATTCAGCAAACAAGCCAATCGGAAAAGGAGGCTATGGACAAGGTCCGCTTGCATGGTGCTATCTCAAAGGCGGCAAATAGACAATCCCCGTCGCCTTCAGAGGACCGAAGCGAGAATGCTTGCCCACAGAAAGGCTTGGTTGGGATGCTGAACAAGGCTGGCTTTGAAGATATTCAGGAGAGCGATATTTCGTCAAATGTCAAGCCAATGATTCGGTTTCTCGCTTATTTCCTATACGTCCCATCCATGATTGTGTTGGCTTTGGGCTTGGAAGCCTATTTCATCAACACAGTCGCCATCGTCGCCAACTACCAGCGTGGGTGGAAGTATATTGCGGTAACGGCGCGGAAGCCTGCGACAGTATCTGGTCAATGATGTAGGGGTTGAGCTCTCGTCAAAATATCTTTGCAATCTATCTCAGCACTTTGTTAATAGTTTTGAATGGATTGTCTTCATTGTTCTTGAATGCAGTACTGTACACTATTGAAATTGCAGCCTCGCTTGATCCAACGCCGTTTATGCACATCTATCAAAATCCAAAAAAAAAGCAAATGCCATTGGTAGGCCCAAATGAGCGATATAAACCGCGGTGTAACGTCTACGCATTAAAAATGGCTTTCATGTCGGCGCAAGCGTCGCGATAAAGGATATCTACCTGTTCCTGATCACGCCAGGGGTTCGGGGACTTGTCCCAGGCATGCGGTACTTTCTCAATCATCATGGCGCGGACATGTTTGTTAATATTTTGTAAACGACGCACGAATTGCTGACCTTCATTGAGGAGCATGTCCCATTCACAGATGTACAAAAAGATGTCATGGGGAAGGGCATCGGCGAGAAGGGCATCGGCGGCCCGAACGGGCGATGCATATGGTGACCGGCGTTCCGCAAGATCCGGCAAGTATGCATCATCGAATAAATTGGTGAAGAACTCCGGGAGGGTCTTATCGGGCATGATACTCGCATTCCGCCGATGCTCACGGGATTCTTCGAAATCCAGGATGGGATACCAGCAAAAGAGAGCAACGATGTGGACGTCGCTGGCGGAAGCATCGACGAGCTGTTCGGTAGACCCCGCGCGATCCAGCCATGGGTCGCGGGATTCCTGGCACATTAGACTGCGGAGGCGTAAAGGTACCGTGACTGCCAGATTGCCACCAGCCGAAAACCCACTGAGAGCAATGCGTGAGACGTCCAGTCCTAGCTCAATGGCATGGGCGGAGAGATACTGGATCGCTCGCACCCCGTCATCTACAGCGGCGGGAAACGGATGTTCGGGGGCTCGACGGTATCCGACGCTGACCATGACGGCGCCAACTTCCGCCAGGACGGACTGGGCCCAGCGACTATCGTCGGTCGGACATCCTAGAGTGAACCCACCGCCATGAAAATTAACCACTACTGGAAATCTGCGACCTTCTTTAATATCTTGAGAGTACTCGGGTGGACAGTAGAAGTACAAATCAATTCGTGACGATCCGGACGGGATGGATCGTACGAAGGTGCGACGAGGAGGTCGTGGGAATGAAACATGGTGGATGAACATGCCAATGCGCATTAGAAACCGCCAAAAGACGGCCTGCACGAGAAGCCACCATCGCGACGACGCCATGACTAACAGAAGATGGCCCTTGTCCAAGGGCGAACTCGGATGATTCGGTTGTGGAGGTTGGAGGATCGGAAGGGAAGGAGAAGACGACCATGAATGATTAAGATCAGTACAGAGACGATCGCAATTCACGGAATACGAAGAAACCGGAAGGATCACGAGAGGACGAAAACTAAGATGGACTCTCGTGGGAGGCAAATCGGGAAAGTCAAAAGAGAGGAATACCAGTAATCAATGGCATGGATGGATCATGGAGGAACTAAGAAAAAGCCAAGCCGGGAATGGGGACACCAGAATGTATGTATGGATGGATGTATGTAGGTACGTATTTAGGTACAGTAGTAGTAATAGTCGGAGGAGGAGGATGACTGTACTTGTTGATAAGAGCACCAGGGGTCACAGAACGGAGAGAAGCAATAAGAAACAGGGAACTATGGGAATTGTCTCATAATCCGATCATTCTAGACACTTTCCTCTCGAAACTTGGCTTGGTAAAAAAAAAAGGTTTCATTTATAAGACATTTGAGAAAGATTCCGAGGCACTCAGCCGATGACATCACGGTTTGTTCCGGACCCTGACAAAGTCAAAAAGCGACCTTTCTCTCGTTTCTCCCCTTTCATGCCCTTTTTTTCTCTTTCTCGAGTTCGATATTTAACTCTTTAACACCCCCCGCAAGAGTCCCGGGCTTTCACCAAATCCTACGGTCTCCAATTGACCCTGTCCCTCGTGGTAGAGATCAGCTCTCCCGACTCGTACCCTTCCCGCCGTGTGCCCCTCCTTCACCGGGGTAAAGCGGCGTTTGTCAAAGTTTACTCCTGATTCTCCCTACAAGTTACTCTCCTGTATGACTCGGGCGTCCATTACGCAAACGCAGTAATCATGTCCATCAAACGGGCCCTCTCCAAGATCGTCCCCAATAAAATCGACACAAATGACTCGTCTCCCGCCCCCAGCAGGCGTTCGGGGTCAATGTCCCCTCGACGCAGCATCCTGAGTGGATTCTTGCGGGATCGTGGCGGCTATGCCTCTTCTTCGGATGATGTTTCTGATGACTCTTCGTCCCCCACTACTGGGACGATGAGCAAAAATCAGCAGAAACGCCTTGCGCGTCAGCAACGCCGACAAGCGCGCTCTCGTCTCAGCGAGGAGCAACATTCTGAAGAATCTGAACGCCACAAGGAGGCTGTCGCGGCTGCCGCTCGTGAAGAGACTGCAGAGATGAAGGCTCGCTATGGCGAGCTGCCCCTCCTTCAGTCGCGCTCTCGCCCGCGGGAGCTCCGGACCAAATTTGAGAATATTTCGGCGGACTCGGTGGGCAAGGAGGTCCTCTTCACGGCGCGCTTGCATATCATCCGTCGTATGAGTGCCAAATTGGTTTTCCTTGTCTTTCGCCAACAGCTTTACACTTTTCAGGGTGTGTTGCATGAATCCCCAGGCAAGAGCTCCATCGCCATGATTCAATGGGTCGAGCACTTGCGTGTGGGTTCTATAGTACAGGTTCGTGGCACTGTTCAAGCCCCAGAGGTGCCAGTGCTAGGATGCACCATTCATGATGTTGAACTGGCCATTGATGCGATTCACGTTGTCGTTCGGCGGGAGGAGCCTGTCCCGTTCAGCGTCTATGAGGCCGAGATCCAGACCCCGGAGGAAGAGCGCGTTGAAGGTCGGCGTAGTCATATCCCTGACCGCACGCGTCTGACCAACCGCTTGCTGGACTTGCGTACGCCCACATCTCAATCAATCTTCCGCATTCAATCAGCGGTGGGAAATCTTTTCCGGACCGCCCTTGACGAGCAGAATTTCATCGAGATTCATACACCCAAGCTGCAAGGGTCCGCCACTGAGTCTGGAGCTAGTGTATTTGAGGTAAACTACTTTGGTCGGGATGCGTTCCTGGCTCAGAGCCCCCAGTTGGCCAAACAGATGGCTATTGCGGCGGACTTCGGTCGAGTGTATGAAATTGGCGCTGTGTTTCGCGCGGAGAATTCCAATACCCACCGCCATTTGACAGAGTACACTGGACTGGATATTGAAATGGCAATTGAGGAGCACTACCATGAGATGTTGGAGGTTCTAGATGCTGTGATCAAGAGTATCCTGAAAGGAGTCTATGGCCGCTTCCGTCGTGAGATCGAGACCGTGAAACAGCAATTCCCGTCCGACGACGTCGTTTGGCTCGAAGAAACGCCAATCATCCGGTTCTCCGACGGTATCAAGATGCTCAACGACTCCGGGTGGCGTGATGAGGAGGGAAATCCCTTGCCGGTAGATGATGACTTACATACTCGCGATGAGATTCGCCTCGGCGAGCTCGTCAAGGAGAAGTACGGCACGGACTACTACATCCTCGACAAGTTCCCCACCAGTGCACGTCCCTTCTACACGATGCCCGATCCTGATGACAACCGCTTCACTAACTCCTTTGACATATTTATTCGGGGCCAAGAGATCGTCTCAGGCGGTCAACGTATCCATGATCCCCATATGCTTGAGGAAAATATGCGCCGTGTGGGCATCAATCCTGACACCATGGAGGAATATATGGAAGGCTTCCGATGGGGCGCACCTCCCCACGCCGGCGCTGGCGTGGGCCTGGAGCGTTTCTTGATGCTTCTTCTCAAGCTGGGTAACATTCGTCTCGCTTCTCTCTTCTATCGTGATCCTAAGAGTTTCCCCGCCAAGCCCCCAACTTTGCAATTGCGGCACCCAGAGTCTTCGACTGTCGAACCATCCTGGGTCCGCGACAGAAAAGGTCACTTGGCGCCCGATGAGAGCCACCTGCAGCCGATAGAGCATCTCATCGCGAACTACGGTGATGCGACCTCTACATCATGGGGAGATGAGCGATTTAAGATTTGGCGTGACCTGGCGACCGGCGCAGCAATTTCGTACGTGCCTAGCAGCAGCAATTATGCAGTGATCCCAGGTGATCCTCTGTGCGACGCCCGGCAGTATTCGCGCGTGATCACTCAGTTCCTGCAATGGTTGCGCCGGGAGACCAAGTATAAACCAATTTGGCTCTTATGTTCCCCTCAGGTTGAGGCGATTCTAGGCGAGAAACTTGGCTGGCGTAGTTTGTCTTGCATTGCAGAGGAGCGTGTAGATCCGTCCCGCAACCAAGCTGCTTCAGATGGGGAAATTGCGCGGAAGATCCGACACTCGGAGAGCGAGGGTATCAAACTCGTGGGCATGAGTCAGGGCGAGATGGTACCGGACAACATCCGCGAGAAGATTGACCAGCGCATCCAGGACTGGCTGTCCAACCGTAAAGGCACTCAAGTGCACCTGTCTGAGATCCGTCCATGGCGTGATCATGCCCATCGCTGGTATTTCTATGCGGTCGACAAGGAAGGTACTATTTGTGCCTTTGTCGCCTTGGCCACTCTATCCCCATCCCATGGCATGCAGGTGAAATACAGCTTTGACTTCCCAGGGTCTCCAAATGGTGTCATTGAGCATATCGTTACTCATGCCATCCAGACAGCGGCTCGGTCTGGAGTCAAGTCACTTACTTTTGGTGCTGGCGCCACCACCACTCTTACCCCGGGGCACAACATGCACGGAGCCAAGGTGAAGATGCTGCAGCATACCTACGAAACCTTGGCGAAGCAGTTCCATTTGGTTCGCAAGAGCGAGTTCCGTGCGAAACTGGGAGCACAGGACGACCCCCTTTACATTGCCTACCCACCCCATGGGCTAGGGTCGAAGGGTATCCGGGCTGTTCTTCACTTTTTCGAAGATTAATGTTCTGTCTTCTCATGTCAGGCGTTTATTACAGAGGGCTATTGTTTACAGATTTGTTATTTTGAGCATTTCAACTCTTCCTGGAATATATTCCCCATGTTGTTGTGCTGCTTCGTTTCCCTTTCTTTTGCTTCTTTCCAAATAATGACCCCTTCTCTCATGCTCTCTTATGATTTTTATGTGTCTGTGAAGTTATGTTATGTTAATCCTTCGCCACGCAAGTAATACATCTAGATGAGGCCATTTTAAACTTAGAGTTTGCATAAACTGAGTCTGATGATATCCAAGCATTTTGCCATTATTCTTCCTAGATTTTACAGACAACGAATACATATATAATTTTACCTTAGCTCATTAGTTATCTTTCTTATCATCCGGGTGCTGTGAGTTCATGTAATCAACAGCCCTTCCCAGCTCTCCCAATACCCACCATCCGATCACCACCGCTAAGCATCCAACAACACATATATAACATGCCGTCGGTACCAGCGACTGCGGGAAGATGTTCCATAAAAAGGGATCGAGGATGATATCCGCTGCAACCGGGGGGACATTCTCCATTAGTGTCTTATTAAGAGAAAAGTAGTCCGCCGCCGCAGTGACACGAAGGAAGAGCACTGAATCAGATGTAGGTGCTTGATCATGAAACGAGGACGATTTGCGAGGAACAGCATTAGACTGGGGGGAGGCGAGATGAGCTTGGGAATAGAGGCTGATCGAGGAGAAGAGGGTTGGATCATCAATGGCCTGTGGAAGGGTGTGCGTTGCTAAGGTAAAGGCGGTCGGTTGCTTTGACCGCTTGTCAGCTAAACTTCTTTGATCGTCTTGCAGGACATCGATGGGGAGTATAAGGGGACGTACAGTTGCCAGCCAACACACCCGCACCTCATACCGTTTGCCGGGGTTCAGGTTCTCGAGGAAATACCATGAGTCTGTACCCGGGGACTCGTTGGTCGGAAATGTAGCGTTTATTCGGGTTCGGAGAACAGGACTAGAGGGGGAGAGACGATCTAGACCTAGGTCATCGAGGGTAGGATCGACCGTGGGGATGGTGAGGGGTTGCGGAGCGATGAAGATCGTTTTCTCGGTATTGGCGACAGCGAGGAACGCGAGGGTGCAGATTAAGAAAAGGTATTGAAGTAGCATCATGGCAAAGATTTCAGTACGTTTGATTAATGCTTTTGCTAGACAGTCATGATTTTAATTCATGCACAGCCAGGTAGGGTAGACTGGCTGTATGTATATATGTAGTAGATGAGGTAGATCTGATGTAGACTGTTAAATCCCTAAAAACCTTAGAAGGAATGGATTCAGTGTCAATACAAACTTACTATCAATTAGAACATTGTGTAGCAGTCTCGGTGACCAGGTATAGAGCACTGCGTGTCTGAGCTCTAATTGACGTGAGTACTTAACTACTTCCTGTCGCAAGCTGTTCGGATCCATCATAATGCAATACAGCTGCAGGAAGAAATGCCGTCATTGACACGTGATCGACCCTTGCCGTGGACTAAGCCTAAAGTGATAGCTGAGTCAGCGGTGGGCTGGAAGGGCGGTCACGGCATGGGCAGGGCCAATCAGAAAAGGAGTTGTGGACGACGCGACCCAACGGATGGATCAACAACGAAAAGGTGGAAGTCCTGCTTTTGGGTTGACAGCGCATCGCAAGACCACAACAAATTGACCGATCATTCGGCTTGGGCAATTGTTTAATTGATCCCCTTAGTCTATTTTTCTCCTCGTCAATCACCCCAAGGGTTTGTTCTCCTCCCCCATTTCCTCCCACCGGTTCCCCTTTCCCTTTGTTTTGTTTCCTTTCCCAGGTGGTGTTTTTTTCGTTTACTTACCCCTGAAACTTCCTTACAGATCAGGGCATTTTTTCCCCCTCTAAAGTCCTTCCACATTCCACCCACTCCGTTTCACACACCCCCCTCCTTCCAATCTTAATTCCTTTGTCACTCCGACATTCGTCCCCTTTAGACTCGACAAGATGAGAGAAGTTATTAGTTTGAACGGTATGTGTTTTCTCATCTTTTCCTCACACCGCCCCCTCCACGGGAGTCGGTCTGTTGACCGTTACTAATTGGTTTTTTACGTGTGCAGTTGGTCAGGCTGGTTGCCAGATCGCCAATTCTTGCTGGGAGGTACGAAGATAGAAATATACTAGAAGATAGAGGTGATCGGAATGTGGCCACTGAAACTAACAATATGGTTCTATTCTAGCTCTACTGCCTTGAGCACGGCATCCAGGTATGTGATCACGATGACAATCCATCCATCTTCATCTCAATCGGGCAGATAAACTAATCGGTATACGATAGCCCGATGGTTACCTGACCGAGGAACGCAAGAAGGAAGACCCTGACCATGGTTTCAGCACTTTCTTCTCTGAAACTGGTACGTCGCCTTGACTTGTAGTCTTGCCGCCGAACTCTCTAACAGGCCATGGTATCTTAGGTCAGGGCAAGTATGTTCCTCGTACCATCTACGCCGATCTGGAGCCCAATGTTGTCGATGAGGTCCGCACTGGCACCTACCGTACCCTTTTCCACCCCGAGAACATGATCACTGGCAAGGAGGATGCCTCGAACAACTATGCCCGTGGTCACTACACCGTTGGCAAGGAGATGATCGACCAGGTCCTCGATAAGGTTCGCCGTGTGGCCGACAACTGCGCTGGTCTCCAGGGCTTCCTCGTCTTCCACTCCTTCGGTGGTGGTACTGGTTCCGGTTTCGGTGCTCTCCTGATGGAGCGTCTGTCCGTGGACTACGGCAAGAAGTCCAAGCTGGAGTTCTGCGTCTACCCTGCCCCCCAGAACGCCACCTCCGTTGTTGAGCCCTACAACTCCATCCTGACTACCCACACCACCCTTGAGCACTCCGACTGCAGTTTCATGGTTGACAACGAAGCCATCTACGATATCTGCCGCCGCAACCTTGGCATCGAGCGCCCCAGCTATGAGAACCTGAACCGCCTGATCGCTCAGGTTGTCTCCTCCATCACCGCCTCCCTGCGTTTCGATGGTTCCCTGAACGTGGATCTCAACGAGTTCCAGACCAACCTGGTCCCCTACCCCCGTATTCACTTCCCTCTCGTTGCCTACGCCCCCGTCATCTCCGCGGCCAAGGCCTCCCACGAGGCTAACTCCGTCAACGAGATCACCATGTCTTGCTTCGAGCCCAACAACCAGATGGTCAAGTGTGATCCCCGCAATGGCAAGTACATGGCTACCTGCTTGCTCTACCGTGGTGATGTTGTGCCCAAGGAGACCCACGCCGCCGTTGCTACCCTCAAGACCAAGCGTACTATTCAGTTCGTCGACTGGTGCCCTACTGGCTTCAAGATCGGTATCTGCTACCAGCCCCCTAAGCAGGTTCCCAATGGTGACCTTGCCAACCTCAGCCGTGCTGTGTAAGTTCCCTGTCTTCCCCAGTGTGCAAAAAATAAGAAAGCTGACCAGTCATAGCTGCATGCTGTCCAACACCACCGCTATCTCCGAGGCCTGGTCCGCTCTCGACCACAAGTTCGACCTCATGTACTCCAAGCGTGCTTTCGTTCACTGGTACGTTGGTGAGGGTATGGAGGAAGGTGAATTCTCTGAGGCCCGTGAGGACCTGGCTGCCCTCGAGCGTGATTACGAGGAGGTCGCCAGCGACTCGCTGGAGGAAGAGGTTGAGGCTGAGTACTAAGTCTAAAACACCGCTCGGTCAGCATTTCGGCCATGGTTGTACTCAACCATGTGATCGGAAGCTGATAGTGATGGTTTCCGAGTTGTTGTGCTGGGGACAGGCGTTGGCCAAGGTTATGTGATTGAACTGCCTGCAAATAAGAGAGAAGCTTGGATTAGCACAGACTTTGTTTTCTTTGTCTGATATATTTTTAATATCCCTGAAATAGCGATGAATTTACCGCTCCTTCCATATGTAGCTTTTGCACGATAGAATATGATTAAGAATGCAAAGGTGTGATTGAATAGTAAAACTGTATTAGTATACCAAGGACCACCAGGAACAAGACTGTTGGCTTCCAGTAGCGCACTGACTGAGTAAATGAAGACAAGTTCATTACCCTGTATCCTTCATGCAAGCAACTCCGCCATGGGTCGCTGCCTAAGCTCCATACTACTAGTAGTTGGGTTGAGGGTGTCTGACCGCCCGGCAGAAACCCCCCCGGACCCAAGCCTAAGCTACGGAAGTAAATGAACCCAATCCCTCATTTCTCCCCCTCTAAGTGAACGCTGCGCTTCTTCCAGCTTGTTGCAAGCTCTCTCGGCAACCCTATCCCGTCCATATTTACTTGCTTGCCCAATCCTTTAACCCCGTGTTTCAAAGTGAACGTGCTATCTTTTCTACTATCGCAACTCGATCGGGGCATTAATTCCCGCCATTCCGTCCAACTTTACCTCATCCAGAAGGCAGCGCTTTGACCATCCATGCCCGTGGCATCTTCTGGATAAGTTGGCAACCCTGAAACGTTGAAGACCCCTTGTCGAGCATCCCGGGAAGATTGCTTAGAAAGAGGGGAGGCTTGTTCCTCCGGAATTACAGCTATGGCTGACAATAGTAAGTCTAGCCAGCAATGACGCAACTCAGATGCGGGTGGGAGAGCTCTCAGGGGATGGGTGCACCCCGTATACGATGGATACACCGGAACTGACGGGTTTCCTTTTTACTTCCAACAGCACGACACCCGAACCTCAATCTGACTCCTGAGGAAAAACGCGTTTTCTATCAACTCTTCCAAGCCGCCGACACAACTAATCTGGGTGTCATCACTGGCGAAGTCGCCGTCCCCTTCTTTGAGAAGACCAAGTTAGCCCCCGACACTCTCGGCTTGGTACGTCGATGCACAACGAGCTCCACTGCACACCCCTGGTCTCCTTATGGAAGAACCCTAGCTAACAATATCTGGGGTGTGCTGTAGATATGGCAAATTGCGGATAGGGAGAATCGCGGTCTCCTAACCCCCGCTGGGTTCGGTGTTGTCTTGCGGTTGATTGGGCACGCTCAAGCCGGCCGTTCCCCGTCAGAAGAACTGGCTTTACAACGTGAGTCACTCGCAGCTGTTTAGTTTATATTCTTATAGAATGTCTGAGAGCATGATGTTGACTACAATTTTCACCAATTAAGCCGCGCCGCTGCCCAGGTTCGATGGCATTCAAGTCGATACGTCTGCCCCCCCGCGTGAGGCAGGCGCAACAAGTCCTCCGCCAACTCCTGGAGCATCGATTCGTGTTCCCCCGTTGAACCCAGATGATGTGAATAAGTTCCTGTCGCTGTTTGAGAAATCGGATGTCTCCAGGAGTGGTGTTCTTTCAGGCATGCAGTGCCCACGCTTCATGAAGGGATAGATCTCAGCTAACCATGTAAATAATTATAGGCGAGATCGCTAAACAGATTTTCGAACGTGCAAGGCTGCCCAATGAAATCCTTGGCAGGATATGGAATCTCGCAGACACCAAGCAACGTGGTGCCTTGGATGCGACCGAGTTCATCATTGCCATGCATCTTTTGACCTCCTACAAATCAGGTGCAATGAGAGGAATTCCTCAGACTCTACCACCAGGTCTATATGAAGCTGCTGCGCGAAGGGGATCTAGCCGTGCCTCCATTGGTTCCCGTCCGGGACTTGATGTTCCCCCAGTGCCCGCAATTCCCAAACAATTTACTGGACCACAACGGACGCAGAGCCCTATCAACAGGCCATTTGGGTCCCCTATTTCAGCACAGTCTACCGGTGTGGATTGGCTGGTCACTCCCCACGAAAAAACACAATTCGATGGTATCTTCTCGACCATCGATTCGGCAAAACTTGGCAAAATCACCGGGGACCAGGCTGTGACTTTCTTCATGAATGCGCAACTACCTGAGGAAACCCTTGCTCAGATCTGGGACTTGGCGGATATCGATGCTGATGGACAACTAACGAAGGATGAATTTGCAGTTGCTATGTATCTGGTTCGTCAAGTACGCAGTGGAAAGGAGCCGCTTCCACAGGTTCTGCCTCCAGCTTTAATTCCACCGAGTATGCGTCGCCCTAGTTCTGCTCAGATGGCCCCGGCTCCTATACCTGCGCAGGCTACGGGTATGGCTCAAGCACCTGCTCCTGCACCGGCTGTTCGGTCGGCCGCAGATGATCTGTTCGGTCTCGACTCTCTCTCAGCCCCGACTCCGGCTCCAGCTCCTGCGCAGGTACCCCACTCTACAGGTGGTTCGAATGTACCATTCCAGATGCCTGCTTCCCCAACATCTCGAGCATCCCCACCAAGCAATTCAACAACCTTCAAGCCTTTTGTCCCTACCTCGTCCTTTGGGCAAAGCCTTCAACCACAGACGACCGGTGCCTCATCCGGTGTTGGCCCCACTGCTCGTTCACCTGCGTCACCGTCGGATGACCTTCTCGGAGATAATGATCCTGAAGAGTCCAACAAACTGACACAAGAAACAACTGAGCTTGCCAATCTTTCTAATCAGATAGGCTCATTGGCGAATGAAATGCAAAACGTCCAGGCTAAACGCACCTCAGCGGAGCAGGAACTATCTCAGACGTCTCAGCAAAAGCGCGATTTCGAAGCTCGGCTTTCTCAGGCCAGGACAATGTACGAGCAAGAGGTCAAGAATTTCAAGGCTCTCGAAGAACGACTTAATGCGTCTAAGGCCGAGACCAGCAAGCTACAGCAGGAGTACGCGTTGATTGAGGGAAGCAGGCAGGATCTGCAGAACCAGTACGAGCAAGTATCTGCTGCACTCACTGCTGATCAACAGGAAAATGCAAGTTTGAAGGAGAAGATTCGTCAGGCGAATGCTGCTGTCGCTCAGCTTAAACCGGCGCTCGAAAAGGCCCGTTCTGAGGCGCGACAGCAGAAAGGTTTGGCGGCAATCAACAAGAAGCAGCTTGCTACTGTAGAAGGTGAAAAAGAGAAGCTGCAGGAAGAAATGGATGGTCTCTCGAAGGAGCAAACCTATGAGCCAGACGAGAGCGCGGCTGCAGCCAGCGCCATCCCTAGAGTCAGCAGTCCAGCTGCCTCAACAACTAGCCAGAACACAAACCCGTTCTTCAAACGCCAGATGACCGGCTCTAGTGAGAGCAACGCTCTGTCGCCCCAGGTCTCAAATGATCAGCAGCGTGCTTTTGATAGCCTATTCGGCCCATCTCTGGGAACTCCGGTCAACACAGCCACACCGCCGCCGCCAACGTCCTTCCGTGCTGATTCTCATCCAACTTCAATCAAGTCCGCAACCTCTGGAGCACCGACCCCGTCAGCGTCCCCTCCACCGCCCGCGACTGCGTTTTTCAATGAACCTCCAGCCCCGCCCCAGTCTAGGCAGCTCACACCAAATGTGCTTCCATTTGGCGAGGCACAGTCGGCGACCTCCTCGACGATGGTTTCGCCACCTGCTAGTAGATATGATACGCCAGATTTGAGTACAACTGCTCAATCTGGGGCTAGCGAGGCTGGGCCTACCTCTGCATCCGCGTTCGATGAGTCTGAGGAGTTGAAGCAGAAGTTCCCAGAAATTCCCGGTGCAACCGAACAATTTGCAAATGCCGCTGTATCGCCTTCCAGTGAAGACAAGCCTGTGGAAAAGAAAGATCCCAGCTTTGATGAGCTTTTCGGTGGACCAGCGCATCAGCGTTCAAAATCTCAGAAAGAAAATGATTTCGAAGAAGCATTCGCCACTATGAAGCAGGGCACTGTCCCAGACAAGACCAATGGTGCACCAGCTGTCTCCGAATTTCCACCCATTCGTGAGTTCGATGATGATGACGATGATGATGACAGCACAGATAGCGAGGCACCCATGGGATTCGACGATAGTTTCACCCCTGTTGCCCCCCCGCAAAGCCAGGTAGCATCCAAACCTCCAGCTGCGGACTCGCAGCAAAGCCCTCCCAAGTATGAAGAAAGTGTTGAGAAAGAAGCCGCCGGGGAAGCTCCTGAGTTTAATGGTCTTTTGCCAAAACGTGAGGACCCCACAGCTTTCCCTGATGCTCCTCATTCCGGTGAATCAAGCACCGGAGCACCAGTTGTTCACGGGGAACCGCAGCCTGAACCCGTCAAGGAGACAATCGTGCCTCCTAGCCAGAAGCCAAGTGCCCCGGATTTTGAGGCGGCCTTCGCAGGTCTTAATCTAGCACCCGCAAAGGAGAGTGAGGATGATGACGACTTCGAAACTCCCGATAATAAGAATAATCACGACTTCGATTTCTCTTTTGACTCCCCAACACAACGGAAGGCATCCTCCCCTGGTCCTAGTGCAGGCAACACCGCTTCTTCGGACTTCTTCAGTTTTGACCAGAATGTCGCCCCTTCATCCCCTGGAGGTGCCGCATCCCCATCTAACTCCAACGACAAGTCCCAGACCCATGATTGGGAAGCGCTGTTTGCGCCACTTGACAACGTCCAGGGTCCTGGTGCCGCCAATGGCACTAGCACTACTACGGCAACGTCCCCAACTGGCCATGATGGAAAGGCACCAGGCTGGGCTCTCCAGACCAGCACAGAAGATGACCAAATTCTTCAGCGCTTGACCGGCATGGGTTTCCCTCGTGAGGAATCTCTTGCCGCATTGGAGAAATTTGATTACAACCTTGACAAGGTAAATCCACTCATCACCCCGAAAATGCAATGCCTACGCACAGTTAACTAACAATCATCTTCTTTTCAGGCAGTAGATCACCTGACATCGAAATCTTAATACTCTCCTTTTCTTTCGTTTCTTCTCCACAACCATGCACATAGTTTTCCCTTTACTCACCCACTCGCTCGACTCTTTATCTTCCTTCCTTTTGCCCTTTCTTTTTACCTTACTCTGTATTTGATCTATTGGTTGGCTTGCATATCGTTACTGCTGTCATGTATATTCCCCAGCGGTACTTCCTCAACCCTACCCATGTAATGTAACCCCACATACTTGTTTGACAGAAAGAATATGAAGCCGGAGGAGTGATGGACAGATGGTACTATGGACCTGGGTAAACCTGAAAATTCTCCGCACCAGCATCAGACTAGGTCCGAGGTAGTTAATAATTTTACGACATAGTTGCAATCATGATCCTAATCTATGGCTTCAATATAGACGATGTAGCTTCAGTTACGATGATGCAAGCATTATTGGACTGCGAAACGTCTGCTTCCTTGCGCCACAGAGAACACTTCATATAAACATGGCACTTTTCTTGAATATAACGATTTGTCACAATTTAGAGTTGCATAACATCCACCATACCTACAAAGTCTTCGCTGTGTTCCAGATAAAAAGTGAGGGACGGTTTGTTAATAAAAAAAAGGATGGAGAGAGTGGCCAAGAAGGATAAATGCTGAAGGACCACACTCGTAATTGTTGGGCCGATAAAAAAGAAAAACGAAGGACAAAAGATCAAAAGAAGGCAACGATTCTTTATAAACAGCTACGTAACCATATGAGCGCTCAGACACAGTGACTGCAATAGCTTCTATACGTGTAGGTCGAGTATCATTCAACGGGGGGCTTCGGACCCAGTATCGGTTCCGTTCAGTGAACTTTTCTCATGCAGTGTTGAAGTTCGTTGCATTGAAACCACTACCTCCAATAAGCAAGACACCCAAAGTAAGACCAGTAAATGAAGAGCAGCCTTACCGAAGTCTTCTTTCTGTCGTTGTCTAGAAGCTTTGCTTCCGGGCCATCTCCCATTCATGATATTGTCAAAGCCCTTGGAGTCATGTAACAGGTAATATAAACCACCCATCACGCAGAACACACCGATTGAGAATACCCATGTACGGACGACGGTGACTATGGAGGTTTGGCCTCCTACAAACCATCCAAAGAGGCAAAAGAAGGTTGCCACCAGGTCTACTACCAGGATAGCTCCCATAAGTTGCCAGGAAGGGACTGAGGACCAAAAGGGGCCTTCCGCACGTGTGATAAAGATAAGCCAATTCTCAGTTAGCGAGATTTCTAGGAATAAGACTTCATCTCGTTTCCCAAAGTTTTGCACGATGCCTCCCTGTTCACCACCGGACAACATGGTGGATAGCGTGACCCAAGTGCCTATCGTTAGAACAATCCCAAGGAGGACAGACATTCCCCATAGCCTAGGTAGGTTCCACTTCACAGGTGTTTTCGAATAGGGCGCTTTATCATAAGCTATAGCCAACGTGGCAATGTCGGCAAATATAGCAATGAAAACCACAAGCTGTATGTTCAAGCTTTCGTTCATAATGGCTATCCAGAGTCCCAGAAATATCTCGAGGTGCAGGGACAGCGCAATTCGATACACCACATAAGCGTGCATACGATGAAATATTTGACGGGACGTTTTCAAAGCATCAATAATCGCAGATAGGCCAGGTGCTAGAAAGACTATATCAGCTGCAGTACGGGCTGCGTCTGAGGAGCCTTCAACTGCAATCCCGGCGTCGGCTTTCTTCAGCGATGGAGCGTCGTTGACACCATCGCCGGTCATTGCCACTAGGTAGCCTCGTTGTTGGAGGATATCAACAACATTATATTTGTGTTGAGGGAAGACTTCAGCGAATCCATCGGCGGCTTCGACGAAGTCATAGACCTGGGACCCAGGCATTGTTCCGTTTCCACCGAGGCCAAGACGTTCGGCGTTATAAACATTTGTGCCCAGTCCAAGTTGGCGCGACGTCTCACGGGCAATCCCGGCTGCATCGCCAGTGAGCATCTTGATTGACAGGCCGAGCGACTTGGCTTCATGTATGGTCTTTGCAGTATCATGTCGAGGAGGATCTGAGCATGGCATTATGCCAAGTATTTCCCATTCACGTTCACTGCACTTTCGAGCAACACCGAGTGAGCGAAAACCACGCACCGCAAAGTCTGCCACTCTATTCATATAAGCCGCCTCTACCTCCTCCGGTATTGGGTGGTCCTTTTTGACTGTCTTTAGCACAAAAATAGGAGCTCCTTTCATGCAAATGATTCGCTCACCCTGCGGAGACTGTACTACGGCGATGACTTTCTTTGACACTGGATCAAATGGGAAGAATTCAAGCTTTTTATACTGTGTGAGCGCATTTTTCGCCTCTGGATAATCCTTGAGTGCTTTTAGGAAAGCTCTGTCAATAGGGTCCATACCCTTCTTCTTTCGCGAAGCGGCCAAACAAGCTATGAGCATTAGATCCTCTGAGTTCACACCAGGAACAGTGTAGGGCTCCGCCAAAGACAGTTTATTCCTTGTTAATGTACCAGTCTTGTCGGAACACAGTATCTCAACACCAGCTAGCGACTCAATTGCGGAAAGCCTTTGGACAATGGCCTTCTTCTTGGCTAGATACGCTGCCCCCACTGCCATTGTTGTAGTTACCACAGCAGGCAGGCCGACAGGCACACCGATCATAGTAATGGCCAAGGTAAACTCCAAGATGGTGACGATACCATTCGAGCGGTAAAAGGATGATACCCAAACGACAAGAAGAGTCATTATCACGAGTACAAGCAAGACAATACTGATACCGTTCAAAACTTCGGTGAAATGTCCTGTTCCGGATGCGGCGGCACTAACCAGGGCAGCGGCACGCCCTACGAAGGTATAGTCACCAGTAGCAGTGACCACAAGACGAGCATGACCATGCTTCACAGCCGATGATGAATAACAGGTATCTCCATCGGTTTTATCAACAGCTAAAGATTCGCCGGTGATTCCAGACTGGTCCACTTGAAGGACGTTACTCATTAAGACCCGGCCATCTGCGGGGATTATGGTGCCCTGCCCGCGGTTAGAACGTTAACATACTAGAGGCGCACTACAAAGTTGCATAACGAATTACCTCTTCGATTTCTAGTATATCTCCGGGCACCACATCTGAAGCATCCACTTCGATAAGGTGACTGTTGCGCAGTACGACAGCTTTGAGGGCCAACGTTTTCTTCAGTTCATTTACAATGGAACCAGCCTGAAAGTCTTGAATAAACCCGACAGATGCGTTGAGTATGAGTAGAGCACAAATCACACCGAAGTCAACCCAGTCTCGGAGACCAACTGCTAGGATTGCAGATGTCTATGCCCATGGCGTATCGAAGAGGGCTTATAAGCGAAGATCACCAATGTGAGGGCCAAATATACGTACCTCCATCACAAATTGTACAGGACCAATGAAGTATGAGAGAAATTTGAGGACTAGGTTTTCTGTTTCTTCTTTCATCTGATTGAGTCCATACTTCTTTCGACGGAGTAACACCTCGGGCTCGGTAAGACCTGTACTGGGGTCTGTTTGAAGCAGTTCCTCCGAGATACAACAGGGTTTGCTTTTTTCGTCTTGTCCAACGTCATTAAAATCGAGATTGCCGTCTATAGACTCGAGCTCGTCGATAAGAGCATCTATGTCCTCAATGTCTTCTCCATCCTCCGCATTCTCGGTGAATGATTTGTATTCAGCCGATGCTCTTGCCACGAACTGTTCCTTTGGGTCCACATAATCTTGGCTGGAAGACGCTCCATCACCGTGAGGGGCCCCCGTGGTGTCCAGGCCGTGCTGAATACTAGGCATTGGGAACTCTGTGAAAGGCTGATATAAGTTGTTAAGATGAAAGGGATTTGCTATGGGTTATAGATATGTTGTTCGTATTCAATAGAATATGCAAATGATTCAGTGAAGAGAGATGCGGGCCTCAGATAGAAGCCTCAGTTATAATTAAGATTGGGAAGAACAATCAGAAAGAAAAGGGGGGAAGGGGAAGAATAGTAAAGACAACTCGAGGTAAAGAAACATATTTGTATCATACAAATGGCAAGAACGACGGTGGCGTCCCTACCTCGAAGAATTTACCACGGCCATGCGAGTAATTGTTAAATCGAAGTGTAGTATTTGGAGAAATGGATAATTTGCCAGAGTCCTCTTTGAGGAATAGTGGATCAGGTGCTTCCTTCCATAGCCCCCGATTCTGCCATCTACGTGACTGCCTTTGCTTTCCATCTTATAGGTTATACCGTACCGCATAGTAATCATGATACGCCTGTTGATGATATACTACTCATTAATACCTCGAAATGAGACAGTTAATATGCAGATCGCGTTGAGGGATATATAAAGAAAAAAAAATGAAAGTGTTGTGTCGTAGAATGGATGCTCTATAATGAAGAGGTTTTCCAATAGGGACGAGAGAAAGATACATTCTGAATGCTGAATACTAACTTTCCAAATCTACTACTCCGGAGAGGGAATGTGTATAGGGTTGCTCCTCCAATCGGAAGCTGGCGCCGCTGACATAATCCCAACCAAGACGTCATGCTTTCAAAAATACCCCAAACCAAATCGCCAGAAAAACTCCTACGCGGACTCTTGAACCATGACCGTCACCTTTCAACCCATTGGTTGATCTTTAAACAGCTGTATCTATTCGGTTACTTATGCGCCTTATGCTCCACTAGAGCTTTTGTGACCCTTCGTTCAACTCAAGAGGGCCTTTCGGATCTGCCAACCACGGGAAATCCAGCGCTATTGAACATACCCGTAGTTACCTTTGACACTACCGATTACGATTACCACTGGGGGCTGTCTGATAATGTTGCATATCTTGGCATTCAAGGAGTTCCTGGTCTATTCTACTGATACTTGAGAGAACAATCTGCGACATTATCTTTTTGACTCACTTTTTAGGGTGCAACGCAGTTTTATCGTCTTGATCAGTCCATCTATAGTATAATACAGAAAACATGAACAGAGAGATACCAGGGTTCTACTACGGTAAGTAGGTAGTCGTGTGTCACAACGCCTGCCCACTCAATCTTACTTCATATGCTTCTCTTTTCTCTTCTGATACTGATATCAAAACCTAGACCCCGAGAAGAAAAAATACTTCAAGGTTGAGGCGAGCCATAAAGCTCCAGCAGGAGCCCAATACTCCAAAGATGCTGTTAAGCGCAAACGCAAGGATCAGGAGGTCTGTACCACCAGCACAGATCCTATTTTGAGTTCTTCGTTATTGAAACCTCGTAGAAACGCCAACGGAAAGTCCACCTCACTCGGAGGATAGCAAAGGAAAAAATTAAGAGAGCAGCATTCCTAGCCAACCCTCTCATTGGGGCAGAGCGAGAGATTGGAACCCAGATTGTAACTAAAAGTGCCCGGCAAGACCAACGGGGTTTGTTATATGCTGGCCAACTTCGCCGAAACCAGTTGCACCAATTTGAGCCCTGGCCGGATGAATACTCCATCAAACATGTATTGCGCAACCAACGGTCCGGGATTCTGGTCGCTAGTGAGTTGCCTGATTATTGTGTCGTACTACTACCTCAGCTGCTAATTGCTTCAAGGCGGCCATCGCGGTGGTGAATCTTCTGTTTCGTGAGCGAAGCCTTTCAGTGCGTGGCGGCTGGCTTTCAAATTGCTAACCGCCACCAGAATATGCTTCCCAGACTGCGATCAGGAAAACTGGACTTACAACCGGACCATGGAACGGGTGCTCTTCAAAGAACCCTATAGGGTATGTTACTCACCTTTTGAAGATTATAATCGCTAGACAGCAGCTGATGTGATATGCTCCAGCTGTCTTCCATCTCGTTAAGTCATACTGGATACTTACTGTAGGGCAAACCCTTTCAACCAAAGTCCTGCTCAGTATGGCTGACCGCATCAGAGCGACAATGGATAGCGGTCCAAACGGCGACTCATTCCTCGCACCACGAATGCTTCCCGATCCCGACGAGGGTGGCGATTACCGCTGGCCTCCAAGCTGTACGTTTCTCCCCTAGATACATAGCGCAATGAGAACAAAATTGACGAACATCGAAAACAGTTTCCCACCCAGTCCGCCTCCGCATGGCATCATCGCTATGGTGCTCCGCACCCTGCCCCGTTGGCACCATGCCCTTTTTCGCGATTGGCACCTCAGACGGGCTCCATACATTGGAAGGCTTCGGAAGCTACTGGGCCCTATCAAAGAAATCATTTGCCAGTGATGTATACACAGGAAAACCAATCCTTCATCGACGGATGGATTCCTCCCACGCCCTCGTTACCAGCGTGGAATGGCTCTCCGCCCAAGTCATCGCCGCCGGACTCAAAGACTCGGCGATATTCCTCCATGACCTTCGCAGTGCCGGAACGGCAACGAGACTCCAGCATTCGCATGCCGTCACTAAAATCAAAAGTGTTGATCCATATCGCATGGTTGTGGCCGGAATAAACTCAGTATGCCCCCCTTCGTTATCGACTTCTCCCCGTGGAAATCTACATGTCTGTACATTGAGGTAGGACAGCTATACTCGCAGAGCAACTGACACAAGAGCAGCTGAAAATGTACGACATCCGCTACCCAGCCAATGGCCTTCAACGCAACCCGAATCCCAATAGCAAACACCACACCTCGACCAAACCGTACCTCAGTTTTTCAGATTATTCACCCGAGGTTATACCCGACTTTGATATTAGCCCTGAACTGGGTCTCCTAGCAAGTGGTTAGTCTCATATCCTCCTTGTCCTTCTAGCGGAGGTCACTGACTGCCAGATTCGTCATTCACAGCGTCCGATGAGCGCAAGATTCAGCTGTTTTCACTTCGAACCGGCGAGCAGGTTTCTTCACCTCTATCGAAATACCAGTACGATCATTGCATCTCCTCAGTTTGCTTTGAGTCAGGGAATGGATCTTTGCATGGGCCACAAACTCCAAGCATATTAGTATGTGCGAAGGATACGGTGGACGAATGGATTTGGTGAAGGAATATATATATTTCATGAATGCAAGTCATGATTGTATGCTAATGGATGATGCTACATCTCTGAATTACAAATGTTATTACATTGCGCTGAGAGCCACCTAATCTAAGCCTCCTGCTAACCATTCACCAACTTCAACCCCGATACCCTTGGCCATTTCCCCGATCCAGTCGCCAGAGACATTGACACACCACTTTTCACCAGCATCGGATGTGGTGTTTCCGCTATTCAATCCACCTGACCCCAATCCCATGCGACCACCACTTTCTCGACCTGCAGCAGGAACAACAAGCCGTAGTCGACGTAGCGTGGCAAGTTCCGCATATATTGCATCGGAAACTGCTGCTTGAAGGATGGGATTTGCCGGCGGGTTAGGATCAATAGCGTGGTAGATAGCCATCAGTCTCTCCAAGGGGAATGGACGGGCTGTGAGAATGGTGGATGGGCCAGTGATACCAGTGGCCCCAGCAGCAGAGGTTGTGGCGGAAGAAGTGGCAAAAGCCGACTCCAAGGTCGATTTTGTGATGCGAGTCTTTTGTCTCTTGCCCTTTTTGCTTGGGGTGGAGGGATCATTGCTGACAGTTCGAGCATCCTCCGCCTGGGCTTTAGATAAGAGCTTCAGTCGTCGTCGATGATGGGCACGCTTGTTCCGTGCTGACAGAGAAGATGACGAAAACTTGGAGAAAAAGATGGTATCGAGTCGTTGGGGGATGTGGGAGGCCAAATAGGCAGACGTTAGAATCAAGGTCGGGAAATAAGGCAGGGAGGGAAGGGGGGACGGCGTAGATACAGATGGCAGCATGGGCTTCGAGACTGAGCCATTGGTGAATGATGCTGGCTCCTCGGTAACGATATGATGCACAAGCGCCGCTTCGCCGTGATGCCGGAAGAGACCACGATTCTTAAGGAGAAGCCGAGAGAAGTCCCATTCTTCACTGCCTCCGGGCGGAGTCTCGCCGTTTGTGATAGGAGACATGAACTGGGGCCAAAGTTTCTCGCATATCGATCGAAAGGTGGGAATAGAACTGGCTGTGGGCCCAACTAGGGAGTCATAGATGGCCGAAACGAAATGGGGGTATATTTTAAGTGGTATCTCATCAGAGAGGCCGGCTACTGTAGGTGGTCGTGAGTTCAAGATAATGGTAATTGCTTCGTTGCGCGTATATGGAGGAAAACTGATGTGCGGGACACCTGCAGCCTGCAAGAAGAGTGGTCGTGGAGTAGCGCTGAGAATCAAAACAACCGAGAGACTGGGGATCTGTTCGACTTTCAGTCAGCAATGGTTGATTCAAATATCGAAGTAAGTCCAAAGTAACTCACTATTTCTCCCAGCCTCGCTAGCGCAGACAACAGAGTCTGTGGTGCCTCTCGCTGCTTATCGATCCCATCCAAAACAAGCACGAACTTCTCATCTGCCTTGCCAGACCTTGATGCCAAACATTCACTTAGAAGGACGGCGAGCGTACTGACATGCTCACACCTTCCTTTGCCATATTTCTCCCAATCATCCCGTTTCCCCAATGCTTCTAATGCTGCCCACAGTATCTTTGTCAGCAGGTGGCGGCCTGTTATGCATTCCGTGCTTCGCACAATGGCGTGTGGAACTTCGAGGGAGGAAAGGACGGCGCGAACGATGGTCGACTTGCACGTGGCAGATATACCATGCACAACTAACGTTGCAGGGCTAGGACCGAGAGGCTAAGCAAGGTGAGCAGTCAACTGTTAGTGACACGCCCTCAAGGGTTCGCTTTGGGAGATGGGCAGACCAAGTGAAACGTACCCCAAGAAGGCTGGCAAGTTGTCTGGTTTGAAGCTCTCGACATGGCCAATTTCGGCTCAGTGACCGAGGAATCTCTATCGGAAGCATCAGGTGCTTTGAGATGGTACACCTGGAAGAGTCTCATTTACAGAGAGCGTCAGGGACAGAACAAGCTCATCGCGCGGAGATAAAAGACCGGAGATCTTATCGTCGCGCTTCACATGCGAAGTCACGTGTGTATATATGTAGAGTAATGCCCATGTTGATGTCCTTGGAATTGCTTCTGGACAACGCTCTCATGGTTAATTTTCATATCAATTCAGGTACCGCCGGAGATGAGTACAGTAACACCTTAATTGCTAACGTATGGGTACATCTATTCTACCGAATGCTGTTGGGACAAGCTTCCAATGAGTCATGAATCATGCAGCAATCGTCGCCAGTATGTGTAAAACACAGATAAGAAGTAACATAGGCGCCATGCCACAGTACCAAGAGAGCATACAGTACTTATCATAGATAACTTTCATATGACAGCCCACTGTTCCAACCGGAGAGTCAAGATGGCCACAATGACGACTGAAGCAGGCAACAAAACAGAGCATTCCAAGTAACGTTAAAGAGACGAGAAAGACGATAAAAACACAGTTCAGCATTGCCTGATAATGAATGAAAATAAAGGAAAATATCCTGGAAAAAAAAAAATTCAAAAACACATGTATGAAACATTCCAACCTTCACTCAACCTAAAGTTGGAGAGCTGGGTTAGTAGGTGGAAACGACAAGGAAGAAATAGACGTGGCAGGTATATTCGTCAAAAGATGTGATAAACATGAGCATTTAACGCCTTGAAAGAATACAGGACATCAATGAAGGTAGAATCTTTTATCAGACTGCATCGTATCGTCAAGAATCCAAAGATGCAATGCAAGTTGCATAAAGATAAAAGATCTGTCGTGGTATCAATGTTTCAGGTTCCCAATTCGTTGACATATGTCAAGATGGCCGTAAGTCATAGAGATCGTATCATCATTGCAAATATGAGTACAGTTCAATGGATAAGTAGCGAATCCAAGATATTTCACACCAGCTTAAAAGTATGCATACAGCTGACCTTGAGCACCTAGACTGCCGTTCGAGTGCTGGACTGGAGTAGTGAAAATCCCAGAGGGGTTTTCGTTTGGGCCCCCAGACGAAGCATTGGTTGAAGAGCCAACACCAAATTGGGCACCACCTATGGGAAAAGAGGGATGTTGATACAAGAAAGGCTTCTGGTTACCTTGCAAAGGTCCAGGAAGCTGAGCCGAATTCATCTCGTTCGGAGTGACTTGTCCGCTAGTTGTAGCACTTCCCCTCCCGGAGCCCTCTGCTGCCATCATCTTGCCAGCGATGCGACGACCGTGAGGTGTTTGACGAATTGAAGGCAAGATTGGTCTAATCGCATCGACCAGGCGGGTTCGGGTCTCACTGTCCGCGAAGTCCATGGCAGTTTGCACAACATAGTTAGCGAAGGAATCTCGGAGCATTTTCTCCAGCTCACAGCCTGAGAGCATCTCCTCGATGAGTTGGCCTCGGACCGGGCCGTCGGCGGTGCGGAGACATTTTTCGATAACGTTGGAGCTAAATTTCTGCTTTGACAAGGCGGGAATATTTCCACGGAACGTCTGACAAAGGGGTTCGGTGAAATGGGGCTCGGCCAGATCCAAAATGTACTGCACCACGTAGTTTCCAAAAGGGTCCTGAACCAAGGCAAACGCGTTGGAAGTGATCTGGGCGATTAGGCGAGCCCTCTGTTCACCAGAAGCGTGATCAATGCAGCGCTGAAGAACGCAACATCCATGGCGGTGAGTGCCGACCACAACACAATTAGCACCCACAGCATCATAGATGAACTGGGCGTCTTCTGCAGAGAGGCGATTCAGGCACTTCTGAATGACATGATTGCCATTCAAATCTTGAACCAGCTCCACAACGTGATCTTCCAAAGCGTGGATCACGGTTTGTGTCTGTTCAGAAGTTGATATGAACTCGATCATCTTCTGTAAAGCCCTAGTACCGTGTTGATTCAGTGCGATCTTCACAAGTTGGTGCGCGGCGTTGTTGATCAGCGCTGTACGCTGCTCATCATTGGAGTACTCAAGTAACTTCTGGCAAAGATAATTACCAAAAGGATCTGTTTACGGAAAAGTTAGAACGGCCACATCGACAGAATTCGTTAGAAGGTTACGAACCGGTCATTAGCTCCACAACATGCAAATGCGTCTCATCAAAGATCATCTGGACGTGTTCCGGGTTGCGCTCCTCTAGCTTCCGCTGCAAGTACCTGCACCCGTGCTGGTCTTTACAGAGGCCATACAGCTCACCCCGATAGTGCTCCAATGGAAAATTAGTGAAGCGAGATAGCTGGGCGGACTCTCCTTCGCCGTTGCTGCGGCGAGATCCCATGGCCTTTGCTGGACCCTCTGCTAGACGGTAATTGCCGTAGGCGGGAAATGCGCCGTAAGAAGCGCCAGGATTATAGTTCTGAAGTTGTCCGTTTACCGGGAGGGGATTCCCCATGTAAGGCTGGACGCCGTAACCATAAAAGGGCTGCTGGAAAGTGGCCAAAGAAGCCGGAGCAGCAGTGCTGGTGCTGGCAGCCGAAGTGAGTTGCGGCCCAAAGGGTGTTGCATTAGGCTGTAGGGTGGTCTGCTGAGACCGGGGTCCCTGCATGCTTGGGTCATCGCGGTCTGGCGAATCCTTCTGCTGGCGGGTGTTGACAGCATTTGCAGGAATTCGGCCCATGTTGGCATTGTGTTGCTGAAAATGTTCCGCATGAGTCTTTGGTGGTGTGATGGCAGGGTTAAATCCATCGCCCTTTACAGTAGGGAGGTCATTGGTAGAGTATGATGACTGCAGAGAAGTTGGACGGTTTGACGAGGTTGCAGTCATACCTTCGTGGCTTCCCTCAGCACTGTAAAGAAGGTTTGCCTCAAGCGAGTGACGAGCAGCGTGTCGAGATGTGTTAGAATGACCCTCGCTAGTCGGGCTTCCCAGCTGCTCAAGCCGGAACATGTTTAGAGCATTTTGTGGCATGCTTTGATGAGAAGAGCGATGCCGGCTATGAGAGTTCCAGGTTTCGGGGTTTGGAGTGCGAGAATTGGCCAGGTCTAAGGCATCTGAGTTTGCAGATAGCTGATCTTCTTGTTAACGTGATTGTAATCGATAGAGGAATGAGTAATAATGACCTACCAATCCCGAGTCGTCCCTGCGTGACAATGTAGGGAACTTGTCGTCAGGGTCTGTCAACTTAAGATAACTCTTGATATCAGGAGTTGGAATTCGATCTTCCTCCCTCAAAGTCGCTCTATCGTCCTCGTTCTGGAACAGATACTTAGTGGTGTTAAATGACTCCAACCCAGAGGCGTTATTAAAGCCAGAGATATTTGGGCGGAGCTGGGATCCAAAACCAGCAGATGGCATTGAATAACGATGGATACTAAACAAAAGTGAGTCAGTAACTTGTAGCTCGAGATACCATAAAAGGGAACAAAAAAACAGGCATGAATAACAAATATCATGGAAAAATGAGCAGAGGGTCACATCAAAATAACCAAATCTGAAGGGAAGGTCAGGCAACAAAGTGAACTGTTGTGTTCCTTCACAGGCAGCGCAGCCACGACGCCGAGACCATGATGCTTGGTACAGAGTGAAACACACAAACATCCAGGTTACAACAAACTCGATTCACAGTGATCAATATGACTTGAGAGAGGGAAAACTTACGCAGGTCCAGGACGAAAAGGGGATGTAGGCTCTTGACTGAAATCTTCTTTCTCGGAGTTTCTGCGAGAACCAGGAACAGAATGCACCGAGAAGCGATTGGTAGGGGTTTGTGCAGAGGCGGGATTCACCTGGCCCTGTGGAGTTGTTGCCTGAGAAGGGGCAAATACATTGAAGAAACCAGGGGATGAGGTGACAGATGAAGTTGAGAAGCGAGTGGGTCGTGTGAACCCACTTGAGAAGCTGTTTTCACGATACTCAGGAGGGGTCGTAGGCTCACTGACAGGGCCAGATATGCCAGCTTTGGCAAGGTCCTTTGCAATTCGGTCCATCTCTAGCTTCTCTTTCTCATGCTGCATGTCTAGTAGCTTCATATCTTCTTCGAACCTCCTCTTTTGCTCCCGCATATACTCGATGTGCTGGCGCTTCTTTTCAAACTGGGAAAGTATTAGAAACAATCAGATACAGAAGAGGCGAATCAGAAAGCAAAATAAATAGAGGGGCAGCCAGGAGATATGGCCAGGCTCTTGTGACACGGAAGATTGTGATCTGTGAAACTTATGAGGTGATAGAAAAAGTGAAGATCAACAGGAGTTAGGCAGTGTGGGACGATTCTAGGCCTGAATTGAGAATAAAGTGCCACATCCATAAGTCGCCAACAAGCGGCAGCATTGAACTAGGGATGAAACAACTACAATCCGACTCGAACCACACCTCCATGTCACCAGAAGAGCTCGGCAACTGGGACGTCGCTGCTGGGTGGAAGATAGGACAACTTGTCAAATGGAGAAAGCTTACCGATGACAATAGATCTAAGGGATCTGGCATATGAGGCGCATTTCCAGCATGGTTCAAATAGCTCCAAGACGAAAGCTTGCTGGAGTCTGTGGTGAAACGACGCTGAAGATTGGCACGGACATCACCCGACGGCCGCGAAAAAGCCGACGCGAGGTTCGAATGACCTGGAGAGATCGAATTGTATCCGGGAAACGGTGACTCTGAGGTAGGGGATCGCGGAGAGGGAAATCGCAGCTCATCGAGGCGTTCACTAAGTCCGTTCTTAAAGGCCATGATGGGCGGCCACTATAAAACGGAGATCACTGGACTAATACCATTCAGGGGCCTAGACAAGTTAGAGAAGCAGTCACAGCATGGTATGGAGTTGAATGAGGCGGGCTGTTTATGGAGTTGTCAACTCTCAAGAAGCAGTGACGAGTACGCCTGGGGGCTTTAATTGAAGCACAGGGACCAGTGTGTGCCGGTTGGCGGTGTGTTTTCTTAGATAGCGTGCGATGTAAGGAGTTGGAGAGGGGCTGAGGGGTGATTTGGCGGAGAAAGATCTCGGAAAAGAACAGCGACTCACACACAATGAACGCCTCGAGAGTTTAAGTTCCAAGCGCGAAAATAGAGCCTGCAGTTGAATATTTGCTTAAGGACGCAAGTAAGGATTGTTTATAAGGGGGTCCGGGGTAGGTTTGTACACCCAACGGTGCGCTCCTAACGATGCGGAGATCTCGATCAGTGGCGTAAGAACCAAAGGTTTGGGAAACGGGAGGTACCTGTTATACACCTGAACCTACGCTCTCGATTCGAGAGCGGCGGGCTGATAAAGATAATAACGACTGGACAGCAAGAAAAAGGCGTTTCAAATGCCAGCAACGAAGGTAAAAATATATTGTTGTACATATAGCGTGAACGCGCAAGACGACAACAGTAACGAAAGAGGAACAAAGTGGGAGGCGGGCGAGAGGGGAAGAGAAACCAAGCGTGGGCGGCTGGGACAGCTGAGCGTGCCTGAGGAAGCGGGGAGTCAGTGACTCGTCTCGTTTGGGAAATACGGTGTTGGAGCCCTTGGCCGATGGATGTTCATCATTTCCAGTCCGGCCACTCCTCTTTTTTCTTTTCTTCTTTTTAGAACCTTGCAAGAATGATCTACCGTCACGAGACTGTTGATATGATAAATTAAACCCTCCTATTTTTCATATATAAACCAGACTTTCGTCCCGGTGCATCCCTTTGGTCTAGTCTAGTTATTCGCATTCTCTAGGGTTGTGCTGATAAGTACTCGTACAGAGGACAGTACTCGGTACTATGTATCGTACTGTACACACCCCGAAGCAGCATGAGTAAGGCATGTATGTACCCAAGGCCATTACTCAGACAGGCCTTCTTGCTGCTCGATTGCTTTAATGCCTCGTATATACCTATTTATAAATTGTTGATTTATTATTGTTGTTTTTGTTTTTGTTTCCGAAACATGGAAATCCATCCAATGATCGTTTTTCATCTCTCAGGAGGTCTAACCGTCGTGATGGTCAACCATTGACGACTGTGGTGAGCTGTTCGATGACAACTACTTCTAGATGATCATTGACTTTTGGACGGATCAAGTGTTAATCTTGCCTGTATGAATCATGATTGGATGGCGAATTGCTTTACCCTGCAAAATCCAATGATCCTGCACGACTCTGTCGGGGTTGAATGGCAGTTCTTGAATAGTGCCGTCGGAGGTTTGCTGCAGTTTTGCAACATGCACTCTCATTGTTACCGACTGGAGCCAACATGGTCTTGCTCGTTTGAGATTGTTGAGCGCTCAACCTCTCCCGGCATCAAGGTTGCATTATCATGGCTTGTTTATCTTCCTTGCCTGTGCCCGCCCCTTTCTTTTTTCTTTTTCTTTTTCTTTTCTTTCTTGACTTTTACCGCCAGCGAGTACCCTGTAAATTTGACTACGTACAAAGGATTTTACATTTCCTCCCTGCTGGAGGATTGTGTAAGGGGGTACGGGTTAGTATCGTCGTGTGCTGGTCAAGGCGTGGGCTCTGCGAGTGTAATTCTGCATTGAGTGGAGACAACAGGTCAATGAAAAAAAAAAAATATGTGACGGCGGTTCACGCCCTAATTGCTGCACGTACCTGGGTTAGAGCAACATGACTGGGGCATTACAAAGACGACATTAATCCTCCGTTGTATTAGAAAACGAATAAGATTTCTGGAGCTAATAGCGGCTGCAGTGCAAGTCATAGTTTCGAAACTAATCTCGTAGTCAATTCCCCCTTCCTTTTTTTTTCCCTTTTTTTTACCTTTTCCTCTTCTTTTCTCTTAGTATTTCTTAATTAATTAAACTTGATGGGGACAACCGAGATCCCTTAATTCCGCAGTTTGGTGCCCTACGGAGCATGATCAGGTTCCCATCTGATGATCACATATTTCGATGAACGAAGAGCACGCATAAATTATGGATAGTCATTCATTAATTGGACATACACTAGATATTACAGTACATGCAATGCCTAGGCCTACCTTGCCTTTGGTACGGAGTACAGTACCAGAAAATTATGTTCAAGGATTCCCCCATGCGCGTCTCGAATGGTTCGCGACAGCACTCTATCTTGATTATGTGGTCATCCATCCATTTCATTAATTTTTTTCCCTCTCTTCCTTTTCTCCCTTTTTTTCGATTTCTTTTTATTTGTGTTGTCCATTGTTTTGAGCTTAGCCATTTAGGGGATTTTTTATTTTTAATTTTCCCATTTGACTCATCTTTGGCGGGTGGGTGCACGGTTAGTACCAGGGATCGTGGCCCAGATACACATTCAAATGGACTCAAGCGTGACAACCCGATGAGGATCTTCGGTGCCAGTCAGCGTGGTTCCATGGATCAGTCGACTCAACGTCTCGACCGATTGAGTTGAGGTACACGGAAACCAGATGAATAAGATAATAATAGCAGTTCATATTAATGCTGTATTTAGGTGTATGTAAATAAGTATGTACCGTCGTAGGTATGGAATACCTAGAAGAGATCTACCTAAGAATGTACTACTAGTAGTAGTAAATAAGCGGCCCGGTGTGGATGAAACTTCTCGCCTTCTGGACGATTCGCCTCATGATAGTACTTCCAGCTGTGAGCACGTCAGTTCATGATTGGTGCGGCGAGGGAAAAGCGGTGTACAACCTGGCAGGAAGATTGATTGCACCAACGAACGGTGTGCTGATCCGTCGCTTCAAGGCATTCATTCCCCCCTCCCTTCCTCAGTTCTTAGCCAATACAATGATATCAATCATGCCCCCCGTCAGTGGAGAGACTTGGCCCCCTCAGAGCGGCGCCCATACATACCTAGACTCGTGTCGACTCCGGCGTACAGTCTCGAACCCTAGTACAAGCGGTGCACAGGGCACAATGCACCCAGAGCAGCCAAACTCCGATTCCAGATCGACGCTCTTCCACCAGGGAGTAGCCCTAGAGAGCATAGAAATCGGATTACAGTGCCTAAGAACGTTGTTTACTCGGTCGTTGTTTCTCTCTAGCTCCTTAGTGCGGTATGTCAGACATGCCTTACTTGTACTTTAAAACTAGTCATGAGTTGGGTACCTTACTATGGAGCCATTCGCAGCATTGCAGTCTAACTGGCCGTGGCTCAAAGGACCAGAGGCCAATGAAGGCCAATCAATGGAGGCCACTTTTCTGCCCCATGGACAGTTGGGTCCTTTAATGAAGCCCTCGAAGTTTCGACAGCATCCCTTGGGATCTGACTAATGATTTTCACCCCTCACTACGCCGATGCCGAACCATCAGAAGGCTGTTTTACATTATTCTTGCCACACCAAATCTTAGATTACACCGGCATAGAATCATATCACGGAACACAAAAAAATGTCCCCAAATTCCCTTGGTACTGCTCCAGCCCCTAGCTCACCGTTTCTTGAAATATCACGGAATCGGAAGTGTAGTTTCATGCCCAAAACGGCCGTGCCCCTACGGAAACCTGTTCGACAAGATCCGATATGATCAACGGTTACTCAAGCGCCCCATCAGCAATACGCCAATTGAGAACGCTTGACTGGTCACAAAGTTGCGGAACTGGACCCCAACATTACTCACTGATCTCCACGCTCGGCCAATTTTGCTTTGATGCCTCTAATCCAATCACAGGTTGCTCTTCGTTGCTGATCTCCTTATCTGCGAAAAGAAAACTCATGTCTGTCAGAAGTCTGACACACGCAGTATGGAGACATGGAACTCTGCGGCTCATACAACTGGATCTAATCTTAATGGCAACATGAAACTGCCGTCAGAGTTCACAGCCACACGTGATCATGGGGGTTCTAGTATGTACAGTACAACGAACCGAGACATTTTCTCAAAGATCCGTGGTTCTCGTCAGTCCCGCACAGTGAACTAATGTTGCTGCTTCCTCCGATATCCATGTTGTTGTATCGATCTACTGTTTGCGTTTAGTGGCAACCTTTCTCCGCATGGGAGGGGAATCTGGAATGCCAGGTGGCGAAGATCTAAAATTGCGGTCAGAGAATCCCACCGCCACGGGCACCTCACCCTCTAGAACGATCCCCCCACACCATTCGTAGCGTTTTCACTGAGGCTTTCCGCCATCCAAGCAATCTCTCGGTACCACTACGTGCGCGAAATGCGCCTAAGGCTAGTAACAGCTGTATCTCCTCTCCGATGCTAATGACCCCTGTTCCCCAGTGATGGGCAGAGGAACCTCTATTCCTCTGACATTTGAGGCATTGTTGCCCAACCCCGCAAGTCACAGAGCTTGGCTTGCGCTCCAGATATGCTTAGGATAAACTGAACAGATACGGCAATCCCGAACCTATATGCCCGAAGTTTCCCCTTTGTGGTGTTGGTCATTTGTGGTCATTCCACTACAAAGACAATATCGGTCCCGATTTCAGAAGGAAATTCCATAGGCGGGGGCTGGAATTTTACTGTGGGTGGTACTTTTGGGAATACCCACAAGCATCTGATTCTTGATTTGATGCTCTAGTGGCTCCTTGCCATCATTTACCACCAGGATGGTATTGTAGCGAAGAGCTGCGGATGCCATGACGCAAATAACACGCCGACTCGCAACTGCCGCTGCATGATCCCACACATCCTACTCGCCAGAACTTGCAATGTTTAGGCGAACAGAGCGAAGAGCCAGTCCCCATGAGGCACGTTTCTTAGAATGATGCTATGGTACATTTACATACGGCTTGTGCGCAACTACAAGTGAGTTGTTCAACGGGATAACTAGACTGAAGCATACCAAGCCATGTTGAAATGGCATGGTGTGAAACTATCTAGTCTAGCAGACATCCATTTCCTGGAATCATAATTTACGCCCGAATAGCTCGCTGTACCCTTGTCAAGCCTTGTTGCCTTGCTTCATGGGAATATGAAGCATTTTGGGCACCATTTTTCAATCATTCGGTGCGTGGTTTGCCACGCATGGAACCTTTTGTACCCTTTCTATTCTGCGAGTGCCTCCTTTTGGAAAGCATCGTGGATTACCAAAGGTTTACTGCTCACTAGGCAAATCATAGTTGATACTGCGTATATTCTAGCCTTGTATGCGGTCCGATAGCACTAAGGTCTAGGATCCCCTATTATAGTCGAATGCACCTCCTATAGTTGACCGTGGATCCAATTCAGGGGACACGTCACGAGAATATATTACTGTGTCTGAAATGCTATCTGGTTTGACCTGATGCCCTCCATCCCAGACTATATGCCCAAGAAAATATCCAGTCTTTGTGAAAGTGTAAGTGCTAAAGTAACCTAGTATACATTCTCTATGGACAGGTCAGGAGATATCATTGCATCATCTCTAGCCTACCAGGCCTCTTCTGGTTGAACACCATAGTTACCAGTATGTACTGCCTCACAGTGAGGGCAAAAGGAATGAGAACATAGGCTCCATTCCACATAGTGACGAATAACTTGGAATTGACAAGCAACACACGCGATATAGACTACCTCGGCCACTTAATAACCGTTTGGCCTTCATACTGTATCTTGATATCAGAAGTGTCAACCAAGGAACAACCGCCTTCAGTATCTCTCATTAGAATAGTATCTGAGCCATACGCACTACTGCATTCTTGATGCCCTTATATTCTAAACCTTCATCGAATGCGTTTACTTCTCTCTGTTTCATTAGCTATGATTTTGACATGTTTCTCACTTGACAATTTCTGATAAAACGGACCACTCTAGCCTATGAAGCTTTGCGATATTAGTCGGCTGATACCCAGTCATTCCACTTCCGATTGATGTACCATAGCTATACTATCTAGGAAATGTTATATATGATACTTTCTATTCTTTGTGTCCCCTCGGAAACCCTCGTAATCCCATTCAAGTAAATGCTGTTGTATTCACCAACAGTCTAGTAGCTAATATTCTCCCTTGGCAGTTTAAATCCTCTCTCAACTCCCGGTCCTGGCCTCCTTTATTTATTTATACGTATTATTTCCTGGTATAGATAAGGGTAGACTAAGCACCTCTTGGCCAAGTGCTAGACATACTGATACTCTCTTGTAGAATGACAAGCCTCGGTGTTTATAGAACACTAATCGAATCAGTGTTGCTATCTAGAGACACAATGACAAAACTAGTTATACGAAACTCTGAACAGATATAATTCAAGGGAGTGACGCTAGTCATTAGAGAAGAGGAGGTGTCTTGTGGGTTTAACGATAGATATAATAACACTTGAGGTCAGGTACTACGCTGCGAGGGTCCATCTTTGTTCATTATATATATATATCAAGTTGACGGGATAGTTCCCTAATCGCATCAATCCATAGGTCATAACATAAATCAATATCTTTGTTCAAGCTTGTCCTCGTATCTATTAGTTAGTTATAACATCTGATTGAGGTTTTCTGGAGTGCGATCTAAGAGAAGGCAGTGGGTGTAGGACGGTAGAAACCAAAGCATGGCGGTATAGTCTCTGTGACATATTTCATTGAAGTTTACCCGAGTAAGGTAGCGCACATGTACCGTACTACTCCCTGTGACGGGAAATGTAGAGGTAGTGGTTGCATGATATCGCATCGTCATACCTAAGAATTGATGAGATGTGTAACATGCAAGCTTCATGCCCTTGCAGAATCAGATGACTCATCCCTGAGCACAGGCACAGTCGAACCATCCGAGGTCATTCTCTGCTCAGGATATTCTGTATTGTTCCAAGATTCCCAGATACCAGCGTGACAGTGCAAAGAGGTGACATTCTCCCAGATCAAACAAAATACTATCAGAGCCATGATAATTGACATCAGTGAAGTGATGTCGAGGTCTTTAGCTAAACCGAGGAGAATAAATATAAGTCCGGTGATAGGCCGCATGATCATGCGAAGGTGCTGGTTGAAGTCTCAAATGTAAGAAGGTGCGTCGTGATTTAATATACAATGAGTCGGGCTGACCTACCTTAGACAGCATCAACGTTCCCGGCGCATCTCTATCCTCGTATAGCAATGCTAAGCCATATAGACAATACAAACCAGCTCCGAGGCTACCACAAAGTAGCCAACGCTCAGGATCACGAAGCCTGTCCTCTGCTGCGCTTGCAGCGGCAACATGGCCGCTTGCGAGCAGGCTGGCGACAAGAGGCAGATGAAGGATAGCCCACCCGAACGCCGTGTACACTGAATAGCGGAATGGATGAGTGCTCTGTAATGCGCCGTCGTTATGAGCGTATATCCAGTTCAGACAGAAGGCGATGATTAATACCCAGACTGCATGGAGCAAGCTGAGATTGAAACCCACCGCTGCAGGCGAGCCGACAACGATTTGATATAAATACTCGCCAAGCACAATGATATAAAATGCGGCGTATCGATCGACCTCATGCGCGATATCCACAGCAGTTGTATACTTGGCTTTCAGCATCTTCTTAGCTGCCGGCGAATAGCAGAAGACCCAACTGCACTCCTCGAAGACAACACCAACGGCAGCCGCCGCAATTTTGCCACGCAAGGGTACGGACTCGAAGTATAGTGGGATATAAATAAGCATCGAAATCACTGTAAGTGAAACCCACAGCCTCTGTTGCTTTCTGTGGTGATAGCTGGCAAAGGAGTATAGTAGGTGTGCTGCGCTGCATGAGATGCGTGCAACCATGTATGAGCCGACAGTGGCTCGCATTGCGCTGATATCCTCATCCACGAGGGATGCATTGTTCCCGTACATAACAAGAACGGCCATTATCCAGAGAATAAGTGCGCGCTGTAGCAGGTCGTCATTATAGAACGAGTTCATCAATTCCCGGAGGTCAGCCCAAACATGCCAAGTAGGCGCGAGTATAAGCTATGCGTCAACCCTGTTAGCACAGTATGACCCTCTGTGGATAAAGTTTCGATATATACTTACAATATACTTGACTAATTTCGCTCCCGAAATGTCCTCGGCAAGAGTCTCGGCGAAGTTTGCCAAAATCGCGACATAAAGAAGGTCCAGGAAGAGTTCGAAGCGCCCTGAGGGCGGAGCTGTCAGCACCGCAGCACTTGTATTCGGCTCGCAAATATGTAGACATGCTTACCTGCCTGACGCTCTTCTTCATGCCGTTTCATGAGTTTCCCATTTTCAAACCATTGCAGCGCAACCGGTTGACGAAAGAGATACCGCGGGGTTGGCTGGAGTTCACTGAGATCGATTCCTGGAATGCTGGCCATCGCTGCATAGGTAAAATACCGAGAGAGCGAGAAAGACGAGATGGTAAAGCGAGTCTCGGAGAGAAAAAGCTTCGCGTGGATTAAGGTTAAAGAACAAGCCCTAGATGTTCAGAGCTTCATAGATCAATTTCCGAAAACGGCTAGAGAGAGATATCCTTATGCGGTTAGGTCGATCGTCATCCATGGACCCATCTGGCCCACTACATAGGGCTGTTTGTATAGTTTGTACTTTGAAGTTTGTCCACAGTAGCATACACCACTAGTGCCTGATATATTGGGCATCAACTATCTTTTGTCTGCCGGATGCCCGATGGAGAATCGGTTACCCGCTGATACTGAAGGAGTCCATCATGGATGTTTCTTTCCCACAAGGCCCCCAGGGCTCAAATTCCCTTAATATGCGATATCAAAGGGTTGAATGCTACGGTAATCGCTCTTCAAGGCAAATAGGGCGGGAGTCATTGTAGTTAGCCATGTCTTTGCAATGCGACGACAGATAGCGCTTAGAGATACCTTATTTAGATACTCCGTGGCCACGAAGTATTTAACCCCGTATCAAAATCCCCGAAAGGTCAACGTGGGGGTGGGGCTTATCAATTGGGCCAGTAAGGCCATGAAATGCAGTGGAACAAAGTGTTGATCAAGGAAATTTTTTCATCTCTCGCTTACCTTACTTTTATATATTTATTTCCCTGGGCTCTGCTGGACAATCGGACATTCCCAAATTGTAGAGTACGATCTATATCTATTTTTGAATTCTTAACCAGCTATAGCTGCTTCACTTAGCCATGGGTATGGTTCGCAGGCCTCCAGGATATGTGGTCGCTAGTATGCTGTGTTCCTGCGGCGGGCTGTTGTTTGGGTAAGATCACTTATCCGAATTGCTCATCTTTTCTATCCTGCCCGGAATACTGATACGTTAGAAATAGGATGGACACTGGCATCATTGGCCCTGTAACTACTATGGACAGCTTTGTTGCACAATTCGGTAGCCAGTCTGCAACTGTTCATGGGTTGATAGTATCGTCGATTTTGATTCCAGCAGCCGTCTCATCCTTTTTTGCCGGCTTTCTTGCCGACAAATTGGGTAGGTCAAAGGGCATCAGTATTGGTGCGCTGATATTTGCTCTCGGAGCTGCGCTTGAGGCAGCAGCGGTCCATATTGCTATGTTTATCGTTGGAAGGTGTGTCGAGGGAATAGGGGAGGGTCTCTACCTGGGGACGCTGGTCGTGTATGATATATAACTACTACCTCTCTTGACCCTGTGTCAGTTAGCTAACACAAGGTCCATAGCTACATTTGCGAGATTTCACCGACTAGCGTTCGAGGAGTGCTCACTACTGGCCCTCAGTTGCTGATTACCCTGGGATTGGTGGTTGGTTTCTTTACTTGCTACGGGACTGCTCGCATCGAGTCTTCGTTCTCATGGCGGACACCATTCCTTATACTGGCGTGTCTAGCGGTCACTTTTTCGGTGGTTTCATGGCTCTGGCTTCCCCCGTCACCGAGATGGTTGAAGCTCCACGGCCGTGAAACGGAAGCAACGGCAGCGTGGGATCGTCTGGGAGTCACTCATGCAGAACAAGAAAAGATGGAGGTGGAAGAGGATCGAGAGACTACGATGCAGCGAAGCGCAGCTCCAGAAGCTGGCAATGCATCTACCGTGGAACGGATCGCATCCGGCCCCCGGCCCCCAGTTCAATCCGTCAAACACAAGCTTTTCGACATCTTTTCAAAAGATGTCCGAACACGAACAGCACTTGCTGTATTTTTAATGGGGATGCAGCAACTTAGTGGAATTGATGGCGTGCTCTACGTGAGTTTGTTAATTCTACTAGATGCTTGGTTTAGTCTAACGTTGTCCTGCTATAGTATGCCCCTCTACTTTTCCAACAAGCTGGACTTGCATCCACGGATGCCAGCTTTTTTGCTTCGGGTGTTTCTGCTCTTGTTATTTTCGGTGTAACAATCCCTGCCCTTATATGGGCTGACAGGTGGGGTCGTCGGCACAGCACTATATATGGTGGCATTGGGCTTAGCATAACAATGTTTTTGATGGGAGCTTTGTACGCGGGAAATGCTGTGCATAGCTCAACTGGTGCAGGCAGATGGGTTGTGATTGTTTCCATTTACATCTTTGCAGTCATTTACTCCCTCAGCTGGGCAGTTGGAATCAAAATTTACGCTGCTGAAATCCAACCGCAGCGAACGCGCGCTTCAGCAACGAGCTTAGCACATGGAAGCAACTGGACGGCCAACTTCATCGTGGCCCTTACGACTCCCATACTGCTATCTCGCAGTAGCTTTGGTGCGTACTTCCTCTTTGGAGGGTGCACGCTGATAACTGCTCTGATCTGTGCAATCTTCATGCCAGAAACTAAGGGCAGGTCCCTGGATGAGATTGAGGAGGCCTTTAAATCCAAGTCCTTGGGATCGCAGTCCTTTGCCAAGATCATCCGGCCAATTACCCGACAGACTTCATGATAGATTGAGATCGTACTCTGGTTAGTGAACGAATATTATTCTAACTTATACTTAATGTAAATGTACTGTATGCTACTGTAGAGGGCACATGGGTGATAAGATAAGCGGATTGGTGGTAAGCTAGCCATTTTGGGACAGTTAGCTGGCCTGCTTACTAAACCGCCGCTTTGAATGAAATTAATTTAATAATTTATTCGGACCTCTTCCCCTCGCCGATAACGAAGAAATTGTGCGCCGCGTATTCAAACCATCATGATACACCTCCCATCTCTGTGAAACTAACGCAGAGCTTACCTAACATATTATCTTGGTGGACCTCTCTTCCACAACAGCAATGCCTCCTCGTAGGAAGCCACAGGCTCCTGCCGCGCGATCTGCAGACGTACGGCAAATACTTCTCCGCATCTTGATAACTGTATCCTCTGTTCATGCTGACATTTTCTGGTCTCCATATAGGCTATGACAGCGTCGAGAAGAGCAGCTGCAGGGCCTTCATCGACACAGAAGCGTTCATCCGTGTCGAAACAGGCATCGAATCCTACACAGCCGGAGCCAAGCGTCGAGGAGCAGAATAACCAAGCCGACGAACACCCGCATGTACCATACCGCCACCGCGATCCTTTCGATGCGCTCCTAGAGCCCTTCTATTACAACAAGTCTTTGACTGATCCGATCAATACCGCCAAGGATAAATGGAATTTGTTGCCGGCATTCTTGAAGGTGAAGGGGTTGGTCAAACAGCACATTGACTCATACAACTACCTCGTGGAAGTACAGTTGAAAAAGATCGTTGAGTCGAGCTCTATCATCCGTAGTGATATAGATCACAACTTTTACATTAAGTTTACCGACATTTATCTGGGAGCTCCGCGACGTGCAGACGAACAGCAAGACGCTGGCCCGGGATTTTCAGGGTCGACCGTGAGTCCCCAGGAATGCCGACTTCGTGATACCACATACGCGGCCCCGATTCAAGTTGATTTCGAATATGTACGTGGTCGTCAACGTGTGAAGAAGACGGGCTATTCCATTGGCCGCATGCCGGTCATGCTTCGTAGCTCGAAATGTGTTCTGTCCGATAAAACCCCGGCAGAGATGACTGTGTTGAATGAATGTCCTTTGGATCCTGGTGGTTACTTCATTGTGAACGGTACAGAAAAGGTTATTCTCGTCCAAGAACAGTTGAGCAAGAACAGAATTATCGTTGAAACGGACCCGAAGAAGGAAATCGTGCAGGCGTCCGTTACCAGGTAAGCTCATTCTATGCGCCAATAGTTATACCCTGTCCGCCTCTAACATCTGTCAACAGTTCCTCCAATGAGCGCAAATCTAAGAGTTATATCGTCCTAAAGAAGGACAAGCTTTACGTGAAACATAACGTGCTTAGCGAGGATATCCCTATCGTCATTTTGCTGAAAGCAATGGGCATCCACACCGACAAGGAGATGCTCCTTCTTGTTGCCGGTATTGATAAAGTGTACCAGGAAGACTTTGCGATCAACTTTGAGGAGGCCATTAAGCTCGGAATCTACACACAGCAGCAAGCTTTGGACTGGATTGGCTCTCGAATTAAGATCAACCGCGGCAAACAAAACAATTATCGCCGGACCCATGTGCAAGAAGCTGTCGAAGCCATTGCATCCGTCATAATATCCCATATTGAAGTAAAAGACCTGAACTTTCGACCAAAGGCAGTCTATGTTGCTCACATGGCGCGTCGTGTTCTTATGGCTAAGAACGATCCTTCGCTGGTAGATGACCGTGACTACCTTGGTAATAAGAGATTGGAATTGGCTGGTCAGCTACTGGCCCTCCTTTTCGAGGATCTGTTCAAGAAGTTTTGCTTTGATATCAAAATGAATGTTGACAAGGTCTTAAATAAACGCAACAGAGCTGAGGCTTTTGATGCCTGGACTGTTATGAGCATGCACGGCAACCATATCACCCAAGGTATGAATCGTGCTATCTCGACGGGTAACTGGAGCTTGAAGCGTTTCCGTATGGAGCGTGCTGGTGTTACTCATGTGCTCAGTCGACTGAGCTATATTGCGGCACTGGGTATGATGACTCGTATTAGCAGTCAGTTCGAGAAAACCCGAAAGGTCAGCGGTCCCAGAGCTCTACAACCGTCTCAATTTGGCATGCTTTGTCTTGCAGATACACCAGAAGGTGAAGCTTGTGGTCTTGTGAAGAACTTAGCGCTTATGACCCATATCACGACCGATGACGAAGAAGGCCCGATAAGAAACTTGATCTTCATTCTAGGCGCAGAAGATATTTCCACTCTTGGTGGAAAGGAGCTTTACGGCCCTGGTTGCTACACTATCTCTATCAACGGAACACCGATGGCACTGACGCGTCGCCCGAAGTATTTCCTTGATGCTTTCCGGAGATTGCGTCGAATGGGCAGAATTTCGGAGTTTGTCAGTATTTATATTAATCACCACCAGCGTGCTGTTCATGTTGCTACCGATGACGGACGAATTTGCCGCCCGCTTATTGTTGTCGAGAACGGAAAGACCAGGGTTAGAGCGCATCACTTGAAGAAATTGCGCGAGGGAGCCATGTCGTTTGATGACTTTCTTGCTCAAGGTCTAGTCGAGTATCTGGATGTCAACGAGGAGAATGACTCGTTGATCTCAATCTATGAAAAGGATATTACTGAGGCCACGACTCACCTGGAAATCGAGCCCTTCACCGTTCTTGGTGCTGTCGCCGGCCTGATCCCTTACCCACACCACAATCAGTCGCCGCGTAACACGTACCAATGTGCTATGGGTAAACAAGCTATTGGCGCAATCGCATCCAATCAATTCCTTCGCATTGACTCAATCCTCTATCTCATGGTGTATCCGCAAAAGCCTATGGTCAAGTCTCGCACTATTGAGCTGACGAAATACGATCAACTACCAGCCGGTCACAATGCCATGGTCGCAGTAATGAGTTACTCCGGCTACGATATTGAGGATGCTTTAGTTCTGAATAAGGGGTCTGTTGATCGTGGTTTCGGACGTTGCCAGGTGTTTAAGAAATCCGTCGCCAACTTGAAGAGTTATTCCAACGGTACCAAGGACATCTTGATGCCACCAGAGTATGACAATGACGCCCCCATACGGAAACATGCTCTTCTTGAGAGCGATGGTTTAGCTGCAGTTGGTGAGCAGGTCAATGCTGGCGAAGTCTACATCAACAAATCTACTCCTGATCAATCTCTTGCCTCCGGATTTCCTGGCTCTGAGATAGGTCGGCCAGTCAAATACACGCCTACACCTATGACATATAAGCTGCACGACCCTGCGTATATTGACCAAGTTCTTGTCTCCACGACAGAGAACGAAAACCAACTCATCAAGGTGCTTACCCGCCAAACCCGTCGACCCGAGGTGGGTGATAAGTTCTCTTCTCGTCACGGACAAAAGGGTGTCGTGGGTATCATTGCCGACCAGGCCGATATGCCTTTCACAGATCAAGGAATCAACCCTGACATTATCATGAACCCTCATGGTTTCCCTTCTCGAATGACTGTCGGGAAAATGTTGGAACTTGTCGCCGGAAAGGCTGGCGTCCTGGCGGGCCAGCACGGGTACGGAACTTGTTTCGGTGGCAGTCCTGTCGAGGAAATGTCCCAGATTCTTATCGACAAGGGATTCAGCTACGGTGGTAAAGATTACCTCACCTCGGGAATTACTGGCGAGGCGCTACCATTCTACGTCTTCACCGGCCCCATCTACTATCAGAAACTCAAGCACATGGTTCAAGACAAGATGCATTCTCGTGCTCGTGGTCCTCGAGCCATCCTCACTCGCCAGCCAACGGAAGGTCGTTCCCGTGATGGCGGTCTCCGTCTAGGTGAGATGGAGCGTGACTGTTTGATTGCCTACGGAACTAGTCAGCTTCTCCTCGAGCGACTGATGATCTCGTCAGATCGTCACGAGATCGATGTCTGCGAGCAGTGCGGCTTCATGGGCTATCTGAACTGGTGTCAGCGCTGTAAATCCTCGCGGAGTGTGGTCAAGATGGCCATCCCATACGCAGCTAAGCTTCTTATTCAGGAGCTGATGAGTATGAATGTTACGGCAAGGTTGAAACTAGAGGACGAGTTCCCAGAAACAAGGGGAATGTAAGTTAAGATTACAAAAGTAAAAAGGATCCATCTGCGAGGGTTTTCAAAAGTCAAAAAGAGGCGTTAATGTGGCTTGATTGTACATAACGTTTGCATGCATAGCGCACGGTGATTTTGGTTGACTTTGTGATGAGAACTTGAGATTTGTATAGAAATGATACGTTAGTCAAATATGGTTCTCTTTTAGCACACTTCTATTCTGCTGTTAAACAAGGAATAATCTTTAACACAGCCTATCGTGAAATCATATCTAATGGAATATGAGGCCCTGGGACGTTCAGACGACGCCGAAGCCCCAGGCAGCTTTGGCGCCCAGGTCGAGGCCGGCAAGGAGATGGACTGCTCCAGGGATGCATAGGTCTTCGACTCTTATACCCAGAGAGAGATATTTTTTTCCCCGCTAGAGGGACCTCCGAGCAAGTGATTTGAGTATTTTGCACAACGCAGGCGGTACTCCAAACACACAGTAGTACAAACGTCTGGGTGCATTATCCATGTAACTTTCAGCATAAGCACTTATTATAAATTAAGAATGTGATAACTACAGATCACGAGTACGTCATGCTCCCAGAAGCATGATCAATACTCTCTTCTAGTATATACATATCCAAGAATCAACTTACCCCGATCCCTCCAATAAATACCGCTTCACAATCGTCCAATACCTCTCTGGATCAGCTCTCATATGCGAAACATGCGGCGACCCCAGAAACTTCTCCCTCGTCACCACCCAACCCTTTGCCTCCGCCTCATCAGCATGTCTCTCTACATCCCTCCAATCCACCAGCTCATCCGCATCCGAATAGATATAGCACCGTCTCGGCTTCCCACCATCCGCACCACCAACCAGCCTTTGATCATTCATCGCCTCCCGCGCAACACCAACGGCATCTGACAACCCAACTAGGCGGCGCACAAGCGCCCCCAGCACGAAAAACACCCATAGCATAACCTTACTGAACAGGCGGAAAAGCCACGGGCTCGGAAGCGCATATGAGAATGCCTTCATGGCGCCAGATACCGTCGCCACGCCTGGTGCACTGTCCAGGATGGTTGATGAGATGCGGAGTGGCCGGCCCACCGTCGTTTGGTATGTGTCCAGGAGACTGACTGTGGAGAAGACGCCGCCGTTGGAGAACATGTGTATGAATACTTGTTCTTGGTATCTGGCTGTCTCTTCAGTCGACGACGAAGACGATGAGAACCAGGCCCGGAGAGCCTCGACGGCTGGGGTGAGGCGCGCTTGTTGCGCCTTCTTGCTGGGTCGCGTCATGAAGTCCTTGGAGGAGCTTAGGATGATGACGATTCGGGCTGTGGGTGCTAGGCGGATGTACTCGGTGACGTATTTGGTTAAGGCTCGTGGGGGAGCGTTCATCCAGAATGCTAGGACGATGGTCTTCGGGGCGCCATTGCTTTCAGGTTGCAACTGGGGTTCGTGGATATAGACTGAAGGGGATAGTTTGATGTATGCGGATAGGGGGTTTCCCTGGGTATTGGGTTGTGACATCTTGGATCGCGCTTTGGTTTCCTGAGACTGGTCTTGACTTTGCGGATGTTCTATGTCTACTGCACAGCGTGAATTAAGGGGAAGGACCGGCGCAGAGAATTTAAAGGAGGATTAAACTTCGTATCTATATTAAAACGGGGGGAGTCGATAGGGCGTCGATAGATCAGACACTAGAGGAGCACTAAATCGCGGCTCCGAAATGAGCCCAACAGTCCTCGGCATTTTATTGCGATCTCTCGCTAGGGTGGAGCCATCCATCTTATTTGTCCCCATACGTGGAGTAAGGGGCCTTTCCAGGGACTACTTCGTATACACAGCATGCTTAACAGACTTGGGTCAGTTATCTCACCCAACCCTACCGTTGTTGAAATAAGTAAGGCTTTATCCCATGAAAGTGATTTCCTTATTTAACGCCAGCCCATACCACGCTATGCTCTATAATCAAGCCGTCCTTGTTTTGCTCATAGTATTCTGAGACAAAGAAATAGAAACATCGAAAGAAATGTAACAGGTAGTGCACCAGTAATTCAAGGTATCTCCTAGCACATCATCTCCTGGCGGCACTATGTACCAACGTCACTTTTTCCCTGGGCTTTGAGCCTCCTCGAACGTTGCACTAGGTGGGCGTTACAGAGCCTCCGGTGTCCTTCTTTTTCCCTCTTAATGTTTGACCACTTCCCTGAAAACGGGGCTTCTCGCCCTCGACAACCTGGCCGCTTTCGTCACGCCTTTTGACAGGCTTGATTGCATATCCAAAGAATAATTGATTAGGCGGGAGCCGGAGCGGCATTGGCCCGTTGGTCCGCCTGACAGGAGGAGGATGTTGAGGATTTGTGGCTCCGGGCGTGGAGTTGAGGCCTTTGGCGTTGGAGCCTTACTTCCCTTTTTCGCATTCAGACGCTGTCCGCCGATAAGGAAGTTTGATGACACCGCTTTTGCTCCTGCTGCAGCGTCAGTAGACTCAGGTGCAATGGCGGCGTAGTTAATTGACTGAGCCATGGTTCCATGGGGGTGAAGTAATCCGCCAGACGGAAGCTTGGTTGCGCTCACGCCACTGCGGGGAGTACTGGTACCGCTTGGACGTTGGGGTTCCTCGTATCCTACAGGAGGGGCAAAGTCGACCTCCAGATCTGTTTCGAGGACGGAAATGGCATTTGAATTGGTGGCTGGCTTAGTTTCCAAAACCGCCATCTCATAAACTTGATCATTGTAGGCAAATGTGAAGACATCGCCTTTTGTCAGACATGAAAAGTTGCGGAATGCATTCTCAAGCACAGCCTTAGGATCACTTATATCAAGAAACGACGTTGACTGGGCTTGGAGCTTGATGAACTGGCCCGGAGGAAGATCGGTCGACTTGACCTGCACTAGGTCACCCGGTTCGAGGAGGAGGGTTTGCATGAGCTACGCATAACACTTTGCATCAGTATGGTGGCATCTAATACGATTAAGAGCGCCAGTAGAGCAGAGGAAGTCATTTGAAAACTGAGTATAGTTAGAATGCATGGGACAGTGGACAATCTCACCCAAAAAGGCAGATAGATTTTCCCCTCCTCGGCGATAAACTCCAATACACCCGCATGGGTCAACCTTTCTCGTGCACCATTATGCAGCTCGAAGAGCATAGGGTATGTGATATGTAGCCGAGTCAACTTGTCCAAAGCACTCGGTGGCATGATGACTTTACCGCCGTGGTTGACGTTCTCTCTCTCAGGACCAGGCATCATGGCGACAGGGTAACAGCGGTAGTACTCGTCGAAACGGCGGGTTGCACCTCCATGGCGGAGCATGGAGGAGCTGAAGACGCCGTCCATGGGATCATCATCATAGTAATTAGAGCGGAACTACAAAGATCAGTACATAGAGAAGATAACAACAGCGGGACTCGCCTGAAGCTCACCATGGTGGGAAGCCCACAGTAACCGATGCTTAGCCACCGGTTGAACAATACTTGAATGAGGACGCTGGATCTAAGGTTTGCTTATCTTTTTTTTTTACCAGAGACAGGTAAATGAGTTTTCGTGCTGGCTGCTCGGAGAGACCAGGATGTTCAAATTGCACAAGAAGGTTGCGAGTAGTTAGGTGAAGCACTGTTCGGGAAACGAAGGCTTATCGCCCGCAGTGACGCAAATGGCTCCGCAATGATTTTCCGACCCGACCCCATTTGTACATCTTCAGCAACGGAGTTACCTCCCATAAAAGGTCACATCTTCGGTATTCAACATTATCGAGCTCTGTGTGGGCTTATAAACTAGTGCGATCGCTTCATTCAAATTTTTGTGGTTTGCTTTACGGTAAATTTCACCCAATTTATACTTCATGTCCAGCACCCAGCCACGCCCCAAGCGGGCTGGTGAAGACTTCACTCGCACACATCAACATCCCGAGGACGACCCGAATGAACCTTCTGGCAAGAAAGCTAGGTTTGATCTCCGAAACCCTTCTGCTCTTGCTCCAGATGCGCTCGAAGACGATGCAATATTAGACGCGGACGAGATCGGTCGGCGCGGACAGCAAGTACGTCGCAAAGCAGTAAACCTTGACGGCTACGACTCGGACAGCGAAAATGAAGGGTTTGATGCGCGAGCCGAGGCCTTGGCGAAAAAGAAACAGAAGGAAGATGCGGCAGATGACGATGACATGTTTGCTGAACTACAAGAGGACTTTGGCGCAGAAGAAGTCGATGCCGACGAAGCTTCAAGGAAAAACAAGAAGTCTGTGCGATTTTTACGAGATGATGAGATCGAGGGTCAGGTCGCGTCCTCCAAAGGTGGTGGCACACTGCACGCAAATTTGACTAAAGGCCCCGATGAGGTCGACGATGATGAAGCGGAAAGCGAGAGCGATGTTGCAGATGAAGACCGCGCTATGGTTGATGAGGACATGGACAAGGAACTGGGTGCAGGGTCGAAGAAAAAACATGCACCCTTACTTGATGCGTTCAATATGCGGACTGAACAGGAGGAGGGCAAGTTTGATGATCAAGGAAACTATATACGGAAGGCGGCAGACCCTGATGCCATCTATGATTCGTGGCTTGACGGGGTGTCAAAGAAAGATATTCGACGTGCCAAAGAAGCCGCGGAGAAAAGAGAAGCCGACAGGAAGGAAAAAGATCGGATGGACGACAGTGTATTAACGGGAGACGCCTTGAAGACCCTTATAACTCACCTTGGCCGAGGCGAAACTATACTGGAAGCGCTGGCTAGACTAGGAAAAGGGGCTCAGAAAAAACCCAAATGGCAGAATAAACACAGCAAAAACAGGTCAAATCAGAATGGGGTCACAGGGGATACGGAGATGACGGAGGATGACCCCAAAGAAGTCGCTCGGAAGCAGGCAATCGATGCGATCACCGGGGCAGCAGATATCCTCATGACTCGGGGCCAAGCGGACATCTATGATACAGAACGTGAGCTACTCACCCGTCAGTATCGCCGTGAGACGGGCGAGAATTGGGTTGATCCCCCTTCACAAGATACAGACCCTGTCAGTAGCGAGCAGGCCCCTGCAATGTGGGAATTTCGTTGGTCGGACGCCCGCGATGGTGGGATTGTTCACGGGCCGTATGACGGTCCAACGATGGAGTCGTGGAAAAATGCCGGGTATTTCGGTGAGGGTGTCGAATTTCGAAGAACGACGGACGAAGGTGGATGGAATGCTCAGGCTAGTTTTGTATAATAATGAAAGCTAAGGATGAGTGGGAGTCATAGATATAGCACCAATGAATACCAAGCGCTGAATATGAACATCATGATTATCATTCGAGCTTAGGCTCCTTGTCGATAAATTCCGATTCGAACCCAAATTGCAAAAGTACCCATACAGAGCTCTGAACAAGCGCCAGCATTATCATACATAATTTGATACTGCAAAGAAAACGCAGAGAATAATAACAGAAAGGAAAACAGATCACGTCGCACTATTTGGTCCTTTTCGCACGTCACCTGGAATGCTCCACCATTCTAACACCAATCACCCAGAAAATCTATATCAGAATAAATCTAAGAGATCTCCATAGCGTCTCCATTTGCTGCAGCGGAGAAGGTTACGTTGCCTTGGTCGCTAATGAAGCGCTGCTCATATGTATTCACAAACTTGACGCTCCGAGCAGGGTCATAGAATAGCCGGTAGCTGCGCTGAACATCGTCGATGCTGACCTCTTTTGCCTTTCGTTTTTGGCTCAGGAGGTGAGAAGTAGTGATGATATTGCTAGCATATCGGAGATTTGATTCTTGGCCAATCTTGGTCAGAAGTGCTAAAGCGTCCGGCGAGAGATCAATCTCTTCCTCCTGAGCTCTGATGGCCAGAATCTGTCTGATCTCATCAGCCGAGTAGGGCTGTGTGCTCACGATGACCACACGGTCAAGGAAGTCGAGAGGCAGCCCATGGGGAGAACTATAGGTTGTCCCCCGAATGCGGGCTTGGCCGCGATTACTGGCCATGATGACAATTGGCGCAAGCTCAGCTTCCAAAGCGCGGTTAATGAAGGAAAAGCATTCGATATCCAGCATATGAACTTCGTCAATGAAGAGGACGCCAGGGATTATTTCCGCCTTGCCCTCTTCCTTCCATTCAGCGACCTTTGTGTTGATCTGATCCCGAACCTCGCTCCTAATTTCTCCGGTATCGCCGGAAAAGAGAGCCAGAAATCCTTGTGACCGTGAGTTGATGACATCAATCTCATGAAGACTCACGGTATGCACAATTTCCTTGCGCACTTGGAGTTCACCCTCAGGGCATTGCACGAATTTGGTATCAGCACCCATCGCATCATAATCCCGTGAACGTGCGTACGAACGACCCAACTTCGTGATTTTACCCGATGACTTGTCGATAGAGATTATATCGCCGGCCATCACACGCTCTTTGGTCATGGAGTCGATCATCTTAGTGCCCATGTCGTAGATTGTCTCCATGTCAGTAGTTTTGATGGTGAGTTTCCCTTGTTTGTTACCCTGAGCATATCAGCACGGACATATTCTCTCGCCTGAAGGAATCTATAGTGACACTTACACCAGTGACGCTCCTATCGATCTGGATTTCCACCACTTCACCTTCGATGATCTCACTTTCTTCCTTGATCCGAACGCCAATGGACTTTCGGAAAGCTTGAGTGAGTGCTTCGGTTTTCGACATTTCCATTGAGAAGATCTCTGAAGAAGCGAGCATTGTGAAGGGGACGTCGGGCCCGAGAGATTGTGCCATTCCCATGGCAAGTGCTGTTTTACCTGTGCTGGGAGGTCCTGCAATTAACACTGCGCGGCCAGCGATCTTGCCTTCTTTGACCATCTGCAAAATTACGGCAGCGGCCTTTCGCGCTTTCTCCTGGCCCACAAGGCCCTGGGATGAGGTCCTAGGTTGTAAAGAATCGGCATCGACACCAAGTCCTCTAATATGCGAATGGGCAGCGATGAGATTCAAGCCACGGAGTTCCTTGGTCTCCGCGACAGTCGTGATTTGCTATTTCTTCAAGATCAGTACCATGGCAGTGTAAATATAATAAACTCTGCTTAACTTACCGCAGCCATATTGGATATTTGAGATCGCGAGTCTCTCTTCCTTAAGCTGTTACAAGGTCTGCGCAGCACCGAAACTGTTCTGTGTTCCACCTTGTTCACAGGCTGGACAAAAGAGCTGTGAAGGGCAGAATACGTGAGCCTGTCTGCCGCCCGTGTCACCGCCCGGCAGAATGGAGTACTAAATTAATTCCATTCACCCTAACTTTTGGCGCGTCAATAACTAATCAGTCACTGGTTGCTAGGCAAACAAGTTTCCATCAGAGTTTCTTTACCTCATACAACATCTACTCATTATAAATGTGGTGCCACCGGACTTGGTGAGATAAGTACGTCGAGATCTACATCTTTGATTTACTCATGACCAGACACGGGCACTAGATTGGAGTAGTTAGGTTACTCATGCAAGCTAATCTGCTTTTACTTCAAGTTTAAATATGCTTTATGTGCGACGTGCCTTGTTTTGAGATGCATTTCAACTTGCCCGGCGCAATAGCTTTGTTTATCACCGTGGATTTGTTGTCAAAATGAGCTCTGAGCGCATATTTACTTCCTATGCGCGCGACCCCCGCTTGAACAGACCGCCTCCTTTAGGAACAACCTCGCTAGACACGCCATCGCGGAAGGTTTTTACATCTCCCAGTGCTTCAAGGCAATATGAGCCTCGAGCTGATGCCTCTGGCGATCAATTCGTGCAACGGCTTTCCGATTTGATACAAGCCGCCGTAAAGACCGCTAGTCTCACCTCAGAGAAGGAAACTATACAGAAGAAGCAAAGCACCACTGAAGGTCTTCTGAAAAGAGCGAAAGCTCAGTCAAGTTTCCCTTCTACTACTGCTTTCTTTCAGCAAACATGGAACGACGAAGGCGGTCATCTGGCTCGTATAGATGGCGCACTGAAGGAGCACTTGTCGCGCTACGACCAACTGGAGAAAGCACTGAAAGCGAACTGGGCGTCTTCTCTAATCCCAGGACCTAGTCTTGTGGAGAAGTATGACCAGCTCAAAGAAGAGATCGAAACAACCAAGCAAGATGCTAAGCGTTCGAAAGATGAGGCCTTTAGTCTTCGAGATCAAAACCGCTCTCTAGAGGACACACTCAAGAGCCTCCAAGCGAGAATGACTATGCTAGAGAAATCGCTCGAAAACCACGGAGCGTCCCTCAAAAAGCAGACCAAAGACCACTCGTCTCTCCTTGAAGAAATCTCGTTGGAATTCGAGAAGCGCTTGGAAAGCACTTCGACGAAATTGGAAGAAGGCATATCGACAAAGTTTCGAGTAGAAGTGGGTGAATGGCAGAAGCAAAGAACAGCTTTGGGTACAGAACTGGAGTCCCTGCGGACATGCCAGGAAAGTTTCTCGGCTGCTATCAGCAAAGTTGACCAAACGACCAAGGAGCAGCAACAGAAAATATCTGATATTGAGTCGCTGGGCCAAAGGTTAGACATTCTTGATACCCGTCTTGGCTCTGTTGAATCTACGAAGACGGCACCTCCAGCATCCACGGCGACGAATGAGCCAAACGTAGAGAAAGTTTCTACATCCTACTTTCAATCTAAAGTTGAGAGCCTCGAAAGCATACTTAATCAATTGCAAGGTTTGCAGGAGATGAAGGATGACTTGCACTTTTCAGAAGTGGAAGATCTGAAAAAGTCACTAGTGCAAGCGTCTGAAGAATTAGTGGGCGTGAAGAACGATTGCAACATGCTATCAGACGAGGTGAAGACCTTGCGTGAATCAAATCCAGCCACTGCCCTACAACAAGTTGCCAATTTATCAGGTTCATTGCAAAATACACAGCAGTTGGTGGAGACTGTTAGGGTGGGCTTACATTCACTGGAAACCAGATATAACTCTCTCACTACAGAGCCGTTGGCGAGAAACATGGTCGTTGCGTTGCAAGAGATGTACCCCTCTGCTAGTCAATTATTGGAGCAATATTCTGGGTTAAAAACGGCTGTTGATAACCTCTGTCAAAGCCAAAACTCTATCGTCAGGCAGACCCAGCAGGAAGCAGCTCTGCGCCTTGATGAGCTAAACAAGCTGAAAAACGACCATGCCAGTCTCTCACAATCTCTTGCCCCTCTTTGGGAGCGATACGAGCAGCAAAGAACGCAAGGTCAGCCACCAAGCCATGATGATATTCGCAAACTACAAGTTGATCTCCACACTTTATTTACAAAGTTTGAAGAGTCCACATCCAGATATGACTCCCAATTCAGGTCGCGGAGGCTGTCTGATGACCGTTTCATGGAAGGTTTACGTGACGAGCGGAATAAGTTCGATAGCCGTCTGAGCCAAGTGGCTAGCAGTCTGGAGGGGTTGGCCAATGATGTTGAAGCAGTGAGGTCTGTCAATGCCAGCAGCCTTGCAAAAGTTGAAATGCATGCTAGTGACATTAAGTCATTGCAAGATGACCTTCATGAACTCAAAAATGCCACATCCGATCGACACCAAGCATTTCTTGATCAACTCGGCGAAATCACGAAAGTGCTCAGTGCACATGATACTAACATTTCGTCGCTGCTTGACGGGGTCGGTGAACTTGAGCGGTCAGAAAAGCTTCGACATAAAGAGCTGCATGAACAGTTAGATGGGCTTAAGAAAGCTGTGGAAGCAAAGGAGTTCCGCCCTCGAGCAGTGTCCCCAATTATCGTCGAGGATCAGGCTCCAAACCCTACAGATGATAGTCTTGCTGATACAGAAGAGGCGGCAAGAATTCTGAATGTGGCTGAAACTAACCCTACGCTCGCATTGCGGGAAAAGAAGAAGAAGAAGAAGAGACCACGACCTTCGGGTTTGTCTGAGGATGAAAAAACTCCAATAATGGCTCGACAGGAATCTCCCAGATCGCTCTCGTCCGGAGCATCTCCGTTTGAACAAGGTGAACCCACCGAGAACAAACGACCGAAGAAGAAGAAGAAACGCAAAATGTTATCAACTGAACCGATACCACTCGACTAAGTGGGCACACAATTTATGTTCGTCAACTCATTGGTTAGAAAGTTGTCTTATAGCCCCGTTGGTGTCAGGTATGGTTGCGGAGGGAAAAACTACGGAGTTGAAGGCACAACAATAGCATGTCTGCCATAAGTGTAATCTCCTATCGGCACTGAACGTTGTGCGAAGGTTTTCAATACTTATTAGCAAGACGTGAGGCGCGTGACGACGCCGGAACTTACTTACGATGGTGATGAGATCAATTTTTATGTATTGCGAATACCGCTGGATACCTATTACTGAGGTCGATTTTTGTTTCGTTTATTCATCAGTTGGATGGACTATTTCTTGATAATTTTTCATTCTTTGGCTCCAGATGGGTACGGAGTCCGTACATATCCAGAAGGCCGTAGTTAATTCTATAATGCATACTCTCAAGGTGTCTCTTGCAAGAATGTAACAACCTCTGAAGAAGTAACTCTCGTCAGTCAAACTACCATGCCTAAAAGCTGGTCTCCAAATCAGTACTCACTTTGTCTAAAGGCTTCAGGATTCTCCGATATGAGCCAGTGGCCAGCTTCGACGTCGGCTATCTGGGCTTTGGGAAAGAATTTTTTAATCGCAGGAATTGTATCGTCACTAACGTATCTGCTTTTTGTGCCCCTAACGAACAACGTCGGGCCGTCATACGTGACGGAACCAGACTCGGCGTAAGGGAAATTAGCCATTTCACTCAAGGCATCCCCCAAGATTGAAACAGGGACACGGAACTTCATAGCTCCATCTTCCCCACGAACCAGGTTGGTCAGCAAGAATTGGCGGATAGGAAGGGACTATAGGGTGTGGTATATTGCGGTTAACACGACTCCAGCATTTTGAACAGGACTACTTACTTCTTCATAATCTTTCAGAATCTTATCTGCGTCAGACTGCTTTGCTACATTCTGGGCTTCAATCTGTTGCATGCCACGGACGTATTTGCCAAAGTCACTCTTCAGGGGAGCATTGACTGGGGCGTTGTCGACGGGGATAAGCGCTGAGATCAAACTGGGAGAGTCGAGTGCGACTGTCATCGCAGCTTTTGCACCCCTTATCTTGATTAGAATTGTCACTTGAATCATGATCGAAGTGCTGCAAAAGACAAGCTATATTCATACATGGAATGACCTATCAGGACACACTTGTTCAGCTTCTGCTGATGTATGAAGTCAACGACATCTTCTGCCATCGCATTGTATGTGTGCTCTTTGGAGTGAAACGACTGGCCATGGTTCCGGAGATCCTAATAATGCCATTTGCATAAGTACATGAACCCTTCCACTTTGGTATATCATCGGACGAAAACATACCAAGATAAAGACCTCACGCTTCAAATCACGTGCCAAAGCTCTAACATTCCCTGTTAGTCGACAATGAAGTCACCAGTAGACGGCGATAACAATGTCCTAGACAATGTTATCTTAACATACTTGCTAATACTCCTGTTGTTCTGTTTAGAACCGAAGAGCCCGTGTAGGAAAACAATTGGACTCCGACTTGCTTCCTCTTTTTCAGAGCCAAAAACCTGATAAGACAGCTCGTTCCGGAGCACCCGGGATGTTGAAAATGCGCGGATACTGGAAGCACCCCGGAGGGCGACTCTGAATGGCAACATTATCTTATAAAATCTATTGTATTCGATCTTGGACGAAGATTGCGATTTGGAGTCATCGCGCATTTCCTGAAAGAGCGCGATAGTATCGTGACTAAGCAGGTTTAGGCCGATTCCGACCGCCGATCATTTCGGGGAGGTTCATTGCCGAACATCCTATGGAGTACTCCGTAGGCTTTCTCCATGTCTCGAGTGTATATTACGAGCCTCTTTGTATATTATAGCGCCATTCATTGCGTCTACAACTTTAGTAGCATAGTTGGTCAATATGAGCTGTGATAGCAGCAGGGACAGAATGCTAATGGAGCATTAGTGCAGTGTCAATGTCCTAAAATATATCTTTTGGTAGATTGCTTTCCGAGCACTAAAAGGTTGTACACAGTAATCTTGAATATATATAACGAGGAACAAAATAGAACCCTTTCGACCATATTAAAGCGAGGATAAGTAATGACGTAGACACTCTAGGTCTCTATTGTTGGATTGTAGTTTTCTTATACGTTTATCATATCACATCGTCACAATGCAAGTATATATACAGAGTGGATATCATCGGTTCCGGCAAAACACATCTATGGCGCCTTTCAAAAGCCCCATAGTATACATAGCTCCCACCTTAAGCATCCAAAAGAGGTGGAACCTTCTCGCAGAGATAATCAACGATAGCGTCAGGACCCCGCTCTACTTGCAATCCTTCGGGGATGGCGTGGGTCTTAATGTCAGGTTTGATTCCTCTCGCAATGGAGTGAATCAGATGCGCCTGCTCATCGGTCCACATAGAAGCACTGAACTATAGGACCGTTAGTCCCTTACTCATTTCCTAGCTTGAAAGAGTCCCTACGGGACTCAAAACGACAGGGATTCCTACCAGAACATCAGGCATCAGTGCCTCCACCTTGGGTCCGACTTCCTCGATTGCTATATTATTGTTAGTATTGTGTCACATGTTATTTCACAGCAGTGTCACTCACTTTCGCAGTTTGCCTCGTGGATGATGGTATACCGGTCCTTAAGAGCCTCGACCACCCGCCCGATAAGCCGCCTGGCTCTATCGGGAGCAGTGTTGACAGTGACAAGGCGGAAAGGTCCTTTAGGGGCAGACATTGTATCAAACTTCACAGAAATAATATTGTTATGTTCTCAGATCACTCAGTCACTTTCACTCATGGGATCTCTGCTTTTAAAGGTAGAAGTTGTTCGTGCAGCCGGCCGACATCCGGCGCTGAGAACTTCCCCACAATCGAATCGTGGGGAAGTCGTGGGTGTTTGCCCCCGGACTTCATCCGATTGAAAGGATCTCTGCGAATCAGGTGCTTCGATGTTAGAGAAGTCTGGGTACTCCGTACATCGGTGGCCTACTCATAGAACTATGAGAGAGACTCGGGACGGTTGGCCCGTCGGTTTATTCTTGCCCTCCCCACTTTGACCCCGCCAAACGTCACTATCGGTCGCAAACACGCATCGATATCGGGGTAGAAATAGTCCGTGATCGCGAGCATCTTCCTCTAGGACATCTTTGGGAAGTTCCAATTCCTACATAAAACGTGTTAATCGCATCTCTACCCCGATTGTACCTATTAACCATCGGCAATAACAAGAATCATGTCAAAAATCGCATCGACCTTCTCGCGTAAGTGATGGAAACACCAACATGCAACAGCTATAATGATTCTTTTCTAATACGCCATAGGCCTTGTGCGCTTTGTACCTAAGTCAAACCCGTCTAAGGTTCTGATTGGCGAGCCGGTAGATGCGCAACTTGACGTTGGATTGGCTCTTTACCAGGGAAAGGAAGTCTCAGTGCGACCATTCACCGGAGCATCCGTCCTTAACCCAGGTCAAAAGACAGAGTCTACTGAGATCATCAGCCGGATTCTCTCCCCTTTGTCGCAGAACGAGGTCGGATCGATTAGATGTATTGGGCTAAACGTGAGTTCTCGCTTGCGACATTACCAAACACCACTTCTTCAGAGTCGCAATTGACTAATTGTTCTGGTAGTATACCTCTCACGCCGCCGAGATGAAACTATCTATCCCGGATGTTCCCACACTGTTCATTAAGCCATCAACGGCCCTTTCCGACCCTTGGCCTGTGCCAACCGTTATTCCCAAGATCACGCAGGTTGACAACACAGGCGACTATGAGTCTGAAATGGTTATTGTTATTGGTCGTGATGCGAAGGATGTTAGCGAGGCTGACGCCCTGGACTATGTTCTTGGATACACGGCAGCAAACGATGTTTCAAGCCGCACGTCACAGATGAACCAGAGTCAATGGTGTTTCTCTAAGGGATTCGATACCTCGTGTCCAATTGGTCAGTGCCTCTCATATAAATTCTCCTATACTTTGTGATCCACTGACTGACGCGGGTTATTTCATTAGGACCGGCTCTCGTTTCTGCGGCATTGTTCCCGGATGCCAGCAAATTCCAGATCCGCGGGCTGAAGAACGGAAAAGTGCTACAGGATTGTCCTCTAACGTATGAAAAGTCCGGGTAACCAACCATAGGTTTGCTTAAATGCTAACAAATCTTGAATAGGGACTTAATCTTCAGCGTGCCCAAGCTCGTCAGCTTTCTGTCTCAAGGAACAACTCTACCAGCGGGAACTATTATCTTGACTGGAACTCCTCCTGGCGTTGGAGCTGCAAAAAACCCGAAGGAGTTCTTGAAGCACGGGGATGAGTTCGCCGTTGAATTGCTGCCTCACGTTGGAACTCTGGTGACGAAGATTGAAAACCAGAAATGAAGCTGTAGTTGAGACTCAGTATGGTGCATCATGACAGTTTAGAAAAATAGATATGCATCCAATTGCTCCGTATATGCTCTAGCCTTCATAGTCATAGCTTTTAAACTATTTTCAAAGTTCAGCGGCTTGGTCCACATAAGCTCTCCGGTTCCTGCATAGGTATATCCCTGCCAGAGCTCTAAAGTTCGACAGTATGGCTGACCTTGAGCTCTTGCAAAGGTTAGTATTGATGCATGCATAGAACCTGAACAGTATGTACTTATCTACACCCATTTACCAAGTCACGGCTGCAAGATCACAGAGCTTGATATTATCTCCGTGGCTCTACAGAAGAAACATAGTGCTCTATTAAGCATTGTTGCACAAGTACTGATGCGAATGTCTATTTGTATATAATTGAAAGGTGACAGAGGAGATGAGATGGATAAGACAATGTGGTACACATAATTATGATGTGATGTTGACAGCCTAGAAAGTGTGTCATTGGTAGAGTTCTGGCTTATAATAGTGTAAGAGCATTCACTTTACACCTTTGACCAGAAAAGAAATCAACGAGTGAATATGAAAATGAGTGTAATAAAAAAAGCAATATCGAGAACAACACAACAATTGTTCCTTTCTTCTCTTATTGCATACAATACTGATCGCAAATCTGTCTTCTTTCACTACATAAAACAACTACGTGGCTCCCTTGTGAATATCCTTCAAATAGCCTGCACTTGGGATACTACACAATGCCTGACTTCCCATTTCCGATCAAGGAGGTCTACTGCGAGGGTCATACGCCATGCGAGTGCGACGAGTCCTACTTCCAAGCTCTGAGGGACTGGGTGCGACTGGCTGCCGCATTTGGTTGGCCGGAGAAGGTGAGAAAAGTTGCGCTGTCCTACTTGTCAAGGGTCAAATCGTTGGAAGATATCGTTGTCATGATCGACTCCGTTCGGATCTGCCCGCATGGTCGGTTGGCTATGATGGGCGCAGAGTTGCCTCTTGAATACTGTAAAAGGTATGAGACCATCAATATCGCGTGGGTGAACAACGTCCCACTTGTTTACACTTTATTCCGTTGGTTCAACGGGGACACCATCCACCGCATCTGTCTCGAATCTGCCGCGGAATGGGTCGCGTATGAAGAAAATATGCTCGATTATGAGACTTCGTCGGGATTGTTCAAAAGAAAAGACTTCAAGTGCCTCCAAGATCCTGCAGCCGTGGCGCAGATGATGCAAAATGGTAGTCGCACCGTCGAATCGGTTGTGTCTGACGTACGCGTGGTTACTATCTTCTAGTATATCCCGCTGCGATGATCAACAAGGCAGGTTGCTAGTGACGCATCTAGACATCGGTAGCTAATCAACAGAAGACAGGATTGACGCGAGCTGCGCGGATAAGAATTCGAAACCGATGTCGACTTGATAGGAGCGAAAGATAAGCATAAGTCCTGTATGAGGGCGATAGATCGACACCAAGTGGTCTACACGTATTTGGCGGATAAAGGTTCACCACCCACCATTATTCAACTAATTTAAGCATCATCTGCTAACCATGACCAGGACCATGGCCATAGTTGGATGGAAAGAAAGTTGGCTAGCTGGCACTGACAATTTGCATCTTTTTGCATGCGAGCTACGGTTTTGTGCTTTGGCGAAGGGTTGGGAAGTTGGCTGGTAGTCTGGAAAACTATTACTGAGAAAGTCTATGTTGTCCTTGCAGTCTGTAAAGGTTAGGAAAACATTCGATCTGATTTAGTCTACATTTGTCTCACAAGACTGTTCAATGTATGCTTTACATATTATGCATACTTCAGCCTCAATAACAAGCATAGGATAAGCATTTACGAAGCACAAGGACAGCGAACAAGAAAACTCCCCACATGTAAGTCCCCACATACGATGAGTAAGTAATATATGCTAACTACTTCCGGTACATCCCCACTTGCAGGCTTTGCAGAAATGTGGGATATGACTTTATCCTAGGCGGAATAAATCATCTCCGCTTCAAGTACTCGAATCAGAGCCAGACATCTACGTAGTTGATACACTCATTGCGTTATTCGACAGCATCTGTGGTTAAAAGTAGTGCTCTACTATTTTTTGCTATATTGTAGGCATATTAATTATGGTATCGAGGTTATCGGAATGCTTGATATGATTATGAAGTAAAATTTTAAAATTAATATGAAGTTACTATGCCGAGTTGCTGTTCCGATGAAGCTCCCTAATATTATTGTAGCTCGGGCAGCCGATCGGCCACGGGACCATTAGGAGACTAAAACGCGTGGTGTGATTTCGCTTTCCCGATAGTATGATATCGGCTCGATGACTCGGGCAGCGAAAAATCTTTGATAGCTATCGATTTGCTAAGAGTATATAAAAAATCAGTCCAAGCTGGGGCTTTTCTTTTATCCCTTTTCTGTATCTTGACTTTGAACTTTTTTTTGTTTATCTTGTCCCTGATTCCAATTTGTTCATATTCTGGACATTGCCAGTGTGATTCTATTCTACCTCTAACCCATATATACATACTGTCTTGTTCGATCCCAATTCACACTCAAGGACTCCCATTCTATTCTATACTCTAATGCATTCTATCCGGTTGACCGAATCATCCATCGAGACAATTACTAACTTTAGATTCATGTGTGAATGTCCGGACGCCATCTCCGACCCATGAAGTGAAGGCAGAGAGTCGGAATAACACTGGCACCCACGATGAGAGCGCACCCAACACCTGCACTCGCAGCCACACCAACTGTTTCAAACATTGGCGGAAACCTGAGCTTCGTTAGCTATCGTACTCCTAAAGCTTGACGTGACCCTCCCTCGACTTACCAAAATGGCCCTAAGAAACCCCATATCTGTCGAACGAACGTGATACACACTCCGACACTGGCAGCTTCGGTGGGATAGCAGTCCACGGCGTACGTGACAAGGACGGTGGTTACAATCTGATTACCGCCGGCCCCAATAGCAATACCGATGATAGGTGCTACGTTCCAGTGGCCTGACGCAGATTCCTGAGTGCACACCAGGAAGACGATCAGACCCACAATGGAACAGATATAGCCGATGTAGCTGAGCCACAGACGGTGTTCGGGCTCGGGCTTCCGCTGGATCTTCTTTGCTCGTGTGTTCATCCAGACGTCCGACAGGGTGCCTCCTAATTGCTCGCCAATGACGGAGCCGATAATGGGACCCAGGAACTGCATACCGAGCTGCTCAGTGTTCAGCTCGAACTTTTCCTGGAGCAGTTCTGGCACTTCAACAGTGGCCAACACATTGCTTAATAAGAACACCATTGCGTACGCCGCGGCTGGGATCATAACAGAGGGATACATGACCATGGTAAGAGGCTTAACGAACTCCCACCACGAGAAAGGAGTTGGGTCAATCCGACGGAGTGAAAGATACTCTCTCTTCCACGCAGGTTGATTTGGGTCGACATTGCTGCCAACATACCGAGTTTCTGGTCCCAGAAAGAGATACAAGATGAACTGGACGCCGTTGACCTGATTGATGCAAATTTGTTAGCGAACGGTGGTCAGAACGAGTGTGTATCGGGGTGGTAGACGAACTATTGCCAGAACCCAGTAAATCCATACGTAGCCTGCCCGATATGCGACGAAACCAAAGATAAATGGACCGAGAGGAATTCCCAAGGTGACCAACAGGGTCCACACACCCATGTACCTGGCACGGTCTTTCTTAAAATAGGTCTCCATCACAACAGCACTTCCGATGGCTTAATATGATAGTCAGCTCCAAGCTTTCTGAGATATGATCAAAAATTTGTCTTACCAGATGCTGGAGAGATGAAAAATGCTTGCAAAGCTCTACAGGCGGCAGTTGATGCATAGTCCGTGCTTTTCGCGCACCCCACATTACATACTAGACTGCACATCAGGGAGATAAGGAAGATCGGACGACGTCCATAGCGATTAGACATGGGCTTCCAGAACAATGGGGCCCCGCCCAAGATGGCGATCTGGAGCGATGTCAGATAACTCGCTCGTTGGATCGTAACGTTGTACTCCTCCGCGATCCTGCCCGCCATTTGTTAGTGAAAACTAGAACGGTAAATCATCGATTTAAGGTGTCCTCTTACGTTGCATAAGCAGGAATGATACCAGCAGCAGCAAAGGTACCCATACATGCGTGAATAGCTACCAGAACCAGATTGGCCAGTTTCTGCAAAGATTCAAAGCCAGTCAGTAACCGGTCCAGAAGAGTTCACCCAACATCTCGTTGCTCAAAACCATAATTTGCGGCGAAAGTGAGTACTAACCTTCCAGGACGGCCAGTTGTACGGGTCCGCTGGATCCATGCTAGGGATGGGATCAAGTTCTAGTGTGCCGTGACGCTCCATCAGGTAGTCTCTGTGTGCTTTTGAAATGCGAGATTCCACAATGTCGGAATAACTTGTAGGGATGGCTCCCGCCGTGCTCTCTACAAAGTCCACGTCCACTTTTCCCGGCTGAGAGGCATCTTGGACGTCGTCATTTTGACGAGGCCTCTGCATCTCCATTGACGCAGTCATGTTGGATGAGCTCCTGGATAGGGCACAGCCGGCGTTGGATTCGAATCTCTGTTTATTCTGAGTTAAGGGATCAAGCTTCTTGCAACCAAGGGCCCCCAGAGTTAGAATGGGTGAGAATGAGTGTAACAGAGAGAGAGGGGGGATTCCAAAATAGTCCACGAAGATGCGGATAACCCGTTATTCACATATGTCTACAGGCAGCAGACTCTAACCGAAGAGCAGGGGATTTGGACAGTCCCACGCAAACTCACGCGGCCGGGGTATCTGGCCTATCAATTCTGCATTGGGGTGGGCACTCTCGCCTGGGGTAAGGCCAGAGATTGACCAATCCATCCCTGTGGAGATTATGCGGAGTATGTTTTTCATAATACTATCGACTCATAGGGGCGACAATGGTCAGTCTATTTTGTCATGCTCGGATAATCCTGCGTTAGTCCATTGGATGAACCATATTCGCAGCTCACCGGGGGGCGTTAATGAGATAGCCGAGTGAGGATCCCGAAACCCCAGGGGGATACGCTGTCCCATACAAATCAAAACTCTCCGGCTCGTTACGGTTACCGTGTACGCCGTACGGGCCACGGGACACTCGGAGATGGATAAGTATTTTGGAGTGGAGGCGTTGGCCATGGAATGGGCGTCTGGAGATTGGCCAGTTTGACCCCAGCCCTAGAATGGTCTTGAATGGTCTTCAACGACTAAGCCGGATTAAGCATGCTATCCTCACGTGCCAAGCCCACCGTCCCATTGCCACTGCCCCACAATTCGCTCTCCTTTACATACTCCCCACGGCCCACTCGTCAATGACAAGTCCAGTTCCCGAACTCGCTACCCTTATGCATAAACTCAGAGGGTGATCGTAATGATACTGATTCATTCGAGCTAGCTTGCGGCCGTTGCTTCTATTGACCCCCCAAAAGCACTACGACGTTGACCATGAAAGCATTGGTGTGTCGAGTTTGCCAGAAGGCCTTCTCGAAGGCTGAGCATCTAAGGGTATCTGATCCGTATCTCATTCCCTTTCGGTGGAGACTTCGCTAATGTCGGCACTTAAGAGACATGAACGTTGCCGTAAGATATAGCCATTATGCCGCGATTTGTGCCGTGCTACTTGGACGGGATTTCCGATCGCCATCTGCCCTAACCCCTTAAGCTATACGATTGGGAAGCTGACTAGGGTATCAATACCGAAGATACCGGAGCCAAGCCATTCGTCTGCAAAGAATGTCGTCGACCTTTCGCCCGCCAAGACGCTCTTGCCCGCCATGAGAAATTGCATGTTCGTGCTGCAGCCAATTCTAAGCATCCTCACGGGCAGCATGTAAACGAGATTCCTCAACCAGCTTCCCTCGAGGCTCTCCCGCCATGGGATACCACGAGAGCCCCCGTAGATACCGCAATATCAGTGCCTGCACCAAGTCAGACATGGGATATTTCACAACAGGGGCAACACCCTGGCTTGCAACACGCAGCGCCCGATCTTGATTTTACGCTGATATGGCCCGATTCGGAGAGTCTGTTCCAAAGTATCATGTCATCAGACACAACAGATCAATGGCAGATGCCTTTGGGGGCACTACCATTCCCACCCGTAGTTCAAGATGTGAACTCAATGAGCTTTGGGTCCCCAAATTCATTCGACGATCGTAGCTCGTCAATAGGCACGATCCCTTCGGGTGGTAGTCACCAGGCTGTACGAGATGTCACAGAAATGGTGGCAAGCTCTGTAAGATCTTTCGAGAGATATTATGCCTCCAAAGCAATGCTAACATTTTGCCACCGCCAGTCCTCCAGTGTGACTGCGGCAATCAAGGCAACGTCAATCACATCTGTGTTCCTGGATGAATGCTTGCACATGTTCTTTGTGCGGTTCATTCCAACATTCCCCATCTTGCATCGGGCTACATTCGTTTTTCGAGAATGCACTCACCCACTTCTTCTAAACGCCATGGCCTTGGGGTCCCTGTATTTGGGTCCCAAAGATTCAGTTGCGAAAGTAAGATGATTCGGACGTAGAAGGAGTCACAAGATTGTTAACGATACTGTAGGGGGAAGCGTTATGGCGGCTGGCACATACTGCCGTTGCTACCTCGGTATGTCTCTTTCTTCCTTAGCAATTTTGGCCATACTTACGCCTACTTAGTGGCAATCGTTAATTACGCATCGCGGCCCATATGATGCATGTAAAGGCGTCCAGCTTCTTATCACTGCCCTTCTGGGTCAGATATACGGTGCATTATCCAAGGTTTGCTGTCACCATTACAGGCTTGGCTTTTATACTTGAACTAACCTTTACTGCTACTACTACTACTACAGAATAGACTTATTCGCACCACGAGTCAAGTCTTCCGCCCGCTCGGATTCTTCTGGGCCCGGTATTGCGGCATGTTAGATAGCGAGCCTTACTCCGTGGAGAGCTTGCCATTCCCCAGCGCATCAATGGAGGAGAAAGAGCGCCAATGGCGAACATGGGCGGCACGAGAGATTCAACAGCGTGCCCTGCTTGCGTATCATATTCTTGACGGTCTCGTTGCACAGATGTCTGGTGACGGTACATCGACCCGCCATGTTGCTAATCCCCTTGTTCTCCCTAGCAGTGAAGCTGCTTTTGATGCCAGCAACGTGGATGAATGGCTGGCACTTATACGCTCTCAGAGACCCGATCAACCATCCTTTCGGTTGGTCTTCCGCTCTCTTTTCCCTCCGGTTAGTAGCTTTCGGCCTCTGGATTATCAGCTTTCTGCCTTCTCCCTTCGAGTCATCCTTGAAGGCCTAGAGTCCCTGGTATCAGACTCGGACGAAAGTGACCTTGTCGCCGTGGGTGTCCCAGGGCGTTCGGATCTGAGAAGAGCTCTGGCTCAAGTGCACGAGACCGTCTCCATGAGCATTCACCTTTCCGCCGAAGAACGGCTCGAAGTTCTTCTCCGTTGGCATACTATATGCCTTGACACTATGATTAACTCGACCGTTCTTTGTAGGCATGTCTGCTCCTGCTACGACATTACACAACATGTGTCCGGAGGCTCTCGAACGGTTAAGCCCGGGTTCGATATGACGAAGTGGGTCTGCACGCCTGATGCACGTCGTGCTTTACTGCATGCTATTGCTATTCAGGATATAATCGAACAACTTCCACGAGGACGAGCTCACGTAATTCATATGCCAAGCTCCCTCTTTGCCGCGGTGACAATCTATGTCGTGTTCTCGCTTGCCGGGGTCGCAACAATCCACCTCCCACGGACCATTGCTTGGCAGGACGCGCTTCTTTCACACGCCGATTTGAACTTAGGATGTGACGGTAGCCGGGCATCTACTGGATCCGAAACAAGAAGATTTGTTGAAGAAGGCCAAACGGATTCGCCACCTGGGCTAGGAGCCGTGAGGAACCTGCTTTATGAGATGAATTCGATGCAGAAGCTGTTCCGCTGCCTTATATCTCAGTGGGGCATTGCTCACGATATGGAAGAGATCGTTAACCAGTGGATTACCCTGTGTCATTAGGCGCTCAGGTCCCCTGTATCATCTAATCTATCTCCATTATGGCCCGGCGTTGGTGGCATTCTCCGAGCGGTTGCATGGCATGGATTTTGATTTAAGGAAACGTAGGCATATAAATATTCTTGCTGTTTGCATATAGAATAAACTCTCTGTGGACGAATATATGTACTGCTACTATAAGAAGGCACAATTATTGAATTCTTTTTTCCTACGTCACCGAGTGTATGACTTCTTTCGCAGCTTGAGCCCCGAGTGACCTGAATCACCCGAAAAAACACCATTCCAGATCATGGGGCTTGGAAATAATCATTAAAAGCCAAACAGTCCGCCTGTTCATCCTTCTCAAATCTCCAGTACTGCCAACTCAAGATTTGACAACCTGCTGATCGTTCAATAAGACTAAAGATATCGTTAATATAACTCACAGTGCACCATCCCGGCCAATTTGCTCATCAAACACGGCGCTTAGTCTTGATGTTTGAACCCTTGATGTTAATCTTGCACGAGCTTACTGAAAATTTCCACCAACGACAACCCCAGCCATGAGGCTGGAATTTGTTCATACGTAATCCATCCAAGCCTACCGGAGTTCGAATACAGAGCCACACTACGCAACGCGAATCAAAACACTGTCAAACTCGAACTGACGGCATCCCGGAAAAGGTAACCGAAAGCGTGGCTGTCGAATTTGGGTAGTTTGATGAACTATGCAAGGGGGAAACAGTTGCATGATAGTGTGATGTTGGGCTCGAAGGCTTAAACGATTAGGGCAAGTTGGGTGGATGACGTTTTCGCGCAAGGGATATGTAGTTGGGTGTATGCTTATGCATTGTGGATGAGCGGTATGGGGGTATTGGGTCGAGATAGACGTATTCTTCGTGGTTCGTGATCGGTTGTTTGATATGTAGACTAGTTTGTCTAGTATTGACATTGAATAATAGGACTGTCTATCTATTTGCTGGATGAAAATGTATAACTAAGTTGGCTTTGTGCAGAGTGAATCACAATTTTGTAACAGGAAAACGGAAGACAGAATATGCGATGCCAAGTGTGCCAATTTATATGCAAGGGGTATCTCGGGCAGTCTAATGCAATCTGATGCGCAATGACAACGCTACCAAGGGTAGGGATGATGAGATAGCGAGGAAAGGTGGAACAAAAAAAATTAGAGGTATATCAATGCATGCAACGCCGCCCAAACTAAATGAATAAAAACGAGAAAGATAAAGGAAAATTTAAGAAAAGGGCGGTGTCGTAAGGGAAAATAGAGATGAGAACTATACCGCTGAGTGCGCCTTAGCAAAAGAAAAAGGATAAAAAAAATTGCTCCATATGCGTTTCACATCTTCTCAGGTTCGTCATTGTCTTCTCTCATTCTCGTAAAGGCTTTGGTTAAAGCCGTTCCAATCTCGCTGAATAGATCACGCATGATGGACTCGGATTTCATCGCCGCAGGACCCTGGGCCAAAACAGGATCCTTGAAGAGTGGTGCAACTCGCTCCCAGAGTTTGCTGAACGTGTTCTCGACGGAGCTGTCTACGGCTTTTATACCGTTCACTGCGGATTCCTGATTCAGTGTTATGGTGGCCGATGGATGGCTGGGCTCGTCTTGGCGTGGACGACGAGCGGGGCGATCATGGGCTGCATTATCGTTGTCATCGTCATCACGAGGTCGTTTGTTGCTAGTCTGAGTATTGTGAGATGTCTCAGGGACAGCGCCTGGAGAAGTCTGAGTTTGAACCGCGCCATTGGTTAATGGTGAGAGTTTCGGTCTCTCCTGTTGCTCCGTAGGTTGGCCTCTATAGGAGGGAGTGTTCGACGGTGCGAGATGAATACCACGAGGAGCGCCCGCCCGTTGACGGTACATAGAGATCTCGTTGAGCACCGGTGACTGGCTCGGAGACTGGGAATGAGACAATGACTGGTGGCTGGAGAAGGGAGGGCACCAGCTCAACGCAGGAATGCCGAATTTCGTTGGTAAAGGGTCCATCTCTGCGGGTGGCGGAAGACTTTCAACCCAATTTGAAACCCGAGTGTACTTTATCAGTTGCTGAACTGATACCCGAAGTGGCGGGGCTTCGGGTTTCGCAGCCGCCGCTTCCAGGGCGACTTCCTGGCGCACAGGCCGTCCCAACTTTCTATCGCACGAGCCCATCCAGGAATCAACGTCGTCTGCAACGTCGCTGTGCATATCACACTCCGGAATATGATTGTATTTGTAAGCGGCCCAGTATGCCTTGCGTTTCGTGATATAGCCGATAATGCGTCGTCGACATGACTGCCATGAGTATCGGCGGCCAGTTTGCTCCTGTAGTGCTGCGGAGATTCGAATCCAAAAACTTTTGGGGTAGTGACCCAGTTCGTAATGATCCATCATATTTCTACATAAACTGATGAGGCATTGTTGCTCGTTAACCGTGAGTTGGATCCCCCGACCGGAGTGTTCAACTGCGACATCGTTGTAGAGTAGACCGGAAGCAAGTTTTGATTCGGTTGGGGTGGAAGAAGGGTGATCGGTTATTCTCGCGGGGACGTTGAACGATGGGTCTGTTAACAATCGGCGTTGTGAATCTGTCTTGCTGATTCCATGATGGTCACGCAGGTGTCTCCAAAGCGATTCTGACGAAGCCGACTCTTCTAGGGATTGTACCATGGCCATGACTTCTTTTGCGAAAACCCTTCACGGTCCTCCTCCTCTTGAGATCGTGGGTCGGAGAGAAGACATTGCGGGAGGATCGGAGAAGAAGAAAATCCATCTTTCGCCCCCCCGAAAAGTTCGCGCCGCGTCCGTGTCCCGACACGTGATCGTTGGGCAGCGAATTAGTATGGAGCGATCCTCAGCCTCCTATTTTCTCCTGATCTTTAGAGCTGAGTGGGAATGTAAGTCTGCCTAAACGAGCCGATCGAACCTGATCTACGGATAAGTTATCTTAGTTGTTGTTGGTATTAGTTGGTTGTATGACTTTCCTTCCAACCGAAGCTGTGGACTGCGGGTTTCCTGTTTGTTTGTTCACCGCCGCGGGCGAGAAATACTATCGGTAAGTTACCAATATTACCCGATCAGGGTTGAGGGAGGAATAATTACCGATACATGGTACCGTCCTTTGGGTTCCATGTCTGCTTCAACGTCTGATCTTGGGCACAATCCCAATGATTTGACGACCCTCCTCTCGTCAAGGGATTCCCAATTGGAAAAGTTACATGGGAATTTCTGCGTGTCCTCCGCTTTCATTCCCGATTAGGAATCCATGTCTCCGCCGAACTATGAGGGGGGGCGACTCGACTCGTTGCATCATTGATTCTCCATTCGTTCAGGGGCTGCGCAGGCGAAAGACACAATCGTCCACTACCTCGGCTGTACTCAATAAAATATGTACTTCCATCTGACCAGTACTTTGCACACCCCCATTGTCTACCATTCGGGTTACTCGGAAAATAATAATAGACGAGGTATACTCCTGGGTTAGTAACTTAGGGGTTACATTCTTCATCCCGCCGCGTTCGGCAATATCAAGGATCACCCCTACTAAACTAGGATACGAGAGGATCGATGTCTCGCTGTCGACAACGCTACTCGCTTCGTCTCAGTTAGGGTGGTTTGCTGACAACTGTCCACGGGTCAATGGTTTCTCTTAGTAGTACCCATTGCTGCTGATCGCTGCAATTTGGCCAAAAGCACAGAAAACCCACGCCTCAGTAACTTTCTGTGTCACTAAATCGTTACATGATTGCGACACTACATATGCAGCTAGAATCCCAGCGGGCTTGTCCCTGATCTGCAGGCGTGGACACTTTCATAGCACTGTATTCAATTAAACTCTCTGAATACCCCGTCTGAACTGTTGACCGATCGGAAATGGCGTCTCGTCCCATATCCGCCTCCCCCTTGTTGCAAGCGGTGTCATCAATGGTTCTCGAGAAAGGTACACGAGACCGATTCGTGGCAAATATCTCTCCAGAATGGTGTACACAACAGTATGTTCGACAACGTGGAAGCGAGCTAACCAGTCGAGTAACAAGACTGACTAGAGCAGCTCTGTACTGGGTGGCTACCTTAATGCATTGATGCTTTCCGCCACACGAAAGTTGAACGCCCTTGAATTTGGTGAAGAACGGTTCCCCGATCCCATCCATATCTTCGTGCAGTTTCTGCACATGGTCCCGCCTGGACAGGTGGTGGTGACCTGCAAACTCCTCCGGGTCTCTTCCCGGCAGTGCGTGGTAAGGGTAGAAGTAGCAAGACCCGGAGCCTCAGGAAAACCAAGTACTCTTGCTACTGTGGGTATCGTTACGTGCGCCAACATCTCGAAAGAGGAAGGCCTTACGCAACACAGTAAACCGGCTTTCACTGTCTCACTTCCGAACCGACATACCGAGTGTGTCAAGATTGATGATCCCGTGGTCGATTCAACTCCAGTGACGAGTAAACTGAACTGGGTTTCACCGAAAGCAGCCAATGGCCTTTGGGGACACCGTGTTGGGGGTCATCACCGCGAGGTATGGGTGTCATTCCGGGATGGCTCTAACATCTCCGACCATCTTCATCTGGCTTTGTTGTCAGACATGGTAAGCGGCTGCGCACCCTCCATATCGAACGTATATAGCTGGCAGTATCTGACGGTTGAGATAGCCCTTGCAACCTGCTGCAACGCACCAAGCAGGGTTCTACTTCAAGTATGCGTTATCCACGCTGTGTATGACAGTGGAATTCAAAAAGCGTCCAGACCCATCTACGCAGTGGGTTATGATTCGATCAAACTCGCATTTGGTTGCCAATGGCCGGTACGACGTCAACATCCAGATTCTCGATGAAGAAGGTAATATCCTTGCATTAAGTACCCATGTAGTATATGTTTCGGAGCTTCGAGCCCGTGCCAAGGGAGCCAAAATATGAACGTGTACTTGTCAGAAAAGTATATAACACCACCTGTTAATAACCGTCACTATATGGCAGTAACAATCAAACCAGAAGGCTGGACGACTGTTTAAAGAATGTAGAATTCCAATTCAACGGTGTGAGGATTTAGATCAGTAACTCTCCCGATAAGCTAAAGTCAAGAACCAGCGCCCTGTGGCAGAAGACCTATTTTGTTCTTATTTTTTAGTATTATCCTGAGGTTAGCTTTATCTACATATCACTCGACGTGTATCTCATAACCGAATACAATAGCGATGACTAGGATGTAAAATTTGATGCTTGTTACTTATAGTTCCTGTTTGTGACATGTCAGCCAGCGCGACAATCGTACAAATCGTATGTCTTACGTACACCAGATTGATACCATCACTTTCTCTTTTCTACTGGGGAAATATGTAGAATGTAAAGAGATATCCAGATCATGACTTGACGGGACTGGTGCACATAACTTCCATCAAAAAGAGCCGATGGCAGAATATGTATGAAGAGAGCCTAAGCTGCTCCGCGGTAAATATCGTCCATGTTGCCACCGTCGAAGTAACTATCAATCTTATACAATGGATCCTCATTCATGCCGGCAGGGTAATGGGTTCCGTCGTTATGATCCTGAATACCACGTGCATGAGTGGACACAGACTTGGATCCAAAGACACTAGTTTCTTCCTCCTTCTTGAGATTTATGGGAGAAAAGAGACCAGCCATGCTGCGCTCACGTATTTCCTTTTTGATCTTGATGCTAGGAGAATCAACACCTTTGACATCGTCGTCCTCGCTGTCATAAGGATCACCAGGAATCTCAGGTTTAATCTTCGACTCTTCCTCTGTGTCGATATCGTCAACATAGATAGCATCCATGACAGACCTACCAGGCTTGGTCTTCTGCTTGGTTGGGGTCTGGGTGTGGCGATAACTCCTGTTCCTGCTGGATGACGGGGTGCTCTTGGTGATGCCGCCTCGTGGGCCTCGAGGAGTTCGAGGCGTTGAGGCGGCGCTTCCACCAGACGCATGGTTGCGCCCTGCATAGCGGGGGATATCGGTGATGCCACGGCCGTGGGCTTCGTCTCTCAGCTCGTCTGCTATCTTGCGATAGCGGCGGAATCGGCCCTCAATCGAGTCGTATGTCGCTCCTTGTCCGAAAACGAGAGCCATGGCGTGGTAGTCAAGCTGTTTTTGGAAGTTAATACTTGGAGTGCAGTGAAGTCGTATTAGAAAGAGGACGAAGGCTACCTTGAGATCTGGGTGAGCTGCAAGTAGAGATGCAACGAGACGGTCGGTACTCTCATGGTTCTTCCAGTTCACTACCATGTTGATGAGATATTTCAAGTGATGTGGGAGGTGGGGTTAATGGTGATGATTGGAGGCTGGCACCAGAGGATAATGGAGGTAGGTAGATTAGATTTGCGTAAGGTCCAGGCAGTTCTTCACAGATGAGAGATCAACTTTGCTTAGTTGTGGACAAGACGGAAGCAGTAGTCAAGAATACTTGAAGTGGAGGAAGAACTGCTCAGCTTAAATTGTGTAGACAACTCTTGAAATGAAGAGAAGCTCCCTAGAAGTCCTTTCTTCCGAGAGAGGTCTGTTCTTTCAAGAATTATCACAATCGTGAATAGTGAATTATCGCCTCCACAGACTAGTAATAATTAAGGGCATGCAGTACTGCAAAAGATTCTCGAAGCTCGGGACAAGATTTGTCAAAGGGGACATTGGTGAAGGAATGACACCGGCTGTATATGATAAAATATAACCAATGGCAAGGCCCAAGTAAGAAACAAGGGATATCCAAGAAAGTGAATGCTGAGCCCATCACCCGAGTATCTCAGAAACGCCGAGTTAAATCCACAAGTCACTTCTCTCGGCCGTGGATTTGGGTGCTATGACAGTATTGGTCAAAGCATTGAAGATACTTGGAGGCTGAATTATCAGATACATCAGCAGTCCTTCACTGACCAAGGCTCGATCACACTCAGAAACAGCAAATCAGTCTCATCAAGTTGTTCATTCACTCACAGGTCACTGAGCCTCGTCACTATACCTGGCCCTGCTTCTCTCTACCCTCTTGCACTCTTCTGTTACTCTTCTTCTACAGATCTTCTCTCACCTTTCCTTCTCCTACTCCTGTACTATCCAGCCATTCTCACCCAAGCACACACTTGTGTCCTACTTTCGATCTCGCAACTCAGCTCACATACCCAACTTCGAAGCAATCTCTATTAAGGTATCGAAATGCCCGTGCGTTGGACTCCCGAAAACGACCAGCTTGTAAGACCACCCTACCAACAGCTTCGAGGCCAAGAAAAGACTTAACAATCACAGCTTCTTCTGAAGATCCTAGAAACTCATGATCTATCCGTCGATACCAAAAAGGTCGCCGAAGCCTGGCGTAAGTTCTCACCCAAACCTCAGCAGCATCGATAACATGCATACTAAAGCGCAAAATTTGAATAGCCGGTACAGACCCCAGCAGCCGACCCACTCCCCGAGCCATCACCGAACGCCTGGTCAAAATGCGCCAGATGGTGAAGGCAGCCAACAACGGCACTGATGGCCACTTCAGTATCGGAAGGGGAGCCGGTACCAGCCCCAGCAGTGCAGCGGCAACTCCCCGTAAGAGAGGCAAGAATGCGATGGCCATTCCTAAGACTCCGACTTCTGGAAAGCGTAAGAATGCCTTGAAGTCTGAAAACTTTGGTGATGATGTGGATGTGTTTGTTAAGCAGGAAGGCGAAGCGACTCCTGGAACAGAGGCGCTCAGGCCTGCTTCTGCTGGCATTAACCAGGGCCACATCGATGTTAAGACCGAGCCAGTGGATGATAATGATGTTTTTATTGATGATGAGTCTCCTTTGAAGCGTGTCCGTAGGGCCAGCGCTCTTCCTCCTGGTATGGTTAGTACCTATGGCGAGGAGGATAGCCAGTCTGAGATGGACAGTGAGATCTCGGAGTATTTCCCTGAAGGATCAACTAAGGTGGAGGAGGATTTCTTGATGGCTTGATCTTTTGATTGATTTGTTTCCATCCTTGCGGGTGCTCAATGCGTAGCCGAGATGCATTGTCGATTGTTTTGCGGATCAAGCACAGGAGTTGAATCATTGATGGGGGTTGGCAGTTACAGCTCTTTAATTACCACGGGAATGCTAAACACTGCTTAGTTCTATGTCCACCATGCAAGTGTAGAAATTGCAGCCATAAAACTGCAAAAGTCGTAGCCTACCAAAAAGGTGAGAAAAGAGAAGAGAGGAAGCAGGCACATAATCTGGAATATCCTTCGATTTCAACAGAACGAACTACCAAGAGATGCCATCAAAGTTCAAACTACCTATCCGCTAACCATTCAGAATCAATAGTCGCGTTCATATTCCCAAAGGATACAAAACCCCATCTGTTCGCATTCCCAGATATTCACGAGATATTCATGAAGTCATCCACAGCCCTAAGCAGAGTCATTCTCAACGTTGGCTTTGTGCTTCTTGGTAGGGGAGCCCTTTGCACCTCGCTTTGCCGGTCTTCCTCTCTTGGGCTTCGTAGGAGACAAATCAGAAGTACTGCCTTCTTCCTGCTGAGGCGCAGCGCCAGGAGATGTGCCCGCAATAGTCCCTTCCACGGTAGGGTCAGTACGGACTTTGTCCTTAATACGCTGGACTCTGTGCTGAATGGCACTGGCTGTGCATTCTGCATTTTGGCTTAGTTCCTGTGTTCTTCAACGCCCTGGGGAAGTATAACATACCTTGACCCATAAATTCGGCTAAGGCTTTGTGATCGAGCTTGACATTATGAAGAGTGATGATGCCGACCAGAAGCTGTATATAGCATTCGATTAGTCTCTTCAAAAACTTTTTGTGGGGATAGGGATGTTAAATAGGTGGGCTCACTTTGGCGTCAGCCTGCGGATCAGTCCAATTTATGGGCATCTTGATTCGCAGTAAGTACTAAGGATGATAGTAGATAGTAGCTCCAAGTCGCTGTTTGGTTGTTGCTTTGTACGTGAGGATGTAGTCGGACGGCGTAGGTGAAGCAGTGATGAGGAGGGAACTAGAGGTAGAATAGAGGGTGTTGTAGAAAAAGAGAGATGGTCAAAGTCAAGAGACAGGCTGTGAGGAGAGAATGAAGGGGCTGATTTATTCACTTTCAGTCAGGGAAGTACTGCTGTTATTCGAGTTGCCTGCGGGAGTACAACAGCACAACAGTCGCTCGATGTTAATGTGGCAATTCAGATGGCCGATTTGTCCTGGTATTTTCAGAAGTTGTGTTATTCTTGTCCCAATTACCCCAACTTGCCAGCGTGGTCCAAGAATACTTAATACGACTTTCTGTGATTTGAAGGGGAGAAAAACGAAGAAACCCCGATAATAAGTCTGATTAAAGAGCAACACATTTTTCTCAAAGAGGATAGAATCTTCTGTGGATAACAAACTTAGATTTGTATTCCACATGATTTGAATATAAAAACCATGACACTGGTACATAGCACTCTTCAACAAGAACACAATATTGTCCAATGCTGCTTTGGCTACGAGGTCACGGAGGAGTCTCGGCTAGTAGTAAGCTTCAACGGAGGTGAAGTTATAACCTCCCAGGACTCTACCTTGTCCCAGAGACTGCCCCGAGAATCCCAGCATACAACTGTCAGAGGGGGGTAAGGTCAATGTAACTAAGCCAACGGAACCTATTGATAATGATATCCATATATGTAAGCCCAATGATCTATGAAGATTGTGTAAGTTCAGGCTAAAGTCATGCTGGAGCTGCAAAACTGTGTAGATGACTTCAGCAAATTGCTAGACTACTCACTGCCATGAAAAGGATAGACAGCTTCTTTTTAACTTAGGTATTTAAGGAGGATAGGGAATGTTTAAAGCGAATTAGCTACCTATCGAAGATATACCTTCCCTTATTTTAATATTGTTATCATATCATATCATTTCAACACTGATATGAACCAGTATGGTAGGTATCGTGAGATCCACCCACCAGTATATGCCAGATATGGTATTCATGAAGCTCCAAATACACTGCATGCATCAAGCTTAGTTTATCGTAGCGCTAAGCTTGTCTTTCATGGATACCTACTGTTCATGGGCTAGTTTTCGACTCATATACACAAGAAGCTGCTTTGAACAAGAGAGAAATTTATCTTATATCGGCCCAATACCACCACTGGTAGTACGATTCACCACTGGCAGAAACGCCCTAGACACTGCAGATACTACGGTCACTACAGACACTGCAGATACTACGGTCACTACAGACACTACAGACACTACAGACACTACAGACACTACAGACACTACAGACACTACAGACACTACAGACACTACAGACACTACAGACACTACAGACACTACAGACACTACAGACACTACAGACACTACGGACATTGCAGACACATACAGCGATATCAGTGTGTGATCACCATAGGATTTCCTAAAGGGATCTCGCTGCATGAGACAAAGGCCTCGATTGGCCAAGCTACTAGCAATGTCTAGATTGTCTGCTCTGTTCCCTTCAAGGAAAGTGCATAATGCATCAATCCAAGCAGAGGCCCACAGTAAGTCTTCATTCTTGATCACAAAAGACTCTATCCAAATAGTAGACATATTCGATAGGGTTACAGTCTTTAACTTCCTACATACTAGCGTTCCATTATATACTTCCTCGGTAATGTCCATCAATAAATCCAGAATCCACATTAGCGTATACAAAGTGTAAACGATCTAGCCGAGCTGTCAGGCCTAACGACTACCCCGCCAATCTCACGGGGCCGGTAGAACACAACCCCGCCAAAGGTCCTCACGTCTCAATGGAGATCATGACTCGAGCAAATCAGACGTAAATTCTGCTATTTATGCGGCGCGTTTCATGCCGCGTTGCACCATTTTTGGAGATAACACCCATTGAGTTGTCGAGTCTCCAACCGAAAAGACTACTAATCTACCGCCCTATCTTACGTATATTCCACCTCTGATATGAGAGTGCACACGCCACCACATTGCGCTACATGCAGCTGAGCGGTTGCCTGTCTGCCAACCACACGGCCTCTTGGACGCCATTCGTACATGACCGATGTGATGCGTTTGACACTCCAAAGCTACTCCGGAGTACTTGCAGCCAGTAGCTCAATTCCTGGGTTCAGAATGAGGCTAAAGTCGACCTGTCAGCGCCTACATGAAGTTGATCTCGAGTAAATCGAACCTGATGGTTGATTCACCGGCGTTTTCTTCTTCAGACATCTATGCTACAATGTTCCTCATCTCATGGGTCCTAAATGTACGGAGTACTAGTATTGCAGAGGATACTCTGAAGTGGCAACACAGCGTTTACGAGAAAGCACGTAGTACGTACTCCACCTTTAAAGCCAATGAGAGTAGTACTAGTAGTACAATGTCCATAGCGGCAAGCGGGTGCTTTCCATAGGATCTCCCAGATGCAAAGGATCGATGTTTCAGAATAAATAGCGTATATACCTAGCGCCCGAGAATTGCGGTGAAAAAACAAAAATTAGCCAGTTAGACTCTTTTAGGTACAGTGGACAATATTTGGACTATGGAGATGCGCTAACGGCTTTGCAACAGAGTTCCAGCCCGATCGTTTATCGAAAGGCTACTGTTACAGAGCTACATAGTACGGAGTGCATACGGAGTAATTGCGACACAAGGTTATATTTAGTGACGCTATAGGGCACTACCAGGTATCCCAAGTGGGTCCGGCGGGTTTTCGTTAATACGTAGAGGACTGACTGTGAAGTCGGTGAGAAAGTCTGAAACGGGAGGGGCAAAAGGAAAACAGAAGATGAGGGAAAGAAAGAGAAAAGGAAATCTTCGGAAACTTCGCAAAAATGGGCACATCACACCACTTAAGTCGAAGGCGACTTTTCAGAGATGAGATTTGTTTACCCAAAGAGGGAAGCCAGCGCTTCCCTCATGTAGGGCTACCTTTTTTAGATAAAATTGCAATATCAGACAAGGATCGCACTCCTGTCCACCCACGAGGCGCAAATTGACTAGCCTTATACCCCTCACTCCATTATCGATACATCTTATAGCTCTTGCATGCAGGTCATTCATTGGTTATCTGGGACATCTACGGATGTGACTTTCCCAACGTAGCGAAAAGAAACCCGGCTTGCTTATCGATGACAAGCACATCCATGAAGGAAAGGGCCAAAGACACCGAATTAATTGCCTCAGAGCAAACAAGCCTGGTATCATGTAGGTCTCGCAGCAATCGGCCTCCAACAGCTGATCCCTACCCCTCCAGGGTCCACCACTGAAGTGTCCGCCAAGAGACCCCATATAGTTGCACTAGGTGGGGGAGTCTCTCACCATTTTTCGAGGAGCCAATCTGACACGGGTTCCTCTTACTGCAAGGATCCATCATAACAGTTGCCTAGGGAAATAGGAGAATGGTACCGTGGGAAAGGGTCAGAACTAACCCTGTTGTAGTACAGCAAGGTCAAATCAGCATCTCAGCTCCCCACCAACGTCAATCATGCGCGGGTTCAACAAATGATTGGAAGCCATGTGTATACTACGTAGTAGCTTTGACGAGGTTGATATATGGGGGAGGCCGTTCCACCCGTGGCAGACTTAGATATAAATACCAGCTGCACCTCTTTCTGAATCTTTCTTTTTTTTTTTTTCAGTCTTCTTCCTTAATTCCCCAGAACACAACCACCATACATATCCTCGACAAACAATTCCTTGGCCAACATGGATTTCCAAAGCAGTGCTCGAAACATTCGTGTGGAGGGAAAGAATGCCTTGGTTGCTGAGCTTCGATGCGAGAATGGTGAATGGCGCGAGGCAAGGGTGAATCTGGATGAGCATCTCGGCAATGATAATGGTACTCTCCTGACATTTGCCAACATATATGACTAGCTCTAAATCGTATCATAGGCCACTTTCAATGGGGTGGTCGGAACTTCTCCGGCTCTGCCGAAGACGTCCATTTCTCGATCGAAGGCGGTGATAATGTCCCTGTGCTCCGCGCCAATTTGCGCGATCAGAGTGGCAACATGCAATGGCGCGATGTCAACCTCGGCGAACGTGTCTCAAATGATAACGGATACTTCAAGTTCCAGTACTAATTGTGTGTGTGGGGGGTGACCTTGAGTGAGAGGGCATTGCTAACGAGGCTGTAGTGATTCCTATATCATGATATTATTTGACGATGGTTGGAAGGACGCCTGCGAGGCACACTCTGCTCTAGCATATAGCTGCAAAGTACCGTTACGGTTCATGAATACTTGTATCTAGCAGAGGTCTTTGGTATATGCGATACCTTTGAACGCAAGCCCGTCCTGGAATTATGTCTCTACCGCAAGAGCCATGTATCAAGTAGAATCATTACAGGCACTTCAGTACCCTAAATACAAAACACAAGGCCACTGCTAGCAAGGTAATAAAGGAAAACTGCCAACCCATACACCTCCACATCGCCATCCGTGTCAGAACAACCTGTAACTCTAACCCGAACTCCTTGAAAACATCACAGACCCCCGGGTGTATCACATGATAAAGAAAGCCTGGACATGAAAACCAACACCGACAGAAGCACAAAGCAAGGAGCAGGTAACCGGCGATGGAAAGCAGTCCACGGGAACTTCATGACAGCAAACTCGCGCAATGCAGTATATATATATATATAGATAAACAAGCAGAAAGGGGGGAGAGCAAAAAAAAAAGAAAGGACCGAGGCGTCTTTTACCATGCGTGGGTTGTATCTCCCGCATCCATATCATATCCGTTCCAGTCTTCATCACCACTTGCTTCATCATCAAGAAAATCTTCCTCATTGAATTGTGTCTCACTTGGACGTTGATTGTCGATGCGAACCATAACCACGTCACACATACCTTGTACAGCCAGCGGCTTTTTGTTATCGTCACTGTCAGGCGTTGCGCGGTGAGATACGATTAAACCAACATCATCTTCAACCTCAGAAAGCTTCTGTTGAGCAAGGCGGGCACTTTTTCGTTTCGAGGGCGTCGAAAATCCACTGCCGTGAGGATCTGGCTGAGCAGAATTATTGTCTTCAACTATGCTAGCAGCCGAGCTACCAGGTACTGGCAGCCGAGAGGCAGGTGGAATAGTGCTAAGTGTGGCATCTGGAAGAGTACTGCGCCTTAAAAAGACCTTCTCGAGCTTGCCAATCCATTTTTCTCGAAAAGACGCACGATCACGCCACCCAATCTTGAGAATCGCGCTGATCACTAATCGCCGCAAGTTCCGTAGTTCAGGAGCCGCATCAAGAAGGGATGTGAAGAATACATCCGCTGTCGTATCGTCCCATTTGCGTAGCTGTATCAACTCAATTTCTTGCAGGGTAGATGGCCATGTTGGGACCTCTGAGCTATTAAGAAGCTCCCTGAAATGAGGTTCGACGTCATGATAACTAGACAAGTCATGTATTGAGATGTCCATCTTGAACTTTTCAAGACTTCGACAAGACTGCGCCAGGCCTACTATGAACGACAGGCTCAAATGGCGATTGTGACTTAGAGCTAAGTCCCGAAGATGCTGGCCATGGGATGCAAGAAATGCACTAAAGTTTGCTGTAGTTACTTCATCGCAGTTGTTTATCGTGAGCGACGTCAAGTTTGGAGGTAAGTTGGGCAAAAGATGCTCATTCACGATTGAGCACTCTAGGAATTCCAAGCGAAGTAGCTCTGGGAGTTCTTTAAGCGCTGTCGCAAGGACAATTTCCCTCTCGTTTGACACGTCGGCAGGGTCGTCCACGTCAGAATCTTCTGAGGCGATATGCAGCAACCTGAGCTCCCGTAAGCCGCTGAAAGAAGCTTGAAGGTGTTTTTCCATCATGTACGGAAGTAGCGCCTTTGTTTCCATGAAGCGACTGTTCCAATCCCAGCTGCGCAGGCGGATCGAGCTTGATATGATCGACGTAAAAAGACTTTCAGGATAAGCCCACTTCGTCCTCTGCCAGAGAGGGAGACCGACAACATAGTCGTCACTATGATAGAGACGCAACGTTTTCAATTGGGGTGCTCTCTCTATCAACCTTGGCAGCTCGAAATATCCTAAAGTCGGGCCACTTTTGTAAGATAGAAGGACTTCGGCATCGATGTGTAATTCTCTAATCTTGTTAACGTAGTTGGTTGAAAGAGACTCCTGCGGTTTGGATAACAGGTTGAGCAGGCCGTGTGCTTTGGCGGGGGGTATCAGAGGGGGGCAGTGGTATAGAGCAGCCATCGCAGGCTCGTGGAAAGTGCGACAAAGCAGAGAGACATTCACAAGCCATTGTACTGAGCTGTTTCTGGTTGCAGCTTTCTCATCCACTAGGGGATATGCAGCGCTATAGAATATATCGAACAGTATGTGGTAAGGAAGGTCTTGCCAAGGGGGGATGACACCAGAGCTCACGAGCGGGCTAATATCCTCCTCCACTTTCCTTCGTTTATTGAGAGGCCTACCCAATTCCAAGCGCTTATTATTAGAGGCTCTCTTCGACCGCTTAGTCTGAGATCTCGTTTCCACAGGCCGTTTACGTTGGGGCCTATTTAAATTGCGGTGACTTGTTGGTTCGGTAAGCGGATACGTTCGAGTCGAGGCTTCAACGGGTACTGAGGTCTGCGGTTCCTCATCGCTTGCACCCTCTTCAAAATTGTCGTCTGTAGATTCTTCGCGATATGACACGGGCATGCGATTCAAATCGCGTGGGCGCAAAGAAAGAGAGAGACGTCTAGATTGTTCCTCGTCGGAATCGGGGTCTTCATCAAGTCGATCTTCTGAACTGCTTTCTTCATGGTACGATTGAACTTGCGTGCGGCTGGAGCGAACAGGACGAGACTGCTTGAATGGCCGACGGTGAGATGAGCCTAGATAAGGAGCCATAGCGAGCGGGCTGGTTCGCCCTACGATCAATGAGGGGCGAAGCAGAGAGGTACTATATGGCACATGATCTGCGAATGCGACAGCGCTCGACCGAGAGCTCGAAGGGAGGTATTAGTGGTTTCAGGTCTACTGCAGTTCGAGGCTCGACATCACAACAAAGAATAAAGGCTCTGTGACTTTGTAGCGACCGTACGATGCAGGTGAAGTAAGTCGAAGATTGATGAAGTCAGTGGACCGTGAATACTGGTCTGGAAGGGGTGTTCATGGGAAGGTTTATCGATAAGAAAATCGAATCTGTCCATTGAATGATGATGACACGGGAATGAATTGCCTGATCGTCCAGGCGTGGTAAAGTAACCCAGATCAGGGATAGCGGAGCATGTGACTGGGGCCAAAGACCAAGCAAAGGCATTGACAGGCATCAACTCCCCCGCCCTGAGGCCACAACGCTAGGCCGGGATGGGCATCGAGGGGAATCCCGAAATAGAAACAGTCAGCTCCTCCCAGTCTATCATCGGCCTTCTTTAAAGCGCCGCCGTTCTTCCAGCCACCTTCTCCTCTTTTCTCCCGCGTTCATTCCGTGGTGATGATGGTGCTCTGTTTTCTCCAAGGCGTCTGCCCACATGGATTGCAATTTCCGACATTGATTGTGTATGCGCCACCTACTATATAAATACAATACTTATCAATTCATGCGTTCGACTGGGCTGGTCCCTAAGCTAAGCGCGCTCATTGCGATCTAATTATAGCCTACTGTCTATACACACTCGAATTCGAAATCTTTGCTTTTGTCTTTGCCAATACCTATGATACCCAGCTATCTATTCAGCACGCACCAATTCTCCTTATCCTATTGCGCCATTGTTTACTTGAGGGAGTCTTAACTTGCTGGTTCACAATGGAAAGCTCGTTTCCGAATGTCATGAATCCATCGGAGAGAAGCGACTTGGGGGCGCCGCCGATGGTTGTCCAGCAGTATGCAAGGTATCCACCTACATTGGAACCTGGATTACATAGCGCTTCCTCTCTAGGCAGTGCTCGCAGCCGGATGGCGGCCTCCAAATCTCCCCCACTTCATCGCAAAGCAACTCCGCGCAGTATACAATCCTCGCCGACAGTTCCGCGACCGGTCATTCCCCCATCATCTGCTGCACGCTCGGGACCGTCGATGTCCCCTCCAGTGTACGATCCTCTCCGCCAGAGACAACCGCCTAGAGAGTCCCTAGACCAAGCAGAGTCGCGATCGCTGCCATCTCGTGACATTACAGATGAAACCATTGATGACGCTTACGTGATGTTCATTTTCTATTGTAATCCAAATGTGCCTCTGTCTGTAGACACTAGCGAGCTACGAAAGACTTTCCGGTGTCCCCCACGGAGTGACGGCAAAAGCTTTAGTATCTTCACGCTTTGGGAACTTATTCGGAAATTAGACAGCAAAGAGTTGAAAACATGGATATCTTTGGCGACCGAGCTTGGAGTGGAACCGCCTGATTTGGAGCAGGGCCAAAGCACGCAAAAGGTTCAGCAATACGCTGTTCGCCTAAAGGTCGGTCGAGTGTTTTATCTTGTTATGGGGTCCTTACTGAATTATCATAGCGTTGGATGCGGGCGATGCATGTTGATGCTTTCTTTGAATACTGTCTCGGCCATCCTCATCCTTACTATACTCAGCTCCCCGCCAACAATGCAGTGGTCAGCGAGAGCCGCGATGGAGTCCCTTTAGAAGAAGACTTGGCGTTACGAGCCCTCGTCCCTCAGTGGAAGCCCAAGCGAGGCAGAAAGCGAGCGGAAGAAAGGGAGAGTATGAATGATCGATCATCCAAACGGCCACAGCTCGATACCTCTGTGGGCATCTTACACACGAGTACATTTCATGCCCACTCGGCGACTTTTCCTCAGAGTGCAATTCCATTCAGCGCCTTCCCTGAAGAGATCGAGCCAAATGACCCGTGGATAGCAGCCACATCCTCATTTGGAGCGAATGGACCGTCAGGAAACCCGGTCGCTCAACAAGGCCAGGATCTTCGGTGGAGATCAGTTGAACGAGAGGCTTCACCTTCAAGTTACCCGCACTCTGCAATTCTTCCCAGGGGCCACCATCCATCCGACGTATTTCTTCCTCCTACGGAGCCTCGGTCAGCAGTTACGCCGTCCTCCGAGAAGTCACGCCCTAAACGGCGTCATGGCCCAGCTGTTTCATCTGCGTGGCCCACCAACAATGGATCGTCTACTGGGAAAACTCGGGGACGACCTCCCGGTCGCGGGACAACATCAGGTCCCTTTTCCTCTTTTCCAGTGAACCCTAGTCGCTCCGAGCCATCCCATTTACACAGCTCCAATGCAAGACCTCCTTCCATTGTTTTCGACCAGGACCCTTCCGGTCGCTATTCCAACGCTCAATACCAACAATCTCCTACACCCTTTCCTGGCGGTAACAGACCAAACAAACTTCAGCTGCAAGTCCCTCAGCACCCAGGCGCGCCAGTCCGTCTCGCGACACCGCCAACGCTAATGGTGAACGGCGTCAACAATGCATCTTTTAAAATTGAGGGACACCAGCGTAACAGCGCTTCAGCTCCGCCGCACGACACCCCTGGCGCAGCAACAAACGCGCCAACTGGTGCACATCGCAGTACCGACCCGAATGTGGACATTTCGTCGGATGAGCTTGTCCGTGTGCTCTCTAGTGACTTGCTGCGCGGAAAAGTAACTGGTCGTCCCACTCCTTTAAGTGTCGAAGAAGCCCGAACACTCTCTTTGTCCATGGTCGCTAATTTGACTGCTTCATATTCTCAATTGCCTTTGGGGATGCCAGTTCTTTTGTCAGCTCTGCATCTCGGGTTAGGGCAGCATTTTGGTTACCCTGGGGTAACGGAGAGTGTGATGACAATAGATATTAAAACGGCGACTGCGTCTTCCGTCGATGCACCAGTGTCATCTAGCAATGAGCAACGCTCGTCAAATTTCACCTATGCTGTTTCTCAGGAATATAAGCATGGGCTTCGTTTCTCGACGAAGGTCACTTACGGTGATTTCAATATCAGCAAGCTGGAAAATAACAAAGCCGGAAATGCGCCCGGGGTGACAGAGGACCTTGACAATAGTGTCGCAGAAGTGAATAGCTCGACAGATGGCGAATTCGAAGTGGATGGTGCAGAGAATGCTGTCCCTGAGTTAACCTGGAAACAACGGTATATAAAGCTTCGCTCCCAGATGCAGAAAAAGGAGCGTGCCCTGTCCCAGTACAAGCGCAAGATTCTGGAGTCTGTGATGGCAGACATCTAAGTCATTGCTACGGTGGTAGGACTCAGTTCGCAGGAAGACTCACTACTAACTACTTTGTTGTGCTGAGGATGTTATTTGATTTACTTGCTTGGTAACTAGCTTCTTTAACCGATGTGATCTAGACATGATCTTCCATCCGTTTTCCTGGAAGCATTCTTTTCTGTGTTTGATTTAGGTTTCTTACAGATACCCCTTGAGCGACCTTGTTTGTGTGTCCGAATTAAAGCATGTTATAGAGCAAAACCTAGGACGGGATTGAGTGCCCTTTGCACATACTTCCATACGTGTTCCTTTCGTAAAGTGAGTTTGGGCCTTTGTACTTCGTAAATACTCAATAAAATAGGAGAACCCCTTTGTCATGCCACAGCAAGTACCCCGTCTTCAAACCATTGGAAGTATATGAGCCCATCTCCAACTGCAGAGACAAAGAGAAATGATAAAAAACAGCCTAGCTAGAACACACCCAATCTCCAGGCTAACAAGACATCCTCAATGGTCTTCCTTCACCTTGAGAAGCTTTCAAACATCCGCATCACTGTCCTCCCCCTCAGCCTGCACATATTCATCCCACCGTCAGTCAGCATTGCAGAATTGATCAAATAAAGCATCATCATCATCACTAACCCCAAGCACAGCCTCGTCGATCTCAGTATCCTCTCCAGAGGAATGCTCTTCAACCTTTTCCAAGTCAGTCCATAACTTAACCAGGGTTTCCGCGAGGGCAACGGCAACCACCTTCATCTCTTTCCCCTTCATGGCAGCTGCCTTCTTGGACGCTGCTGGCTTCGGCGCTGTCTTGCGCTTCGTGACCGATGACTTGGTAGTCTTTTTTGGGCTTGGGGTTGGGGCATCGGCCGAGGATCCACCAGGAGCGTTGTTGCGGCCTCTCGAGAGACGCTCGTATCGTTTTGCGCTGGCCTATCATTCAGATCTGCTCTTGACGAGAAAAGTAAAGAAGTGGTGGAGTGGAAGGGCTTACGCAGCTCCTCTAGAAACGATGCTGCATTCTTTCGCAACTTCTCCGAAATCAACCTGTGAGTGATGTAAAATTGCGTTGCAATCAGCTCTGGATGCTCCAAGAAGGGGTTTGGACAGAGTGTGTCGGCTGTCCAAACAGTATCTGCATGTGTACTCTCTCACCTTGCCGCTGTTTGCGTGACGGACGCAGCTAAGGAGGAATTCAATCTGCTCCGAGTCGGTGATTGCAGGCATACCGAGTGATCTTTCGATTGATGTGACCTTTACAAGGAGATAATCAGCTCAAAGGACTCTTGAGGAGCATGTAAGAGTAATCCTGTAGGAGGAGGTGTTTGAATAAATGGAAGGTAGATAGTGGAAGGGAAGAGGTTCGAAGGATAATAGAGAAAAGAAGTAACACTGGGGTTGCTGAGATGAAAGGCAGGTAGGTGCAATGACATATGCGCTACAGTGAATAAATGCAGTAGAGCCGCGATGCGTTCGTTCATTCGCTGACTCTTCTTGTCTTGACTGAAGCGTGTGAGATGTGCTTCACTTTCCAAACTCACCGTTGAGCTACAGAAAATTGGCTAGGAAGTAGTCCTTTGGATCTACTTACTCTGGATTCAAATCCTACTTAAATGGCTTACGGATGCTACTCTCACTACAATGTCAGTAGAAAACGGCTCTCTTAGCTAAACCTCATGTAGTTTCGAGAATCAACCGGTGGCTCTCATTTTCAATATGGAACAACTTGTAAGCTCAAATCGCCTGTGCAGTATCCCCAGTATTAAACTGAGGGTGTAGATAAATTTCTGTATGAGCAAAGGACAAAACGAAATCCCCTTCTACATGGCACCTTGAGTAGATCAGAATCATAAGGCCCCCCTGAACCATCTAAAGCCATTCAGCGTAAAAAAACAAACCAAGACGACGCAGTGTCTACTAAGGTTAGCCGTGGGCACCGCAAGTCGTATGATGTTAGACTCACGAAAGGACGAATGCCTGGCAGATTCAGAACACCCATCTACGCTGTTTCGAAGCACTCAGTTCCTCCATACATTTCCATAGCGTCATTGACTGCGTTAAGGAGATTAACGTCAATGCTTTCGTCCTTCACATTTTCAGCCTTAACCGTCGACCCTGAATTTGGCTTTGAATGCTTGCCTCCCTTAGGGGCTCCAAGATCAGTAGCTGGGGTAGGAGTAGAAGTCACTTTGGCTCCCTTCCTGGTCCCTTTCTTAGGGGTGGCTTTGACCTTGGGAACTTCAGCCGCGATAATGGTTTCGGCCTCGGAAATGTCAGTGATGAAGGGGTCTTCGGAATCTCCGGCCTTGGTCGCGCTTTTCTTTCTTCCGACGCCGGGGCCCTTGCGCTTGCCTTTCCCGGAGGGGGTATTGGACACAGAAGTAGTCGAGGTGGTACTCGCATTTGATGGCTTAGTGGTAGCATCGAGATTGGGGAAGCCGTACCGCTTGCGAAGGGCACGGAACCTGTTAGCCACAGATGAAGTGTTGGTATAGCCCATCGTGGCTCCAACGTTAGTCAAATTGACCTGAATAGATATCAGCTCTGCCAATTCCAATGGCATATGATGTGTACATGGGATATGTGCTTACAGCCCTGCTTTCATCGATGTTTCGCAAGCACTCGATGAGGAATCGGCCATCTTGCTGGCTCAGAAATTCACTCTCCTCAGAAGCAGGACTCTGACCGGATGCCATGGCCTCAGATGGCTGGTCGTAGGGATGAGTTAGTTTGTGGGAAGCTTTACTTGAAAACAATAGTGTAATGGAAAATGACCCGTATATTCAGTTCGCCTTGAAAGCGAGGAGATAATAACAGGTGGGAGTGAAGTTGAATGGGTGTGAACTGTAGATGAGACACACACTGAAAGAGGTGAGAAGGTCAGTGTTATACTTTTGCACACAAGTGATGAAGTCACTGGGTAATGGTATTTCAGACTTCCTCCAGTTCTGTGGGTGTTGGTTGAGTGTCCTATGATCATGTCATTGGTTGGTGAATTGAGATGACAGTCGTCACAGCAATTGAGAGTTGCTGCTGTTGTTGTTGTTGTTGTTATAGAGGCAAGGTAATATGACTAAACTACTTTTATACATTAAATAAAACACATATGAATGTAAGACTAGAGTGTTATATGCGACTTCAGGTAGATATCATTATCTACTCTTGCCCAGTAGGCATCATATTTCCTGCCAACAAACCCTGCGGTGTCTCTTCACGTAATAAGAGTCTAGGCCTACCCTAAATGACACAGTAGCCATCTCTAATATAGTGCTGTAACATCTAAGGCAAGTGTGTATAATAGACAAATACAGAAAGCTATCACAGACCCGTATACAAGTACACAAAAGGCCTCATCAATCCTTAGGCTCTTCAGCAATCTTCAGTCCAGGCGCAAATATGCCGCAATATTCCACCTCGCTACTGCTTAGATTCACCACTTCCACTTGTGGTTCTTCCACCTTGACAAAAACGCCGTTCACCCTACTCTCCTCATCCGGCTCTAGCTTTGTAGGAGGCCAGGAATAAGCTGGGCTTGGTTGGTGCTCGAATCCGATCGTAGGGCTCAAGAAGCTCTGTGTCGCACTGTACGTTGTCAATTCATTAGGAGACACTGTCATTTGGGCGTAAGGTGGGGCTATTATCTGTGCAGGCGAGTCCGATATGATATTATATGTGGCCCTGGGAATATCGGCCAAGGTAGGGAACCCTTGGACATGTGGATCGGCCTTGATGTAAGCAGTTGGCTCGCTTGTAGAAGCCTGAGGTTCTTGTTTGAGAACCGGGTTTATATCGGGGGGGTTGGCTTCTTTCAGCAAGTCTGCTTTGCAAGAGCTTGCTTTGGACCCATTCGAGCTTTTTTTTGGTCCGCGCTCGTGGTGTTGATGTAATGCCCTCCATCTGCTGCCTGAAGCGAGAATAACGCATTCTGGCTGCATGACCGTTGGAGATTTCGAGTTGACTTGCAACGAGGCCCCAGTCAATCTCCCCAACTAATTAGCTGGCTCATATATCCTAGCTCTGGAAGTCAACTTACTGATTTGAGATCAAGCTGCTTGATGATGGTATATAAGAACTTAACTGTCGGGCCATCAGTTGGCATGGCTTTGCTACGTCGGACGGTGGACATTTCTGCAAATCCAAATAAGAGAGAGCCAGTAATTGAATGAGTAAACTAACTATGGGCTTAGTAGATGCGAGGGGTGTGCTGAGAAACTGGAAATCTGGAGTTGACAGAAGAACATGCACTCTGGTGCACAGATGGGGGTATATATAAACCACTTCCTCCCAGATGTTGAAAGCACCTATTAGTGTTAACAGAACGGTAATCAAAAACAAAGATATATTGTTATACTACTATTAGGCTTAATTGAGAGAAGCAAAGGACCTTTGTCACCCACAAAGAATGAACGGGTCGCTTTGCAGTTCCAAAGACGCCACCTGCATGTCTCATCTTCTCTATCCTGGCAAACTAAGGAATACTATACCAAAGATATTAAGTTCTGGACCAATCTATTTCACTGCACATAGAGCACAATAGATGCAGATTTCCTTTCTGACTTTGTGTACTAGTATCACGTGGGTATGTTTGCCCTGAATCAAGTATATCCTTCAATCTGGAGGCAAATAGCAGATAGTGATTTCGAAATATCTTATAGAGAACTACCTAGTCAGCAAAAGACGAAGCAAACAGAAAGAGATCCATGTGAGCAAGGCAATTGTGGCCGCGTAAGTAAACACGCTGTTTTCATTAATCTCTTGTTAAAATATCCTGTGTATTGTGAAAGTGGCACTCTATTCAATAGTCATTGTTCTTTGTATATTGAGTACTAGTTCCTACAGGTGATTGTCTCAGTAATCCAGATATTGGTCTCTTATTTCGAGCTATCTCTGCTTAGGAGTACATGATTAGGATAATTCAATTAGATGGGCCTATCATAATACATGGTATTCTAGTGCAAGATACAATAGTTAGCTTTTCTTCTTTAATGCTTCCAGCAACAACCTGATGCCTAACTACACTGATTAGTGTAATAGCATAAGCTGCCAAGTGATTACTATACTTGCTTTAAATTGTTCTAGATAAGCAGAACAGAAAATACAATTTCCGCCTACTTCTACTATAGGGTTTTGATATGGCTGCAGAGGGTGGGTCATGACTAATCCTATCAACGACTGCCCCTCCTCCCCACATACTCACGAATGCTCATACATCTGCGTATCCAACAATTGTCACAAGAGATTTTGTTAGAAAATTGCCCACTCTGCTGTCACGATGTCTTTAGTCGCCATAGGTGCATGTTATGTTGATACTATCTTAACGTTGGTTGGCACCACCTTCACCCGGCGCTTAAGTCCACACTAGCTCATTATGCTTATCCAGAACCCCTCATTACCCTGGCGAAGATGAAAAGCTACGGGCTACCAAGATCTCACGGCGGCGAGGAGGCAATTGCCCCAATACGCTTGAGGTGCTCCAGCAATTGACCGGGCATGGCTCGTCACAGGCAGGGGTATCTCTGAATCTTATTGCTGTGCTACCAGCAAAATCTTCCATTGCATCTCAGCAAATCCAGTCTGCATTTGAGCCTCGCGTTCAGCTAGGTCATTGCATCTATCGAGAGCAATATGAAGAGCCGGCTTCAAGTTATATCATCAAAAGCCAGTCATCTGGGAGCAGGACTATTGTCAACTACAACGAGCTCCCCGAGATGACGGTAGATGAGTTTAAACAAATCGCAGACAACCTAGGCTCAAAGGCAACATGGTTCCATTTTGAGGTCAGTCAACCATTGAGATACCTTGGTATTGATTATCGCACTCTCATACTTATAAATCGTACATCTAGGGTCGCATACCCGATGTCACGCTGGTCTGTATACAGTATCTTCGGCAGCATTTTCCATCTTTACGGATCAGTGTCGAAGTAGAAAAGCCTGGACGAGAAGGCCTACAAGAGCTGGCTATGGAAGCCGACGTTATCTTCTATTCGAAGAGCTGGGCTCAGGTAATCTTGCTCGTGCTTACAATGTTAAAAGGATTTTACTAAGAACTAAATAGGGAAATGGGTACACATCAGCCCCAGAGTGCCTCCAAAAGCAATCTCTGCTTACACGCAAAGCGTAAGTGTTATTGTTTCTTTGCGCCGTCACTAAAAGGCTGACTCGCAATATCAGGCAATTTCTCTTCTGCACATGGGGCGAGGGCGGGGCTGTAGCGTTAGAAACAAGTTCTGGTGACATAATCCACAGTCCAGCCTATACTACACCAGGCTTCAACGTTGTTGAGTAAGTTACTGACAAGAGTACACTGCTGAACCAATCTCGCTAATTTTATGCAAGCACTATTGGTGCTGGAGACACATTTATAGCTGGTATGCTTTATGCATTAATTTATCGAGGCGAAGCTTGGAACCTTTCACAAAAGCTAGGTTTTGCGAATCGGTTAGCAGGCATGAAAGTAACGCAAGAAGGCTTCTCCGGTCTGGAAAGGGCGTTGAACTCAAATCCTTGAGTCAGAGGTTTAGCACACGTATGTAACATAGTTCTATATTGAAAATAAGCTCCCTGTGAGATACAAATTATGGAAATACGAAGCTGGATTCAGAAAATGTAGTGAGACAGCAACACAGGAAGTATATATAATTGGTAGACGTGGGGAGACTTGTACTTTGAAGTTAGCTGAATTTTTTTATGCGATATCACTGAGCCAGCTATCTTACTCAACAAATACTCGCAGCAATTATAGCATAACTACAAATGTATGACTCCCTGCTTGAACGTGGGCTTAATGGTGACGCTGATGATGAATTGCCTTTTTCGATAGTATCACGTGAGAGATAAACAGCGATTGAGAATTGGAAGGCGGTGAGGTCCAGAAAAATATTCTGCCCGCAACTTTTTTGGAAGCTTTTCGCCGCGCCGATCAACAACTTAGATTTTCTCTAAATCAATTTATTCTACAATCCAAAATGGCGGCAGTATACAAGTCAGTATCTAAAAAGCAGGCTAAGCAGCTTGCTAGAGAGCAAGAGCAGGACGACTCGGACGCAGAAATGGCCGACATGGCTGACCTTCTCGCCGACGCCGACGATACAAGCGACAGCGAAGAGGAGGAGGAAGAAAATTTGGAATCAGCCAAGAAGCAGCTTGCTGCTGGATATATGCCAAAGACTCGGGTTCTTATGTTGACTTCCAGGGGTGTCACATCTCGGTATGCTCACATTGTCTTGGTCCGAATTGAACAAATGGAACGGTATTGCTAATTGGTTTTGATTCTAGCCATCGGCACTTGCTCGCAGACCTTACTGGTTTACTCCCTCATACCCACAAAGAAAGCAAGCTCGATACTAAAAAGAAGACCGCTGGATACAACTTACTTCTGAACGACCTTGCCGACCTGCATTCATGCAACGTCATTTTCTTCCTCGAGGCTCGCAAGCGTGGTCAAGATTTGTACCTCTGGCTCTCTCGTCCCCCGAACGGACCTACACTCAAATTCCACGTTAACAACTTACATACTATGAGCGAACTGAATGCTGGATTCAGTGGCAACTGCTTGAAGGGTGGTCGTGGTGTTGTGGTTTTTGATCGCTCATTCGACGAACAAGGCCCGGTCATGAGTCAGCCAGGGAACGAGTACCGTGGACTGGTCCGGGAGATGCTGCGGGGTGTCTTCTCCGTTCCCAAGCGTGGCATAAAGGGAATGAAGCCTTTTATCGACCGTATCATTGGTGTATTTGGCGTCGACGGCAAGATCTGGATTCGCGTGTACGAGATCAGAGAGTCCGAAGCTGGAGGTAAGAAGAAGCCAGAAGATGGCGAGGAAACCGTGAAGCCTGTGCCCAAGGGCAAGGATGGTCTACCAGAGGTCTCTCTTGTCGAGATCGGACCTCGTTTCGTTTTGACGCCAATTGTCATCCTGGAAGGCAGCTTCGGTGGACCTGTTATCTACGAGAACAAGGAATACGTGAGCCCGAACCAGGTCCGTCACGATATTCGGATTAGCAAGGCAGCCCGCCACGCAAAGCGCAGAGACGTGCAAACCGACCGTTTCGCTAAGCGGGCAAACTTGGGATTGGGAGAAGGCCAGCGCAAACCAAATGCACTGGATAACAGGCAGTTGTTCGCATGATCGTTTGCTTTATTCCGTTTTCTTTTCATTCATTTTGTCTCTTCTTGTTAGTGCTATTAGACTCGATATCCTAAGGGGATGTACATGTGTTTGAGATGCAAGGGGCACCTTATCATGGTCTAAAAGGCGTCTGGTGTGAAACAACATAATAAAAGTTCAAATTTCATGATGAATTCGAATGCAAGTCCTTCCAGTGGCTGATTGGAGTCTCTCCATTGTTAAAGCTGAACTATCGCATTAGGGCATCGTGCTGCAGGAGCTGTGCGCTTTTGACAGAGGACGGTACCATAGCAACCAAGTATTGAACTTTCTTTATCCTGAGAACTTAGTACATACTTCATAAACTCTGAATGATATGATATGATATCTACGGACTAATGTATGTAAGGGCGGAGATTAGATAAGCGCTGATATATAAGAGTCATAACATCCGCTTGGGGCTCGACACTATCCATCCCTCAACCACCATGGCACCCTTCTCGCCGTTCAGCCCTCTGCGGCTGTCTGGGCTTGACCTCCATACCACCATGTGTTCTTGTTTCTCTAGGGACCAGATTTGTTTTGTTTTGAAGAGCCCCAAGGGCGGGGTCTCGACTTAGTCCGACTTGCGATCGCGACGGCAGCGCTGGCTTGGGCAGTGACTATCCATTATATTACACAAAATCTACTCTCCAGCTGTGTTATCTAAACTATTTACCTTTGGCGCTTCTATAATAAGTTAACAAGGTTCGCACCCCAAGTTATTTTGTTTGTTGACCACAGCTAACGAATGAAGCCCAAAACATATAGTCATCATGTCATTCGATCATCTAGCCACGGAGCTATTGCTCCATGTATTTCGTTCCTGTGAAACAATATCCGACATTTTGAACCTTGCATCAACCTGTCGACGACTTCGAACTGTATTTAACAGATCCAATAAGCTCCAAACTCTTGCCGATATTGCCGAGCGCGAATTCGGACCACTAGGCGAGATCATCCAAATCGTAACACAAAACGCAAGCCAACCCGCTCACCTAATACGCAAGCCCCCCATGACCGATCCCCTCTTTAAACAAATAGTCCGAGTCGGACGCGTAGCTCAGACATGGGAGACGATCTATCCCGTCAAGAAATGGAAGGTGGATTATGAAAACCGACGATCATTGACAGACGATGAGCGAGTCCGCCTCCGCCGAGCTATCTATCGGCTGTGGCTCTACCATCGCGCATTCCATACGCGCACGCATGATCGCTTCAGCCGTAAACGCCCACATGTCGTTACCGAGCGCGCGCAGCTCCTGCATAACTGGTCTACGCAGGAGCTGGCCGATATCGAGGACGTGCGACTCATTATCGGCGATGTCGTCCAAAATCATATTTGCCCTAGTAACGGGACGATTCAGCGAAAGTTTCGCAAACGATTCCCGGAAAGCCACCACCAGTTGGCATTTAATATCCATTTGAATTATCCAGCGCGCAGCCCTCTTGGGTCTTCCGGGCTCTTTGATAGCCCGAATTCGGTCGATCAATACTATCACACCGCGCATTCTGCCAATTTTACTGAGTCGCCGGCGAAATATAGATCTAGGTTCCGGAATGACTATTTCCATGATCCCGGCGCTGAAGGCTGGGGTGATGAGATCCCTCACTACTACGTGGTCCAGGACATGATGAAGCTTGATCCAGGCCAAGTGCTCTGGCTGCGCGAGCATGCGCCCCTTAAAGAACAGGTAGAGGGCTATGTGCATTCCCTGGGAGATTGGTTTCGCGACAATGGAGAGACATTCGGGGATACCCTTGAATGGGTGATGAAAGAGAGAGGCGACGATATCGAAGAGTTCAGGGCGGCCATTTCGGACCGGGAGGTAGGAATCGTGTGGGATTAATGCATAGCATAATTGCGCTATGCATTATCCAGACGTCCTGCGGAGGTACCAGAGTATCTACTGTACTGTAGTCACAAGCATATCTCCCTGGCTAGCCTCCGCATAAGCCAGCAAGGGTCCATCCAATACACATATTCAGAAACCAAGGATTCCACCAAATAAATCCCTCATAAGAAACCTCCGTATCTCACCTCCCTACAGCAATTTCCAATCTTCCTAAAAATAGAAAACACCAGTATAATCCAATCTCCCATCCACCAGTTTAGCCGTTATCCAAACGTTCTGGAATCCAAATACTAACCTAATTAAAACCCTTCCCCTAAGACGCCCCTAATCGGCCCACCCTAAACCACACTGGGGGACGAGAATCCGACGCTGTCGACTGGGGCTCTGGGGCACGAACGGAGAGAGCTAAGAAACCAAGAACCAATGGGGATGTTTACGGTGGGTTTGCGGACTTCAGTGTGGAATTTAAGTGCTAGGGCTAGTGTGGTTAGTGCGCGCTGTCTTGTGGGGACATTCTTTTTGTTCTTGCCGCGGCATATAATTCTGGTATGGAGATTTTTGTCTTGTGGCAGTGGGATTATACTACTTAGGGAGGTCATGTTAAGGATGATGGTGCAGGCGACCTGTAGGTTGCTGACTCGGACCATGGATCGGGTTTAGTCTGATTATTTTGGTTTGCTTATGGTACGTGGACAATCCCCTGTGTCTAAATTTCATGGGCCTCGCGCTTTTTGGACGTGGGGCTCCCGCTGCTTGGTCGGTGGGCCTTTCGAGACCGCCGAGATGCTGATGTTCATTATATTCCGCTTGCGATGATACTTTTGAGTGCTAGTTGATATTAGTATCTGCGACCTAGTTAACTATGCATGCGCCGCATTATTAATCCTAATTGCTAGCCAATAGGTTGGGGGTGAAACGGGAGCCGCTGGGTTCAGTGATTGATGGTGTTGTAATTCGTAATTACCAACTATGAGAACCTCATACATGAATTGCTTTGGCACTGTACTACGTAGACGCCGACAAGAACAAACCCAACTTCGTTTCGATAATTGACCAGAGTGTGGGAAGGGTACATGGGATGGGTAAAATAATTCAGAGAAGGCCAAGGAAGCGTGCCAAGGCGAAGACATGTCCGTAGAAGACAGAGAATAGGAAATTGTTAATTCCATAAAGGGATAAGAACGAACCAGATAGAGGATAAGAAAGGGAAAGGGGAGGAAAATCAACAGAATGATGTCTAGGATGTGATGTCCCACAAGCATCACCATACAATGACCGTGTCCCTGGATGCCGTTCCCAACGTTCCTCTTGTGTATCATCTCCGCGGAGGCTAAGTAACAGACAAAAAGAAAGATCAAGACCATTCGATTATCACATCACAGAATAAAATAAAAATCGTTGCGGTAGGCGTGTCATCCCCTAACAGTAAGAAATCATCTAACAGCAACCCTGCTTCGTCTCAGGGTCCTGCGAAGGGTTGATATCCACCACCGGACGACGGTCACCAAGGCCGGCCTGGCCCGAGTCGCCACTGTCAAGAGCCTTGCTGGAGACAATCCGGTAGATTTCTAAGCGCGCGTCAGCATGCCGAAAAGAAAGGTCGGGTAAAGGCATATGCAGCTAACCTGTGAGGATGTTCTGGAAAGCAAGCTCGACGTTGCTCGCGTCAAGGGCAGATGTCTCGATGAAGGAGAGGTTGTTCTCGCCTGAGAGCAAGTTAGCGAGCCACAGGTAAGGACCACTCACGCTTCAAGAAGGTGTCCGAAACTTACTGGCAAACTGCTTAGCTTCTTCGGTTGGGACAGCGCGCAGGTGTCTCAAATCGCTCTTATTTCCCACAAGCATGATGACAATGTTGGAATCTGCGTGATCCCTGAGCTCTTTCAACCACCGGTTAACATTGTCGTAGGTTTGATGCTTGCTGATGTCGTAAACAAGAAGGGCACCGACGGCACCACGATAATAGGCAGAGGTAATGGCGCGGTAACGCTCCTGACCAGCAGTATCCCAGATCTGCGCCTTGATCGTCTTAGAATCGACCTGAATAGAACGGGTTGCGAACTCCACGCCGATGGTCGACTTGGAGTCCAGGTTGAACTCGTTGCGGGTGAAACGACTCAAAAGGTTGGACTTTCCAACACCAGAGTCTCCAATAAGCACCACTGTATGATAAGGACCGTAGGTTAGTGGTGTTATTCAGCGAGGGAAATGTCTCTATAGGCGAGGATCTTTCGGCGCTTCTGCGGGGGAAGTGGCAACTTTACCCTTGAAGAGAAACTAGCGAATCACTCAATTAGTTATACAAGACAAGCACGCAGCGAAAGGATGGACAGAAAAAATGACGTACATCATACTCGTCGTTAGCCATGATGAATTATTGTGAGAGCTTGTCAAGCCCTAAAAGTGGCGAGGCTTGAAATTTGGGGGACCTTTGACGTGGCCGAGTTAAATAGCGATTAAAGCAAAACCGACAACAGTGCGAAGGTTGATCCTGGGAGGGGTGGCGTCTCGTCAGTTGACTGTTGAAAGTTGCAAGCTAGATAGCAGCCTGAGGCGAACCAAGGCCACCAGAAACAGGGTAGTTGAATAAGAACTCACGGCGGTGGTATGTTTTTTGGTAAGGGGAAGACAGCGAGGCAGAAAGATAGGAGGTTATCCAGATGTCTTTCGCTCCCCTGCCACTCCCGTGCTTGTCGCGCTGCCGAGCGGACACTCCCGGTTTGGGGATAGTGGCTTGGTCACGTGTGCCAATGGGCACTGGACTTCAATGAAAATCATATATATCAGAGCGCAACATCAAGAGGCGCGAGGATGACTGTCTCTTAAGGATGGTCATGGATTCCTTTTGATGTATATTATATCTATGCTTTAATTCACATGTTTATTGTCGGCCTTTGCTGAGAGCGGGACCCATTGATTATCGGGCGTGCATATACCCGGGTTCTCTACTATCTATGGTGATAGCGATCATAGTTTGACCCATCTTTGCGCTTTTTTCTTTGACAAGTCAGTTCCTTTAATTCTGTTCATCAAGCTCGATCTATCCACGGCTTTTCTGCTGCGCCCCCGCTACTTCAGGCACTGCTACTTTGACAGTGGTGCTCTTTTGTGGCAATGACTGAGACCAGTGATGATGATATTTCTCTCACCTCGACTGTCCCTAGCCCACCGAAAGAGAACTACTATGTGGATACCATCCATGCTGAGCGTGAGACTTCGCAGGGAATCGAATATCTCGTAGGATGGGAAGATTATCCTATCGAGAGGAGTAGTTGGGAGACGGCTGCCCAGTTTGATGATGAGCAGACTCTGCTCGACTGGGAGGAGAAAAAAAGAGAGATTGCAGCAGGAAGGCTGCAAGAGTTTGATGTCGCTGATTTCAACAGACGTCTGTATGAAGCTGAACAAGCCCGCCAAAAACGAAAGCACAAGCGACATTTGACGAGAGAAGAGCTTGCGAAAGGCCAGCTGGGGCTATCAAACACCGGTTTATTCAGCTCCACGTCAAATAGCTCTGGGTTCGCAGATTCTGATGTAACGCGGAATCCTTGTGCTCATACTGCAAACGCATACTCAAGCAGAGCGACAAACCAGTCCCAGGCCGGGCCTGCCCGTTCTCAATCTATACGTGGTGAGCTAACAAGACCACCCCTAGTTGGATTTGGGACTGGTCGTGGTGGCATAATTCGCTCTCGTCCTCCGAGAACCTATGATGCTGATCCCTCTGCTCCCCCCAAGAGGTTCAAGCTTCTGTCAACGAAAAACAGATATGAGAAGGCAAGGGCTTATGAGCCCGCTCCAGACGTCAACAAACTTGAGCTTATGAGGCCATCAGAGTGGTCCTCTACTCCTGCCATCTATTCAGCCAATCCTGGACCTCAGCATCATACCAGCCTCAAGGAGCAGGAGCCAGGTGAAAGCCCAAGAAGGATGATTAGTGATGTCACTGATATTGACACGCCCGTCTCTCAGCCTCAGCAATCTCGCTTGATTGATTCGAATAGGTCAAACCATACTTCGCCTCTTTCCGACAGGCCTCGCCGTTTGTTTGACAGATCACGAGACCTCTATCTCCCACGGCGAAGGCCTGGTCCTGAGGCTAAGTGGATCAAAGGGGAAAGGGGAAGTTATTTTGTCAACCCCAGAGAACTTCTATGTTCCTTATATTATGGGCCTGATAAAAGGGAGATTGGTGAAGTTAGGATGTGCGGTTTAGACAATATCAGGAGAAGCAGATTTCTTAGGACCAAGAAAGGTCACGCCCTCGAAATCTGGTTTCAACACCTCTGTAACCTTACAGACTACAATAATCTGTGCAAAAATGTGAGTACTACATGTGAAGGATGGCTGGTCTGTTGCCCTAAGATGAAAAAAAGTCACTGATAACATTGTTTTACCAGACACCAAATGAAAAATTTTGGAATGGCTGGGTCGAGGGGTTTGACAGTTCTGAACCAGACATCTATCGCTTTGGGAAAGAGCTCAGCCAAAGAAATCTGGTGGCTATATGTATTCCTGAAATACAGGGCCATGATGTATTACTTGCATATCCACCAGATTCCGAGGATTTTGGTTTCTTGGATGGGGACTTTAGAGGCCCTCGTGACATCTTTCTTCATACTGCCGTGAGAAGTCCGTTAGGACCCATTGGGGGACTGGCTCTTGGTATACAAGGACAATGTGGTCACCTGACAGAAGCAACTACAGAGATAGTGAATTCTTCACATACTAACACTGTTTTTGCAAACAAACAAGCATCTGAGGCTCAAAGAGAGCGGGGATTTTTAAACCAAGAAAATGGACCTTGGATTATCGAGGGCTCTAATGCACGCATAGGCCTGGAACCGAGACCGCACGCAAACACAGCTACATCACTGGTGAATCGTCGCACTTCTAGTGATTCAATACCAGTTCTGCAGAGGAGGGCATCTGGAATCGACCACATGGATATTGACCAGGGTTCTAAAGACCCCACGGCTGCTGCTAATAGCGATAAAAGGCAGCCACCATTGGGCATTCAACTTCCTTTTGACTTGGACCATGAATTCGAGAAGAGATTCGGGGTGACGTTCCAGACCTTGGCAACAGTGGCAGAGAAACGTTTAGCAGGGTCCTTCTGTGTACTGTTTCCACAGGGCCCCGGGGGCATTGAAGAATGCCAAGCGGTTGTTGAATTTCTCAAAGCTCACAATAGTGACAAATACAGGGCTATTATTTACTCTAACCGCACTCCCGAAGATTGGGAAAAGTTCACTCAAGCGAAGAATGGAGTCATCCTGGTATGTGTTATCACAAGTACCATTATCAAAATACAGATATGCTGACATTGGTCAGGTTCATGAAAGCTTTCTGGAATTCTACAAGCTGCAGGACCTTAATAACTTATGTCGCCAGTCCACATTCAACTTTTGGTGCTTCTCTTTGAACAGAGAATTAAGTGATAATCAGCCGTATTTCCGACGTATGCTCCAAACGGGCGGAGTTATTTTGATTACTGGAGACTACATACTGAGCGATCCGAGAGGTACTGTCGTTGTACTATCTTGGTTTGAAGAGTATGCGAAGGGCAAGTATCCGGGAACATGGAAGCTAATGCTGCCCCCGGACGTATTAAATTGGGTGCAAAAGCAGATTGAGGTCACCGTGAACTCAAATTTTCTGTAAGTCACCTGTGTATCACCGGGTTTGATTATACGGTCTAATAACAATACCAGTTGGCTCACAATGTACCACCTCATTCTGCGAATTACCGCCCTCGGAGATGCGAAGTCCCGGAATATCCTCACTGGCGCAGAAGCCGGCTATACACCAAACACGGTCATCTCTCCTTCGAAACTGCCAGGATATGGTTTTCGTACAGATGACGAGATCCCAGATATCCCTAAAAACAAAACTCTAACCCAAGAACAGCGAAATGCTGATCACCTCATTGAGTTTTACGCTGGCTGGGCCCTGATCAACTGTTACCAGTTCCGAAAGTTCCTCGTGCTCACAGCCTCCACGCTTCCACGTTGGGATGAATGGCAACATTTACAAATCTACGTGGGCTCCTCAGCAATCATGAAATCTCTGGAAATCAACTACAAGTGGCACTGGGAAAAGCTTAAGCAATCTGCGAGATCGAATCCCCACTCAGAGAGGAGTTCTCAGACCCCTTTTACACCCCAAACTCCTAGGGCTGGTTCTCTGAGCGAGTCAGCTACTTCTAGAGCGACGTCATCCTATATCCCTCCCCTCACGCACCACTATCCCCAGCCATATCAGTGATTGAAAAGTGAACGATCTGTCGGTAATTGAGAAGTGTATGCTCGATCCGGGGCTTCAATTGCGTTCTATACATTCACGCTTGTTACATATCTTAGGATACCACTGTAATATACAACGATCCCACGCTTTATGATTATTATGCACCGAGAAGAACGAGGCAATGATTGATATAAATAATGCAACTCCAGTGACTGAGTATAAGGAACCGTCACGAGAAACCAGGCTAAAGCTGTTATCCTAAACGCCATACATAACACGGAAAACTCACGGAGACTGGTATACTAAAAACAAAACATCAAAACTTCGCTGAAGGTCAAGCAATGCACGTCACATATACGAAATGCGCAATGTTTACTGAAACCGATTGAGAAGTGTCAACTAGAAGCCTGCTGCTCTAGTCCGGTATTCACGGAAGTTTGAGATAGAAGGGTGCTCCTCTGAAGCGGCCTGCACTTTAGCTTTCAGGGCCCTCTGCTTCTTCTCTCGCCGTTGCTTTTCTTCCCATTGGCTCTCCTCTGCTGCGATCATGGCATGAAAACGTCCGCCTTGTCCACGAGAAAGGTAAATAGGTTTCTCTTTACGAGCAGCCACAGACTCTGTTATGAGGACAAACTTCACGCTTGAACCTGGCGTTTCATACATGGCGTCGCTAAGGATAGTCTCCATTTCTGTTCGGAGGGCTCGTGCCCCCGTACCCATTGTGAAGGCGTTGGCAGCTATTTTATGCAAGGCTGGGGTTGTGAAGCGGAGCTCAATTCCTGACAGGGAGAATAAGGTTGTGTACTGCGCTAGCAGTGAGTTTCGGGGCTCAGTGAGGATTCGTACAAGTAAAGGTTGCGTCAGCGTGGAGAGTGCAGCGGTGACTGGAACACGGCCAACTAACTCAGGAATGAATCCGTAATTTTGTAGATCGGTAGGGTTGATGAGGTCGAGCGCGTTGAAGTAAGTTGGCTCACCATCAGGCGATTCGGGGCTAGCGGAGGTGAAAAAGGGAAGATGTTTCTTGTACAAAGCTTCCTCTTCTGACCCTGGTACTATAGGCACAGGCTGATTGTTTGCAGTTGCAGACTGTCCAGGCCGCTCATCTGAATTGGATGGTGTTCGAACAGGCTGGCCAAAGCCGATGGAGCCACGCGATATCCGATCCATCACCACCTTTTGTAGCCCGACAAAGGCACCGGAGAAGATGAACAGGATGTTATCCGTACGTACGTTGTAGACTTCCCCTTTTTGGGACATGGCCCCTCCGTTGGAGGGTGGATACGGTGAGTTCCCCAGTGGACTGTTTGATGGATATGTATTGGGAGTTCCACCTGCGCGAGGGGCATTCTTCTCCTGTTTTGCTTGCACCTGCACTGTCGTACCTTCTATAATCTTTAAAAGGGCCTGCTGGACTCCCTCACCACCGACATCTTTGCCATGACTGACTTTAGCAGCAGCAATTTTATCAACCTCATCCAGAACAATTATACCGCGTTCTGCCTGCTCGACATCATAGTTGGCTGCAGCTAGGAGTCTGTGAACGCAGACCTCAGCATCTTCTCCAATGTACCCAGCCTGCGTGAACGGTGTGCAATCTGAAATACTAAACGGCACTGATAGTACTTTAGCTAACGTTTTAGCCATGAGCGTCTTCCCAACACCAGATGGTCCTAGTAGCAGTATGTTGGACTTCTCCAGTTGTGTTGTCGATGAGTCTGTGAGCTCGGTTTGGTTCAAGGACGAACTCGGATCAAGTGGTGGGCGGATAGTCCGTTGTTGCCCTGGAAATTCATCTGCTACATATGTTAGTATATCACTAAAATGAGCATGCAGTTCCAGTTCGCCTACCCTCTACAGGATGGCGGTCAACAGATTCGCGCCGCGCGCGCTTCGCCAGCAGTTCGACCGCTTCCTCATCACGCCGCTGTAATTCTTGTACACGTTGATAATGATTGTATACGGCTACACTGAGTATCTTTTTGGCACGATCCTGTCCAACAACAAACTGATCTAGGTACTGCTTCAATGTTTTGGGCGTAATCCGGGGAGCTCCGAAAGCGGGGTAGAGCCCAAGGGCCCAGCAGTCGGCAGGCCGGGCTCATAGCTACCGCTCCAGGGCTGATTTGTGAAGTCTGATCGATTGAATTGGGAAAGTGTCGGGAAAGACACAGAAGAGCTAGCGAAGCCACGCTGTGTGAGACGAACAATCGAACTCGGTGCGCACCGATAACGGAGTATGAGATGGTGGTGCGCCCTGAGAGGTGCGCTGGGCCGTAGAGGCAGCCACAGCATGACCGGGCGGCAAATGACTTGTAAATGAATAAGCGCAAATTATAGGTGTAGAGAATAGAGAACAGTATAATAAGAAAACCCAAGGAGTGAGAGTTACGACGGTGTGGAGATTTAAGTTGTAGTTGGACTGTTGGAGGTAGAGATGATGACGCTGCCGATAGTAGATAAGATGGAATCAGATAGTAGCTTTCCCCGCAGCACGTGACCGATGCTTATCAGCCGACGCTATCCGCCTTCCAAGTTGGAGACTACATCTATACACAAGCTATAGTAACTTGCCTAAATATATCATTCATTATTTGGAATCTATAAAGAAAATCGGGTATTTCCAGTGGTGTGAGCCACTAAACTTCCACGGAGCCTTAAGGACTGCAAAGTCTAAGGTCATCTGGAAGGAAGGGCATCGATATTCTGCGGCGTAAGGCTATCCATTCTTTACTCCCATTGTCTCCAAAACATGGCAGCTGGTATACGATTTAAGCCCGGCCTAGTAAATCGCGTATGGCTTCGTTTTGGAAGCTTACAGCGCCACAAACAGAAGAGGAGCGACGTTGAGGTGACACACTCTGGGCTGTAATCAACATACCGTCTTAGCGGTTAATTGTTGTTACTTGCCATTTACAGTCGCTGCAAGCAATACTGATGGTAGGTTTGGGTAAGGCAAGGAGGGCTTGTTGTCGAGACATAGGAGTCTGGTTGTGAAGGAGGGGTTGAGTGGACTTCTTGGAGACAGGGACTTTCACTTCGTCGCCTTGAAGACAGGCTGCTGTTCCATAGTTTGCGAGATAAAACTGCGCAATGCGGCCCAACGATTCGAGACAGAGTCCGCCTGGTTGTCCGATTCTGTATTTGGTGTAGTAGTCGCCTCGATCGTCGACATCTGTGCCATGTTCTTCGCAAAGCGATCCCTTTCTGTTTGCTCCAATCGTTGCCTACGCTTCATAGCGCCAGGTTTATGCTTCAGTGTTTTCTGTTTAATGACGTTCACCTGATTGTTGGCATCGTTCATTTCAACCTCGGTTTCTGGAAGGGCATCGGCAAGCGATTCAAGATTTGCAACGAGTTTCTTTGATGCCCGTCGACGTTTTGTGGTCTTTTGAGAGTTCTTCTCTATTTTGGTCATTAGGGCAGCATGTTTAATCTGGCGTTTGTCTTTCTTAGATGTCCGAAAATCATCATCGAAAGGGCTAGGCTTTGTCGAGGGAAGAGCGCCTTTTCCTGAAGCCGGCATTTTCACGGCGGGCTGCTTCTTGATTGATCTAACAGGGGCCTTTACATACAGATGTTAGAGATGGTCAATTTTCATGTGAGAGATAGCTTGGCTTACCATTATGGGCTTTTATCGCTGGTGCCGAAAAAGTTGATCAGATCGCCGGGCTCTCCGAGACTTCACGATAATAATTCTGCCTGTGGTTCCGATGGGTGCGTGCTCCTAACCCTGTTCTAGATTAGCCTGAACGCTAGCTCATCCATGTCCCTGGCAGCCCCTGGCCTCACCGCCAACGTGACTACTTCCCGACTAAGAGAGAGTTTTCCTTCTTTGGTATCTCTATCCCTAGGTTATTAAGATCAAAAAGTGAGACTGGCCGTGGCACATGGACTAGATAGTTAGCCGGGACTCAAAGCACTAGTCTACTTTGTTAGTGTGACACATCCGATCACTCACCGAACCCGATCGCCCTTTTCCCCCCCCCCCCCCCCCTAAAATCCCTCGTTCTTTCTCCGAATTTCTCGGCACGAAAAGATCCACATTCACGGGTATTCAACCCGCCTTATCGTCTTCCACTTACATCAGAGAACCACATCGAGGACTCTGGTGACGGCTTTCGTGTCTTATTCGCAGCACTACGTGGATGCTGTCCCCAGTACATCTTTTATCTCACCGGACTTGCCTTCGTTCAATTGCCACTGCAATTGATCAACCTCGGTCCCCGGTTTTTCTCCAGCGACAGACACTCTCCACTCCATTTTCGTCCTCTTCAGTCTACTCAAAGGCTTTAAAGTCAACCCCAACTCGGCTCATTTCTTGTTCATTTTCACGTCTATATACTACAACTGTGGACAGCCTTGCAAAAATGAGTTTTCTTACCCCGTACCAGCGCAAGCACAAGGTCACGGTGATCGGCTCAGGAAACTGGTAAGTGCGCTGAGAGACAACGGTAACTGGGATTAGACAGCGCTGACATCTGAAAGGGGCACCGCTATTGCCAAGATTGTCGCTGAAAATACCGCTAGCAACCCTGCCATCTTCGAAAAGGATGTTCAGATGTGGGTTTTTGAAGAGAAAGTGGAAGTTCCAAAGACCTCCCCTCAATATAACCCATCTTCGCCCTTGTGCCAGGGTCCCCAGAAGTTAACAGAGATCATCAATAAGACACATGAGAACGTCAAATATCTACCAGGAATCAACCTTCCTACGAATCTACACGCCAATCCCTCATTAGAGGATTCCGTCAAGGACAGCACTATCCTTGTTTTCAATTTGCCTCATCAGTTCATTATCAAGACTTGTGAGCAGATTAAGGGCAAGATTCTGCCATATGCGCGTGGTATCTCTTGCATCAAGGGTGTTGATGTGCGGGAAGATGGAATCAGCCTTTTCTCAGAAACCATTGGCAAGATTCTCGGGATCTACTGTGGCGCCCTCTCCGGTGCAAACATCGCTAGCGAGGTTGCCCAGGAGAAGTGGTCTGAGTCAAGCATTGCTTACGATCCTCCCCATCTAGATTCGAAAGCCCCCTCGCCCAACCGCTCGCCTTCCTCGTCGACCCTGGATGTGGTTCACTTCACACACAAGGACGTTTCGGGACAACTATCTCAGGTTAAACTGCAGGCGTTGCCCTCCGAGTATCCTCCCATTGACCATGCTGTCCTGAAGACGCTTTTCCATCGCCCCTACTTCCATATCAGCGTAGTGAGTGATGTTGCAGGTGTTTCCCTTGGCGGTGCGCTCAAGAATGTCGTCGCTATCGCCGCAGGCTGGGTTGAAGGCATGGGATGGGGTGACAACGCTAAAGCTGCTGTCATGCGAGTCGGCCTGTTGGAGATGGTCAAGTTCGGTGAAATGTTCTTCGGTGCAACTATCAATACTCGCACATTCACCGAGGAGAGTGCCGGTGTTGCCGACTTGATCACTAGCTGCAGTGGTGGTCGCAACTTCCGTTGCGCCAAGCTGAGCATCGAAAGAAAACAGCCGATCGGAAAGGTCGAAGAGACGGAGCTTAACGGCCAGAAACTCCAGGGCACTTTGACTGCGCTCGAAGTGAATAAATTCTTGAAGAACCAAGGCGTTGAAGAGGAATACCCCTTGTTGACGGCCGTCTATAGTAAGTGCTAACCTTTTTGCGTGTTAAGGCAATGTCACTGACCTCTTGTAGGGATTCTGGAAGGCACTATGTCTGTTGAGGATATTCCTTCTTATATTGAGCGGTAAATAGGACCTGATGCTTTGTCTCCCATGATTTTCTATTTCGGTTATTAATTCATGGGTATCTGTTTTCTTTTCTTTACAGCAAGCCGGAATCTATTTCGCATGAATCGCAAGGAGTGAATGGTGGTGGCGCGAGTCAGGCAGTCTTGGCCAAGTTGTGAGGTGGCGGGATGCAATAATGCCTGCTCCTCATATTTCTTTTATAATTATTTACGTCTTGAGACTTGTCGGTAGGTCTTTTCTCATGTTATTTTGGGTATGGATGTTATAAATGCACATAGACTAGTGACTATAGAGAGCAATTCCCAGATTTATGTTATGCCTTTTTGAAAAGAAGGTTCCATTCTGACTCTGTGTGTGTGTTGGCTATTCCAGATTGACTTGTCTTCTGATACTAAAATTGGGTTTCTTGGGCACGTTACTAGTACGGAGGTCCAAGGTTACTTTTGCGGTCGAGGCCTTTGCACCGTTCCATGATGTCAGACCTCCTGCTCCTGCGGGGTTCCAAAGCACCCAGGAACATAAATGAGGAACCTAAAAAGCTGGCTTTGTTTGTTTTGTCCGTGTTTAATTTTGGTTTTCTTCCTCCGTCAAAATCTCACTCTTCATTCTCCTGTACATTGGCTGGATCAGCGTATCTCTAGCGATCCTCAACAACTCTATCGGCCGGGCCGATACCTTTCATCTATCCCCGCATCCAACCTGGCTGAAGCACCCAGGGCTGCGTCACAGCTTTCCCTTTGGATAACCCGATCAAATAACAATGCCTGCTCCACGCCAGGTTTATCTGCTTCCATTGAAAGACGATGGCTCCCCAGATGTGCCGGGGGGCTATATCTACCTTCCTCCACCCACCAATCCTCCATACTCGCTTCGCTTCGTGATCGAAGGCAGCAGCTCGATCTGCAGGGAAGGAATGCTGTGGGTGAATGTTCCGGAGGACGGGGAGCCCTTCAAACGCTCGAACTTCCGGAGTTTCAGGTAAAGCGATCCCTCTCTCTGACTTTTGGCTTTTCAGTTGTTGAGGCAGAATTAGATTAAATCCAGACTTCAATAAGAACATCCAGATCGATGTTCCAATCACTTCTCCAGGATCTTTCGCGTTTTACACTGCCTACACTCCACTTCCAGACTTCTCCGTTGCTCCGGTTGAGACGTCTGAACCGGTCAAGACCCCAACGCATTATATTGATGTTGCACCGAGACTAAGTCTTGGTGGCCGTGACCTTCCTCTCAATGCTCTTTCAATATTCTCCGTGATCTCTAAGTTCATGGGTAGATACCCAACTGATTGGGAGAATCATTTAAATGGAATCAGCCAGCGCAAGTACAATATGGTTCATTTTACGCCCTTGATGAAACGTGGAGCCTCGAATTCCCCCTACAGCATTTTTGACCAACTACAGTTCGATGAGACCCTATTCCCTAAGGGGGAGAATGATGTAGCTCAAATGGTTAAGAAGATGGAAGTAGATTATGGGCTCTTGTCGCTAACAGATGTTGTATGGAACCATACTGCTAATAACAGCAGATGGCTTGAGGAGCACCCGGAGGCTGGTTATAGCGTTGAGACAGCACCATGGCTTGAGGCAGCATTGGAGCTAGACACTGCTTTATTGCAGTTTGGAGAAGACCTTCAACCCCTGGGTCTTCCAACGGAATTTAAGACTGCCGACGATCTGATTGTTGTGATGAACGTAATGCGTGAGCGTGTTATAGGCAGCTTGAGGCTATGGGAGTACTACATCGTTAATGTTAAAACGGACACCCGAAGGATCGTTGACCAATGGGCCAAGTCTCCAGAGATCGATTTGGAAAGCGATCAATGGTCACGGTTTGCTCTGAAGGACTTCAAGAACCTAACTCTGAAGGAGCAGGCAAGCTTCATCCGTGAGCACGCAATCCCAACATCCAAAAGCATACTCGGAAGGTTTACTCGGGCAGTCGATGGCCACCTCGGTGCGGCCATTTTAACTGCTCTGCTTGGTCCAGTAGATTCCAACCATGATGAAGCAGAGAGCAGGTGCACTCAATTGCTCGATGAAGTGAACCTGCCCTTTTATACAGAATACGATACAGACGTATCCGAAATAATGGAGCAAGTGTTCAATCGCATCAAATACCTGAGAATAGATGATCATGGACCGAAGCTTGGTTCTGTCACGAAAGAGAATCCACTTATTGAGACATATTTTACAAGACTGCCCGTCAACGAAGTTACGAAGCAGCACAATTCGACGGCACTTGCGCTTGTGAACAACGGGTGGATATGGAATGCTGACGCGTTGCGGGATAACGCTGGACCAGACTCGAAAGCCTATTTGAGACGAGAAGTCATTGTGTGGGGTGATTGTGTGAAGTTAAGATATGGCAACTGCCCTGAAGACAGCCCATTTCTTTGGGAGTTCATGACTAAATACACTCGTCTGATGGCGAAGTATTTTTCGGGATTTCGGATTGACAATTGCCACTCAACGCCGTTAAGGGTCGCAGAGTACCTGTTGGACGAGGCACGAAAAGTTCGACCCAATTTGACGGTCTTCGCCGAGCTCTTCACGGGCTCCGAAGAAGCTGATTATGTTTTCGTCAAGAGGCTAGGCATTAATGCACTCATTCGGGAGGCCATGCAGGCCTGGAGCACCGGGGAACTAAGTCGTCTTGTACACCGCCATGGAGGACGCCCTATTGGCAGTTTTGACCTTGACTTGCCCACTGCAGGGAGCAGTCACGCTATAGCGTCTGCAAGTACTGATAACCAGGAAGAAGCCATTTCTCACATACGCCCGTGTCCCGTCCAAGCACTCTTCATGGATTGTACACACGATAACGAAATGCCGGCCCAAAAGCGAACAGCGGTAGATACATTACCTAATGCTGCATTAGTTTCAATGTGCGCCTCGGCTACTGGAAGCGTCATGGGCTATGATGAAGTATACCCAAAATTAGTTGACCTCGTTCATGAGACACGGCTGTATTCCTCATCGTTTTCAGGACCCTCTAAGGGGGAGCTGGCTTCTGATGGCGGCATTGGGAGCATCAAAAAGATCCTAAATGAGCTTCACACTATGATGGGAGCCGATGGATACGATGAGACACATATTCATCATGATGGAGAATACATAACTGTTCATAGAGTTCACCCGAAGACACGAAGGGGCATATTCTTGATAGCACATACTTCTTTCCCGGGCCAGGATGGTCATCCCATCCTAGCACCAACTCACCTCACCGGGACGCGAGTCAAACCACTTGGGGCATGGACATTGGAAGTTGAAGCTGGAGAAAATGCCAGAGCAAAAGTCCTGGCGGATAAGGACTACTTACGGGGATTGCCCAGCACAGTTCGAGAGACTAACGCAGTTAAAGTTGAGGAACACGGTCATGATACCATCATTTCTGTTTTGGACTCCTTCATAGCGGGGTCAATTGCCCTCTTCGAAACGTCCATCCCGACAGCTGAGCATTCCACAGGGCTGGACCATTACATCACTGAAGGTGCAGATCAGGCATTCTCAAAGCTCAGTCTGGTTGACCTTAATTTTGTACTCTACCGCTGTGAAGCCGAAGAAAGGGATTTTAGTGAAGGTCAAGATGGAGTATACGCCGTACCCAATTATGGGCCGTTGGTCTATGCAGGCCTTCAGGGATGGTGGAGCGTTCTGGAAACCATCATTCGATATAACGAACTGGGGCATCCACTCTGTGATCACCTCCGGCAAGGCCAGTGGGCCCTTGACTATATTATAGAGCGTTTGGAGAAGGTGGCACAAAAAGACGGATATATTGCTCTAAATGACCCGGCGTCCTGGCTACGGAACAAATTCAATGCCGTTCGTGGGCTCCCCAGCTTTCTCCTGCCGAGGTATTTTGCCATTGTTCTCCAAGTCGCGTACAACGCTGCATGGAAGCAGGGCATTCGGCTTCTGGGAGGAAGTATACAAAAGGGACAAGAATTTGTCCATCAACTGGGCATGGTCAGCGTCCAACAAACTGGATACGTAAAATCTGCATCCCTATGGCCTACGAAACGAGTGTCAAGTCTTGCGGCTGGCCTGCCCCATTTTGCTGTGGACTGGGCTAGATGCTGGGGTAGAGACGTTTTCATATCTCTCCGAGGCTTGCTTCTCTGTACTGGCCGGTTTGACGATGCCAAAGAGCATATTATCGCGTTTGCTAGCGTCCTCAAACACGGGATGATCCCTAATCTGTTGAGCAGCGGAAAGCTTCCTCGTTACAATTCTCGAGATTCTGTATGGTTCTTCCTCCAGGCTATTCAAGATTACACCACAATGGTTCCAAATGGTATACAGCTCCTCAGCGAGAAAGTTCCCAGGAGGTTCCTGCCGTACGATGATACATGGTTCCCCTTCGACGACCCTCGTGCATACTCTCGGCATTCAACAATAACGGAGGTTATCCAGGAGGTTTTCCAACGACATGCCCAAGGGCTGTCATTCCAAGAGTATAACGCTGGCCCTGAGCTTGATATGCAAATGAAGCCTGAGGGCTTTCAAATCGACGTCAATGTTGACTGGGAGACAGGTCTGATATTAGGAGGTAGCCAGTTCAATTGTGGGACCTGGCAAGACAAGATGGGGGAGAGTGAGAAGGCTGGAAACAAAGGATTTCCTGGCACACCTCGAGATGGCGCAGCCATTGAAATTACTGGGCTTCTCTACAGTGCTTTGACTTGGGTTGGGAAGCTATATGAACAGGGACTTTACCCACACGAAGGAATAGATATTGGAGATGGCAGATCAGTTACGTTCAGAGATTGGGCCGCCAAGATCAGGAACAGTTTCGAGCGTTGCTATTACATTCCTGTGAGTCCCGATGAAGACAGTGGATACGATGTTGATGCAAAGATTGTCAACCGCCGTGGCATCTACAAGGATTTGTATAAATCCGGCAAGCCCTATGAAGACTACCAACTTCGGTCCAACTTCCCCATTGCCATGACTGTGTCACCGGATCTCTTTGATCCCTCCAATGCTCTAACGGCGCTTGCCATTGCAGACTCAGTTCTTCTTGGTCCTGTTGGTATGGCTACTCTCGATCCCTCCGATCTTAACTATCGTCCCAACTATAACAATTCGGAGGACTCTACGGACTTTACCACTTCCAAGGGCAGAAACTATCACCAGGGGCCCGAATGGGTGTGGCAGCGAGGATATTTCCTTCGTGCCTTCTTACACTTCGATATAGCTCGCAGAACAACACCAGAGGGACGAACAGAAACTTATCAGCAGATAACTCGTCGCTTAGGAGGGTGCAAGCGAGCACTTAGAGAAAGCCCTTGGAAGGGCCTCACAGAATTGACAAATAAAGCCGGTGCACACTGTTCTGACTCTGTATGCCATCCCTTCCCCTTCTGAGATATAATGACATAGCTCAGACTGCTAACGATACATTCTTTAATGATAGTCGCCCACGCAAGCATGGTCAGCAGGCTGTTTGCTAGATCTTTACTACGATGCTTCAAGATATGCCACGAAAACAGCATAGAAGCGAGGTTTCGCTTTATCTAATGGAACTTTAGATGAGTATACACGTATATACTAGGTTAGGGTGCTCGTTGAAGATATGGCTTGCCGTAGAATTAATATCTCCTATTTTGTCTTGCCTAGCGTCTATCATGGATTCGTTGGTATCACATAACTGCATAGTGCCTGCCAAGGCCTACATAACTCCCAGCTGAGTCAGCTGATTGCACAACTCATCTTTTTAGCTTACCATATTTGGAATCGCCAAAGAGCTTATTGAAGTTTGAGCACAATCGAGTCCGCAGAAATTACCGCACATTTTTCTGAGGTATTAGAGAGAGGCGACTTTCAGTTGCGAAACTTACTAGGACAGCTCTCATATAAAGGAGGTCATTTGGCCAGCGACGCGGTGTATCCATCACGCGATAACCCACCCTGACGTCAGTTGTTTTGGCTTGCGCATCTTTACCGTGAAAGTGCCGAACGCTTCCCATATGCATTGACGAAAACTGTGCCGCCCAAGAGACTTCACAACGGGACTTCACTCCTTAACACATGTCTCTGACAGAGGCTGCTGCTGCAGCCATAATAACAGCTGCAGTTAAAAGTGACAAGTCCGGGGGCGTCCATGAGCCAACGTGGGGTGACCAAGCAAAAGGGCAGCGTGATCTGTATACTCAGCTTATTATTAGCTTAACATTGGGACTAAGTGCTTTCTTATCTTTCTGTGTACGTCTTACATCTCATCTGTTATACATGCAATGATCTCTAACGAAGCTATTTTGTGTAGGTCCTACGACCGAAATGGACGGAGCTGTACGCCGCACGAAGACGACAGCGTTGCGCAGCTTCACACTTACCGGAGCTTCCTGATAGCTTTTTTGGGTGGATACCAGTGCTCTATAGGGTAACTGAAGAGGATGTTTTGCACTCTGCGGGCTTGGATGCGTTTGTAGTAAGTTTTGTTGCATTCCATGTACCAGTGGGACAAGCAAACTCTAACAGTATCGTCTGATGGTGTAGTTCTTGTCGTTTTTCAAGTTTGCGATCCGATTCTTGTCAGCCGTCTTCATGTTCGCCGTGGTTATAATACTTCCGATCCATTACAAGTATACCGGGAAAAGGGGGATCCCGGGCTGGGATGACAACGATGATAATTCTCTCGGTGGGAACAAGGACAAGAAGCCCGTGACTGACCCGAACTATTTGTGGATGTATGTGGTGTTCACATACATATTCACCGGATTAGCGGTCTATATGCTACTCCAGGAGACGAACAAAATCATTCGTATCAGACAGAAGTATCTCGGCAGCCAGACTAGTACCACTGACCGGACTATCCGCCTCTCAGGTATTCCCCAGGACATGGCATCTGAAGAGAAGATCATTGAATTCGTGGAGGGTCTTCAGGTTGGAAAAGTTGAGAGTGTTACTTTATGCCGGGATTGGCGAGAGTTGGACCACCTCGTCGACGAGCGATTGCAAATATTACGGAATCTTGAACGAGCGTGGACTAAGCACGTCGGATACAAACGACAGACCGAAAATGTTAGCACGTTACCGCTGGCACATCATCAGCCGCGTGGGTCGAGCCTGTTCTCTGAAGATGACAGCGAACGCATACAGCTTCTTTCAGAGAGTGGACGAAACCACATTGCGGACTACTCGCACCAACGTCCCACGATTCGCTTGTGGTACGGACCGTTAAAACTACGGTACAAGAGCGTTGATGCGATAGACTATTATGAAGAAAAGTTGCGGAGGATTGATGAAGAGATCCGAGTGGCGCGCCAAAAGGAGTATCCCCCTACTGAGTTAGCATTTGTGACCATGGAGTCCATTTTTGCATCTCAGATGGTTGTTCAGGCTATCCTCGATCCTCATCCTATGCAGTTGCTTGCCAGGCTGGCACCGGCGCCGGCTGACGTCGTGTGGAAGAATACATACTTGCCACGTTCGAGGCGAATGATGCAGTCCTGGTCCATCACGGGAGTCATTGGCTTCTTGACCGTGTTCTGGTCGGTACTCCTCGTTCCTCTAGCATATCTTCTGGAGCTGGAGACGCTACATAAGGTGTTCCCACAACTAGCCGAGGCGCTGGCCCGCAACCCCATTGCGAAGTCCCTCGTCCAAACCGGTCTTCCGACTTTAGTTCTCTCGTTGATGACTATTGCTGTCCCTTATCTATATAACTGTAAGTCAGACCATCTGAAAGGCCTAGTCAAGGATGACGTGCTAACTGTTTGTCCGATCAGGGCTCTCAAACCTTCAGGGAATGACATCGCGTGGTGATGTTGAATTGTCCGTCATTTCCAAAAACTTCTTCTTCTCTTTCTTCAACCTTTTCCTTGTTTTCACGGTCTTCGGAACGGCAACGACATTCTACGAACTATTCAAGCATCTTCGTGATGCGTTTCAAGATGCCACTACCATCGCGTTTGCGCTGGCCAATTCGCTTGAAAACTTTGCACCATTTTACATCAATCTTATAGTCCTGCAAGGTGTGGGAATGTTTCCCTTCCGGCTGCTGGAGTTTGGAAGCGTTGCAATGTACCCCATCAATTTCTTTAAGGCCAAGACACCACGAGAGTATGCCGAACTGTCTACGCCACCTACTTTCAGTTACGGGTATTCGATCCCGCAGACGATCCTCATCTTAATCATTTGCGTGGTGTATAGCGTGTTCCCAAGCTCTTGGTTAATCTGTCTGTTTGGATTGGTGTACTTTACCATCGGGTACTTCATTTACAAGTACCAGCTCCTGTATGCGATGGACCATCAGCAGCATTCTACCGGGCGTGCATGGCCAATGATATGCAGTCGAGTCCTGGTAGGCTTGATGGTGTTCCAAGTTGCGATGATAGGCGTATTTGCACTGCGCACAGCTATCACGCGTTCCTTGATCCTTGTGCCTCTCTTGGGTGCAACGGTGTGGTTCAGCTACTTCTTCTCTAGGAGTTATGAGCCTCTGATGAAGTTCATTGCTTTGAAGAGTATTGACCGCGATGGCGGTGGCAACCTTTCCCCCTCACCTTCATCCTTTTCTTCTCCATCAGGCCTCGACCGTGACGCCCTACCGATCCAAATTGGTAGGCAAGGAGTAGAAGTCAGGCTGAACAAATATGTCAATCCCAGTCTCATCATGCCTCTCGATGGCGCCTGGCTTCCAGGCCACACCGTCGGCGAATACCCTGGGTCTATATGAGGTACATGAAACACCAGACCATGCCTCGCGTGGTCCAGGGTACCCAACCACTCTACACCCCCCTTCCATGTCTTCCTTCCTGCGACCCTTCCGCTATTTACTAGTATTTGCTTGTTTCACTTTTATTCATCATAGATATTATACCCTTTGTTAATATCAATGCTTTCAATGCCCCGAGTATATTATGATATACGACGCCATGCCATGCCCACCTGCTATTAATATCACCTCTGTCTTGTTCTTGTTTTGTTCATGTTTCCCCTGTCTATTGGGCCACCATAGACGCCAGCATCTATTTTGAATTTACCGCTCACAGGTTGATCACTATTACCCGATCATTGCTGTTCGGAGTGAGAAGGCATACTCGGCAGTTAATGCAGCTTTGGTCTTTTTTTTCATCTTTATTTTTTGTACGGTGGCCGATAATGCTCACATATTACATGCAATCTTTCAATGTTGCACCTGCTATTTTTTTTTTAAAAAAAAAAAAAATTAGATTGGAACTCTCCGTATTCCTTTATGACAAGTTAAATATCGGTTTGCTGCATCCACCGATGACGTTGTGTGGCGCACCTCACGTTGATTGGCACGTGGTTGCAATCGAATCTCTTCTTCTAATCCTATTCATGATTGTACTGTGTAATTAGAGCTGAATAGAACCGTGGGGAAGAGGATCGACTGTTTCCTCATGTTATGGTTACTTCTGTGAATTCCAAGTGGGGAATGCAACAGCTTCATCATTGTGCAGGCATCACACAAGAGATCGACATCGATCACTCAATAATTGTCGCCTTTCTTTGAGAGACCCGCTTATGATCCTCGCCTTGATTCTCCGCCCGGAAACCGTCCATGTTCTAACTTCTGACTCGTTCACGTAGTCTGTTCATCTCCACTCGCTCCAACGCTGAGTCGGCGGCACCACCGGCTCATCCTCGCGACCTTCCATGGGCGACGGCAATCTTCATGAACCCAATCGATAATCACACAGAAGTTTCTGCTTCCTCGCCCCTCGCTATGGCTGACTGCTGCGGAGTTGCTATTGCATTCGCCAACCATGGAGCTTCCCCAAAATTGGACCCACTCTTCGTCGCCGCTCTTGGTTGAGGAGGTTCGATGCAGGAGGATACACCCTATATCGACGTCAAGACGGCTATTGCGGGCGGTAGAAATTCCACCCGTGCAGCCTCAGGAGGCGATAAAAAAGGAACAGCATCCGTATGGCTTTTATTCCGGTGTCCTGAGTTGTCAACACTCTCTCCTATACATTCCTCGGGCTCTCCTTTCGTTCACAGCTCTAAGACCATCCGGCATCTTCTCCTCACCTCTCTTGTATTAGTGCATTCATTGCCTACCTTGTCTGCAGTGCGCTTGGAAGAACCGTACACCTATGGATCAGAAAAGCGAGGCTAGCCATAACGAAACCTGGAATAGCAAACTTCAACGGAGCAGCTCAGTCGCTTATCACGGTGAAAGCCGACATTCATCGATGTGATATAGTTTCCAAATTCTTAGGGCAAGGATAGGCCTATTTTCTACTTCTAATCATTATCCATCTTTACTTTAACTCAAAACGCCAATTCTTTTCGTTCATTCAAGTTGCACTCATCTATACACCCCGGGAAACTGCTTAGAGCTACTTGCATTACAATCCATAAAACCATCGCATTGGCGTCGCCATAAATGGGTCTTGATGTCTGTGAATGACTTCCACGGTGATGCACGCGCCGCCAATAAAATTGCAGCGGGTTCAATTAACGCTTCGCATCTGGATTCGGTATTTTGCTCTGGTTTGAGGTCAGAAAATGGTCTCAAACCCCAGAGTATCTCACAGGGTCTTATACTTCCGCGAATTGTGACTAAAAGGCTGCTCAATTTTATCCCTCGTGAAACCCGTCACTCTTTACGCCTAACCTGCAGGTCTTGGTCTCGAACAATTGACAAGGCAATGCCTGTTTCTCGCCCTGCCGCGAATATTGTACCGCCTGAAATTTTGCTGCAGATATTCTTCATGTTGGCCCCTCGTGATTTTGATAATGCTCGACGGACGTGCTCCCAATGGATGAAAGTGAGCCTGAATGAGCGACTTCTGAAAAGTATGCTCAAACGAGCGGGCTGGTGGAATTCCTGGCAGCGGGACTGCCTGATACAACATCGGAATTTAGAACACCGCAAAGAGAGCACTGTGTGGAAGATGAGCCGGCGTTTCGCCACAGAATGCGTCCTTTCCGGTCGAAAGTTGAACGTGGAGAGGGATGGCTTCTTAACAACCGCGGTCGTTGACTTTTCGAAACTATCCCGAAGGCGCGATTCCACACCGGCGTCATACTCGTTTTCCACGAATTTCAGTGTCAACCAGAATGGTACCGCAGCTGTGTCCAAGTTCCGTGTTAGTGATTGCGGCAATTATTTACTAATAATTAGTGGATGCAAAATCTACGTTTATCGTCTGCTTGGCCGGAACCATGAGAGTTCCTTCCCTTCGTCTGTGAATAAAAACGCGGATGTTGCCCCGATTACAACCATTACTTGTCCCGCCGAAGTGATGTCCGCCACGATTGATACTAGTACTCCCAGATTCGTGATTGCGGCGCTATTCCGTAACTGTTCAGGGTTGATGTGCGACTTGGTACCTTCTAACGCTGCTCGACCAAATCTCTTCCAATCCGCTGGTTTCACCTCTGGCATAATAGACGGCTCTATACAACCCATGGAAATTAGTTCCCTTAATTACTATGAAGACGTATGTTCTCCAGAAGACCCACCGCGCAGTGTGTCTGTCTGTCCCGGACGTCAGTGCGTGGCATTCGGCTCTGGTTCTTGTATTGAGCTGCGTTGGATTGATGAAAGGACAAAACAAGATTGTCAAAAACGTCTTGCTATGTCGCAGCCATCGGAAATCCTGCACTTTCTGCCTCGTCGATCAGAGACGCCTACAGAGCTGCGGCTCATCTCATCCCTTGCTGGTCCGGGATTACCCAGTTGTAAATGTCACAATGCACGATCTGGTGAACAACGGCCAACTTGCCCTTTTCATATTTTGGTCGATATCCAATCTTTCGCTCAGTGGAGTTCCGGAGAAACTAGCAATCTCGGATTAGTGAGGGCGACCCATTGCCACCACTACCGAGCTGTTCCTATCAAGGATGGTTTACATTTCCTGTTCATCGAACCGCGCACTAGTCTGCTTTGTATAGGTTCCGATGCTCCTTTCGGTGGTCCTACCAGTCTGACGAGAGCTCTTATTTGTATCCCGCCATTTGGAAAAAGCCCGTCAGGAGCTGCAAAAGAGGGACTAGCCCCTACGGTCTTTGCAGCCGGTTCGGACTTGAACTGGGGCCTGCGGGTGGTAGCCGCCTATGGAGACCGGATTGTCTTATACTCTGTCCCGCTGGATGTCTTCAATGTGATTCGAAGGGAACGTGAAAGGCAAGGAGAGAATGTCATGGGCGATAGTGATCTAGCACGAGATTGGTTTCTCGACAGCGAAAGGTCACGAAAGGGTCGTGGAAGTCTCGCACCGAACCAAAACGGCGACTGGGACTTCCTCCTTAGTGTGAGCTACAGACCAACAGCCATGATGTGGCCATTCAAAATCTACGGAAAGGAAATTGGGCGGGTGAAAAACGTGGTTGAGCTGTCCTTGCAAGCTGCCCACGGCGGCGCTCGAATTTGGACGTTTGGTGCATCGGGTCAAACGAACATCTTTGACGTAGACACTTTCACGTCTAGCACCCAGCAAGCCGCCGATATTCCTTACAAGTCGTATTGTATTGAAGCTGATGGCAGCGTCGCTTCAGCTGAGATGCTCAAGCGGAGCGATACCAGCTTGTCATCTCCATTGTCGTCGCGCAAACGAAAGCACATCGAGACACTAGAAGATTTCGGTGGACAAAAGTCTACCGCTTACCGACCTCACGATACGATGTTCGATGGAGGTAATCCATCGAATTTACAGAACATCCACCAAACTACAACTACCAATGCAGCTACCAAACGGCGAATATCTTTCGCTGCGCACATTGTCGACTTCAGTATCCCAGAGTCAGCCGACAGATCAGTGGAGAGCGAATGTGCGTATGCTTAAAACCAACGAGCCATGAATAATCCTTCCTACTTTCGAAGGAATCTATATTATCAGCTCGATACAGTTTTTCGAAGACTGATTTAGTTTGTTTCTTGAACTCTAGCGACAGTGATACGATATGCTCCCCAAAATAAACCCCCGGACAAAGGAAAGAATGATAGCCATCCAGATGCTATTGACTGTTATTGACATTCATACTATTGAGCATACAGGCACATAACCATAGAAAATATTGTTGTAGACATTCTCCTTGTTTTTTTGAAGTTACATCTAGAGAACCGTGCATCTAGAATAGCTCACGTCCAGAACACTCTATACCCCCTTATGAAAACACAACATACCCCTACCGAACCTAACACACTGTGAGGGCGTGTGCCCCCACGCAAACACGCTCCCAACTAGGCCAAAAGGTCAGGTAATTCTGATTCGTAGATTCAGAATGCCCTGTATCGCAGTATATAGTATACCACCGTTACCCTCCCAAAAAGACCAGAGAATCAAAGCTTGCAATCGCATAATGCAACACGTCCCCGTACAGCTGGTCCAGGCTCACGATGCCCTGGACCGGATACCTCAGCTAAGGGTTGGAGACGATGAGGCAGGCGAGGAGAAAGGAGGCCGGACCCCAGATGAAGATGAATGCGGTGATGGAATCGATATATAGGACGAAATTATTGAGGATTAGATGGCGGGAGTCGGAGAGTGCGTATTCTTTCTGGAGGGTTGCTAGGAGGGCGGTTTTTGAGGGGAGGGTGAGGAAATTGAGAGTTTAGTGGCCTTCTAGAAATGTGTGGATGAAGTCTTCTTTTTTTTTTTGTGTGTGTGTCGTTTCTTTTAGTTTTGAGGTGGGTTGGGGTGTTGGGTTGTATCTACAGGGGACAAACCAGAGAGTGGTTAGGAGGTCTGATTGGGAGATTTGGGGGCGTTTGGTGAATTTGTACGTTATTGTTTATATCATGCTGTAGGTGAGGGCAAAGACTAGTTCGAGCGTTCCTTTGTCGTTGGGGATATAATTTGGGATCACCGCCGTGGGAGGGTAATAGGGGAGTGTGGACATTATTATGGTATTAGGATGTATGGAATTTTATCTACGGGAACTGTGCGAGGGTGGAGTGGAGAGTAATACTATCTGGTGGATATTTTGATTTCTGGGGTAATGGATGACGGGGTCAAGTACGACTATTATTAGCTAGTCTGATCCATCTTACCCCCAGTAAACTCGGGCAGTTAGCAGCGGGGATCGTCAAATTATTTATGCTTATTCTTGTGGGGCGGATGGAGTCATAGCTGATTACAATGGAAAAGTGTGCTTCGTTCAATGGTATATCAACATGTATTGAAACCGAAATCGTACTTTTATTCACAGAACGCTATCATGGCCCAACCCATTTTTCCAACACCGGAAGAATATGGCTCAAAATATAAGCTCTGCTCAGTCAATCAAGCAGTTAAGAAAGATTAAGTCGAATTTTTAGCTTTTTGCGTGGATCTAGTTGGAAGCGCCATTGACCGCCAGCTTCTCTTTCCGAGTACGAACGGCCTGGGCAAGGTTCTCAAGCACAGCTTCTGTGTCCTCCCAGTGGATACAAGCATCGGTGATACTGACACCGTACTTGAGGCCGGCCTTACCCTCAGGAGGAACCTTCTGGTTACCTGTAAGATAACAGTTAGCGACAGGATTCCAGGACCCATAACGGAAATGGAAAGCATACCCTCGTTGATGTTACTCTCAATCATGACCCCCATGATCGCGGTCTCACCCGCAGCGATCTGCTCCGCGAGTACAGCAGCCACCTTGGGCTGGTTCTTATGGTTCTTCTGCGAGTTACCGTGGCTGCAGTCCACCATGAGACGGGGCTCCATGCCCTGCGCAGAAAGCTTGGCCTTGGCCTCGGCGATGCTCTGAGCATCGTAGTTGGGGCCCTTCTTGCCACCACGGAGGATGACGAAGCAGTCGGGGTTACCCACGGTGCCGACGATGGAGACAACACCGGGCTTGGTGACGGAGAGGAAGTGATGGGGGTGCTTGACCGAGCCAATAGCATCCACTGCAACATCCAAAGAGCCATCGGTGCCGTTCTTGAATCCAACAGGGAAGGAAAGACCAGAAGCCAGCTCACGGTGGACCTGGGACTCGGTTGTCCGCGCACCAACCGCACCCACGGAGAGACAGTCAGCCAGGAACTGCGGGGAGATAGTGTCCAGCATCTCGCTAGCAATGGGCATGCCCTTGTTGGTCAGGTCGACGAAAAGTTGCCGAGAGGTGCGCAGACCCTTGTTAATCTTGAAGCTATTGTCGATATCGGGGTCGTTGATGAGACCCTTCCAGCCAACGGTGGTACGGGGCTTCTCCAGGTAGGCACGCATGACAATCAAAAGCTCGTCCTTGTATTTCTCCTTCAGTTTTAAGAGACGGTCACAGTATTCAAGGGCCATGTCGGGATCGTGAATCGAGCAGGGTCCCACCACGACCAGCAAACGGCGCTTGTCGGTATCAGTGCCATGAACGACTGCGCTAGCCTCCTGACGGGCTTGCAAGACCGTCTGTCTGGAGGCCTCTGTCATAGCGATCTCATGTTGGAGAAGGTTGGGGGGTGTCAGAGGGTTGTATCCTCGAACTGTGTACGTTTAGCGATCGACCATCCGCGAGTGATGCGACTTCATAATGCGCAATCAGGAGATTGACTTACTTCTCGAGTCCTCCAAATGGTTGGTATCCCCTACATTGGGATTTTCGATAAAGAACTGTGCAATTGGTTGAGTAGCTGTCCAGACAGTTTGATATAATCGTGGCGAGGAATTGACTCACAGACATGGTGGGCGGCGGGCGAAGGGTTTACAGATATCAATTGAGAGGGGTAGAGGGGCACTGAGAGGAGACAAACGGTATTAATATCCCGGAGTAAGTGAGGGAAAGGAACAAGAGTCCGAAGTAATGAAACTCCGAACGGGGTATCTTAGAAGGGTATGACAGCAAAACAGGGAAGTTCAGAGAAAAAAAAAAAGATGATTTTGAAGGATCATATTTTCTTGGGTAACAGACTCCTATGTCGGCGCCCGTGACGAGTCATACTTGCCTCATCGGTCACCGTGTCGCACGTGAATCCGGTCGATCGGACCCTAGTGCATGCCTCAGGTTGGTAAACCCCATTGGCTGGATCGTCATTCGCCGTTGGACTCTCCACCCACATCAACTCTAATTCCGCATATCCAGCGGGTGGAGCGTCCATCAGGGTCGACATTGGCCAAACGCCAACAGTTGACTATATACCATTGAACACCCGGAATTAAATCCGCAAGTCCTTCACTGCGTACCTCATCTCATCGACGTTAATCCTTGCAAGAGAGTATCGTATATCGGGATGATATCAGCCGTACAACCTACGTGAAATGCAGAGCTCCCCATTTGTGTTCACAACCTCCTTGCAAGGAAGTATAGTATATTGGGATGATATCAACAGTGCAGCCTACGTGAAATGCAGAGCTCCCCATTTGCGTTCGCAACCTCCCTTCAGGGTGGCAATAATAGCTAGCATGACGAGACCTTATCAAGGATCTACACTGTTCTCTTTCCAATATAATGATAAATTAGCCAATCTAGCGAGCAGCAACAAGGCCTTCGGGGCATGTATGCGGCAGCCTGCAGACCATGAGAAGACAGCTACCTTCACGCACTTCTGTGTTTTTTTCCCTTCCTTTCTTCTGAGCTTAAGTGCGAGTTTGTCCTCTTCCTAGCACACCGCTTGGTCGCTTCCAAGCGATGAATTATCTCTTGACAGACGTTTGCATGGTGGTCTCTGATTATGTCCATCTGCTGCTTGCATAGGTTTATTCGTTCTTCTTGTGCCTTGAAAAGTTGATCCAGTACGTCGTGACACTGTCGGCGATATGTCTCCAAGACATCATTAACTGTTTGTTTTTCGGTCTCCAATCCACGCGTAAGACGCTCCACTCAATCAGCAAACGCGCTAGGTCTAATATCTATCATACATCATATGACTCACCTCACTAGAATCGAGTAACATGTCCTGCGTATACCTTTGGAGTGCCTGTAGAGTTGTATCCCCATTGGTCTGTTTGAGACTTTTGCCGCGGGTGTTCGGTATTACCGCTGTATTCCAGGGGGAATCGATAGAGGCTAGCTCTCCTTGCGACGGAGATCGGTATGGATCTTGACCCGCAATATCGGTTCGTATGTGTTCCCCATGAGGTACTGAGGCTGCTCTAAAATGACCTCCGTGAATGCCCCTTCTCCGGCCTTCACAGCTCCTTAGTAAACTAGGTCTTTGTGCAAATGGATTTTCTATACGTGCGCTAGAGCTCCCACCGTACGCACTGTGGGCCAGGTTACTTTTGGCACCAGACACTTCAACGAAACTCTCTTCAATGCCTCCATCATAGCCAGATTCATTATCAATGCTCCTGGTGGGAACTTGCTTTTCATCCTGTGTCAGCTGCCGAGATTGGCTTTCACGATGTACCGTATCATCAGAAGTTATAATTTTATTCTCCATATGGGATAGGAGTCGTGGGCTTCCATTTAGATCGACAATGCTCTTTCTTGGAGTCATCCTTTGATGCTCCGCGATGTGGTCTTGCATTTGTTGATTATCGTGGCACAGAAGGGTTTTGGCGGAAACTGGGCCACCGTCTTTTGATACAGCTGCTCTCATTACACCGTAACTCTCAGAATCGGGGCCAGGCTCGTCGCTTCCAATACACGATCGACTTTTAGCCGCTTCGCTGGTGTGGTCAGATTGACTCATCAATATATCTCCGTGACGTTGTTGAGCATGACATCGGCTTTGTATCAAGTTGATAGCAGACTTGAGCCCATTCGCTCTTGCTTTCGTTTCCCATTTCCCGTCACCCAAAAGCTCAGTTGCTACTGTTTCTATGCTAGCCGATACCATATCAGCCTCTCTTACAATTCCCTGGCAGTTGTTTTGATTTATCTCTTGTACTTCGTTCGGGTGTTTTTGGTCCATAAAAAGGTTCAGTAACCTATCAGTGTCTGGGATGCGTGAGATCACGCAATCACAGTCACTATCCTCACGAGTACATGATATATTTGACTTGACGAGTAGCCTTTTTCTGGGAGCTTCTTCAATTGATTGGGTTGATGGTGTCGCTGTTTCAGGGCTGCTCTGACTCTTGCGATCAGGAGATACATCGTATCCATGACTATGATATCGCTTACATTGTGATGATGTTTCCTCTAGTTTGAAAGCTGCAGCGAGCTTTCCACCAATACCTTGGCCTCTCCCTAAATGCTTTGCCCCTAGTAACTGGGGCTTTGGAGGAGTTTGTGAGGGCCCAGAAGCATTGGCATCTGTGTCATAACTGTGTGCATCATCCCCATTATCGTCTTCGCTATGAAGGGCGAGATTAGGCTCTGACGCACACTGTATGTGCTCTTCAATTTCCAGAAAACTGACACCCTTCGCTGAGGCATCAATGTGACTACTATCGTCTGTTGTGCATTCTCTAGAGACGAGGTCTTCACTGTCCGATGAACTATTATGATCTCTAGTTCGGATACCAATATTCTCAAAGGTGTTTAGCCCGCCCTTATATCCAGGCACCTCAGTCGCGTTATTGACCTTCAGGTCGTAGGATATAACCCCCGATATACTGCCTGTTCCGTTAATAGCACTGCCGGTGCTTTTCGCCACTGGCCTCTGGCGTTTCCCGGCTGAGGAGCTTGCCTCGTGAATCACTTTCTGTCCACTAATCGGTCTCTTATCAAATGCTGGCTTTTCTTCAGGAGCCGGAGAAAACACCGGTGTAGATTCGTTCTCCTTGCAAAGTTCTGACTCGCCGCTCGGACGCAGGTCTTCGTCCCAGTCGACGGGTTCCTTACGATGGGTGGCATATACCTTTCTATAAGCTCTTCGAGGATGGAATATCAACGATTCCTGGGTATTAGACAACTGGGGTTTATCTCCGTTGTTGAACGACAAGGTGCTTGGCTTATCCCTGTTCATTAGTTGTCTATTTTGACTTGAAGTTGCAGCTGGGTCGTTGGAACGAATTTGTTGTGGCTCAGAAGACCTCTTGACCTGCGAGGGAGTATGAATACCACCATCCTGGTCAGAAAGTATTTTTGATACCGTTAGATCGTCGTGTATTCGATAGGATTTATACTCTTCATACAGGCAGGGACTGCCCAGCTGAAGGCCTTTCATGTTGTTCTTGTCGGTAACATTTGACATCCATCCATTACCTCTGCCAATAACTTCTTGTTCCTTCGGGGAGCCATCAGAACTGACAGAATTCGATACCCTGGTTGTCAAGGGACGCTTTGTGCCTGAGGCTGGCGACATACTTTGTGGCAATTTATGCTTGGCAGTATCTACCTCTTTTCGGGCCCTCGCCTCAGAAAGGCGCTGAGACTTTCTAACTACCACCTCTGCAGTGTCCAAAGACACCACTGCTGATGACGATCTTTGGGGTTTGGATTTTCTTGTTGAAATGCCCATTTTGATCTCTGCACCGATCCCGGTGAGTGCTTTACGCAGCTCGGCAAGGTCTTCATTGGACTGTAAGATAAGAGTTCGCCCCTTCATTATTTGCCTTCTGCCATGCTTGCATATTGAAATCGCTGGATCAAGATGTAAACATAGTGACTCTTGTCCTTCCTTTTGGCTCATTGGTGATCGCATTAACCGTGGATTGGACTTAAACGTGACCTCAATATAGCTGAAGCGCTTTCTATAGGTGCTATCCGGAACGTATATGAATAGCAGTGTAGAAGAAATCAGGGTAGTGAGTATAGTGCCCTCTGCGAGCACGTCTCCATCAATACGGATAGACTGCAAGATGTAGCAGGAATGCGCCTGCCCATCAGTCTCGTTCGCATTTCCTACCTGCACGCCTCCATCCCTGAATATTTCTTGCTCGGCCTCACAGATGTATAAATAATAAGACTTTACTATATCATCATTTAGGATGTCCGTGGCCTGGAAGAATGCTCTTCTGTTTTTGTCGTCAGGGGTCCAGAGGAATTTCGTACTAATACCGGCGAGATGGATAGTTCGAATAATAACACTTGCAAAGAATTTCGATACGACGTCAGCTCGAGGGAAGCTATGGAGATGATTCTAGGAGCACGGTAATACCCAATGAGCCGCTAAAGCAAGAGGTTGTCATCCAACGATCACATACCCAGCAAAATCCTGCGCCTGAGCTTGCAGTAATAGAGCACCTTCATCACCTGATTCGAGCATTAACTCTGCGAGTAATTTCCCAGTCTGATGTGCTGTTCAGTATTATTGAGATTGAAACTGTGAGCGAAACAGCCAGGCTCACCAGTCTTCTAAGTCCACGGTCCTGCTCTCTGTCGATGAATATACGATGCAATGCGTTTAATAATCGTTGCTGTGTCAAGCCTGAGTAGTTTGCTGGTGGCACAGTTGCTAATTCACCTTTGACACACAGTGGAGGCCCGTCCTTTATGACAATCCGATGTTAGAATCGTCATATCTTCTATATAAGTGTGGCGGTGTTTAAAGACAAACCAGCAGAAGATAAAGCCCTTGCTCCTGGCCAGCTTGGATTCTTGAGTTGAGCAGTATATATGCCAGGCATTGTAGAGATGTCACATCTAATGATTGGATAATCTTGGTGGCATTTTTGTCCAGAGCTGAAAGAATCTTGTTGGCGTTGATTGTTGTCAAACGAGTTTCATCACGTAACAAGGGTTCGACCATATCACTTGAGAAACTGCAAACTGTCAAGCAATGAAATAGCAATACACACTTGAGCTCCTGGTACTGACAGTATTCCTGCATTTCCTTCGGCTTCCGTAGCTGCATTTCTCAGTTGAGTGACTAAGGATAGCTCTGCCATATAAGCGGGGCTTTGCTCATCGCAATTCGCACCTAACTCGTTTCAGACATTTTGTGCTTATGGGCTGATAGCCAATCATGAAGGAAAAGTCATTTGTTTAAAGGTAATTGTCATGAAGAATACTGGTGGGGGGGGGGGGGTATAGAAGGTTAGTGTGCCTTCACATGATGCTGTCCATCAAGCAGGAAACCTCAGCAGTCTACAAACTTGAACAGCTTCGGGAAAGTCCCAGTGAGCCGTTGGACTTGCCTGAAAGCTTCCCAGCGTCCAACTCTCGCTCGAGGCTATGCCTGTGGGGGTTTCCATGGAGGTCCCAAGAGGGCCTTGATTATAACCTAGAAGACATAAGCTTCCACAGCCTGGAACCTGACTTTAATATCGTCTAAAGCTATCTCAATACGATAAGCGAATTAGAAGCTATCGAAAAACCTCATATTTTATCGAAGGCACTGTCTTTCGCCCATACTATACTTATGAACGTTAAGTAGAGTGTTGATATCTTAGCGAAATGATAAGTTTGCTGCTAGTGTGCCCTGGAAATTCTGAGCACAGTTATTGAACATCACCTTGTTCAAAATTGTTCTTAGCGAAAACAAGAGGAAGAAACATATAGAAAGAGAAGTCGTTGATACACTGGTGGATGATTGTTCTTTCATACTAAGGAGGTCAAGTGCCAGGGCCTCTGCCAAGAACCTTCGCAAGCCAACGTCAGGCACAACACGCCTTACGCATAAAACCCCAGATTTTAACATAGTAGCGCAGATGACACCATCGCAGCTTACTGGAAGTTCCATACTATTTAGGCTATCATCTGCCCAGTTCGATATCCGTTGAATATGGACAGTTCTCAACTGCTATCGGTACCAATTCTCTCAGAAGAGCCAATGATGCATATACTTGATTACCAATATGATCTGTTTGATATTGTAATCAAACACGGTCCCTTAGAGATCCGATCCGAATCGGCATTCGTTCGCTCCGCGCCCCGACTCTTAACATCCATCTATGGACACAAACCAGGCGACCAAGTGTTTACGTGGAGGGAGAAACATGATAGTCAGACAGCATGATGATTGGTCTACTTATTCTCCGACACGAGGTTGACTACTAGTAGTAACTCATAAATTCTAGCGCACACGCTGTGCGGCTGAGGTTTCCCATATCTCAATTTTTCCATTCAATTGATTAATTACAAGTTACCTGGAAATGGGTGTGTCATATCCTGAAAATCCGCTCAAGGAAGACGGCCCTGATGTCGTTCTTCCCGCCTCATCAACACGTGGGATGTTCGAACGGCTATGGGAACTGATTCCCGGGCGCCGCAGCAACGATTTAGTATCCGAAGCGACGAGTTGTCACCTTCCCGAGACAACGTCTAACAGACGGCGAGCATCAGTCGCAGAGCACTCCCTCGAGAGAGACGAACACCTTTCTGAACACCTGCCTAAATTTTCCAGCCGACACGATGATCAAAGCAAACCATCTCCTCCACAGGAAACCGTCCTATACCTGGCCTACGGCTCAAACTTGGCTTCGAAAACGTTCCTAGGGATGCGAGGCATTAAGCCCCTCTCTCAGATCAACGTCATTGTTCCCGAATTACGATTAACCTTCGATCTTCCTGGACTGCCGTACATCGAGCCATGCTTCGCAGCAAGTCAATTCCGCGACACCTCATGCAAGGGAACTGATACAGGCCATATCACAGATAGTGAATTGGAAGGTGATCTGGCATCGGAAAAAACAGTGCTCATTTCCCAACGAGAGCATGGTCATCTACCCAACGATCCTCTCGTCGGTGTTGTGTATGAGGTCACCCTTGCCGATTACGCTCGCATTATAGCGACAGAAGGAGGTGGGAATGGATACAAGGACATCATTATAGATTGCTATCCTTTTGCCGAATCTTACGACCCAACCCAGCCCATTCCGGACTGCCCAGAATCGAAACCGTTCAAAGCACATACCCTTCTCGCACCTGTCACGAACCTAGACGAGATATCTCGGCGCGCTTATGCGCAGCGAACACACTCATTCGTCCCGCGATCTGGACCCGCTGTGCGCAAGCCTGGCTACTCTCAGCCATCCGCTCGCTACCTCAACTTGATCCTCACAGGGGCAGCCGAGCATAATCTTCCTATCTCTTATCGGACGCATCTTTCTCGAGTACCAACATATCGTATTATAACTGTTCGTCAAAAGATGGGCAAATCGATATTTCTAGTAACGTGGGGTCCACTTATGCTTCTGGTGCTCACACTCTCGAGGATTCTAGCTGGTCCGGATGGTCGTAGTCCGCAATGGTTGATGAAGCTGTCGGATATCATAGTAACCACAATGTGGGGTTCTTACGAATTCATATTTCGTCCACTTTTTGGAGATGGTGAACGAACTATGGAGTAGGGAACATGGTTTAATTTCCAATATATATATATATATATATATAATCAGGACCAACCCAAAAACTGAAAACATTAAGTTTTTAAGTACAATTCCCAACCCCTTTTGTTTCATACTTGTCCTAGAACTGTTCGACTATCGTTGAAATGCAATCACGGCAACTGCTGAGGCGAAGCCAACATCGGCAGATTGCCTCGCTCTAGGCAAAAGAGTCTACCCGCGCAATGAAGCAAAATTCATATATGAATGTAGACAAAGGAAATAGTGACATTGGGTCTTCAAACAAGATTTTCAAAGGAGAAAAATATCTAGGGTACAGATACAGGTGTCCTGAATAACATCTAACAAAACAAGCAGAGGCCAGACCATACATAAGAGCGACTGATGAAGGGACGGCGACGTGACCAAACCTAATAAGGTTGGGGTCGATTATTCAAGGTTCTCTGGGCCGTCGATCCCTCACATTTTGCAATTCATATAGTCCGTTGTATCGTTCAGCGCCGGGAGACAGGGGGGCTGTACACAATCTTCCTTGTCTTGATTGGAGACCACTTGTAACGCTTAACCCAGACGCTGACGGCGAAGAGACCAGTAAGGAGGGCAATGGCCTTGACACCCATCTTCTTACGGTCGTCCATCTCAGGCTCGGCAGCCCAGTTGAGGAACTCAACAACGTCCTTAGCCATCTGGGAGGTGGTGGCAGGAGTGCCGTCCTCGTACTCCACAACACCATCGAAGAGGACACGACCCATGGCAATAGCTACAACGGAATTAGACCAATTTAATATTATGGGGAATTCGCCAAAACATACCGGTTCCAGGGAAGTAGGGGTTGAAGTTCATGCCCTCCTGGACAGTGGCACCAGCTGGGGGCTCATCAGGGTAACCAGTCAACAGACTGAAGATGTAGTTGCAGCCACCGTGACGGCCCTTGACGATCAAGCTAAGATCAGGGGGCAGAGCACCACCGTTGGCAGCACGGGCAGCCTCCTCGTTCTTGTAAGGAGCAGGGATGTAGTCCGACAGCTTTCCGGGACGCTTCTCGATCTCGCCCTGGTCGTTGGGCTCGGTGTCGTATTCGTTCTCCTCGGCCATGGCCTTCATCTCATCGACGGTGTGCATGACACCAACGAACGAACGCCAGGGAACACGGGTCAAGGAGTGGCAGGAAGCGCAGACTTCGCGGTAGACCTGGAAACCACGACGGAGGCTGAGAAAGAATATGTAAGCAAGAACTGCCTTTTGTTTAAAAAGGAGGGTCGATCCGATTCTAGTAGTACTCACGCCGCATGGTCGAAGGTCTTGTTCCACTTGGCGTGTTCCCAAGGGTAGTTGGTAGAGTGCAACCTTTAATTCAGATGTGTCAGTCATATCACGGTCTCGGCTGCTAGGATGACGATTCGGTCGGAGCAACGGAGAGGGATGGGTGTTCAAGCCCGACCAATATCGTAACCAATCCACTCACCCTTCCTCAGCAGGGGTCGATGCAAAAGCTTCCTGCCCATAGAGATAGGCGGCGGATCCGACGGCGACGGCGGTTGCGACGGACGCAGTGACTGTGAGGTGGAAGGGGGAGCTGGCGGATTCGGCACCGGCGGCGGAAGAAGACGCACGCTGGACAATTCATCAGTGGTGAGTCCTTGCAAAATCCTCCAGGACATATTCCAAAGCAATTGCCCTCTTATATTGAGCCCAATGGACGTCAGATGTCGGAGAAGTGCGTACCGTGGATGCTCTGTTCAAGGACTGCCGTGCGATACCCCGGAAGGGCACGCTGCGCGAGACAGTACGTGCCAGCATACTGATGATATTAAGAACCCTCTGATCAATGGATAATCAGGAAGCACAATAGCCAGGAAGAAGGAGAGGGGAGGGGGAGGGGGTCGTGGTGCGCACTGGAGAATGTGCTTTTGGAGGTGAAGTTGAGGTTCTCGGACGGTCAAGTTTCTCTTGGGTTTGGAATTGGCTAAACCCTCCCGCTGATTGGCTGGCACCACGGCTCTAACTGCCTTCGGTGAAAACCGCGACTTTTCGGAACAACAAAATTCGATCCATAAATCAGCAGCCACATGATGACAGCCAAACAATCCCGACAACTACAATGATACCATCATTTGTTCGGAATTCGTTCTCTCGTTCTAGTACTGCATTCTTAAAGATCTTAGTGGCACATGTCTTACGCCAATTGCTCGTATGAGAACCTCACACTCCCGTCCACTCCACGTCTTCTTCTTCTGTGTGGTCTCTCCTTCATTGTGCTTCCGCCTTGGCTTGAATTTCCGACGTAATCCCCATACGCAAAGCATGGACGGCCTCCCGAGTATTACATCGGGCACTCTTACTATACAACACTAAAGACAAAGCGGGTAGTCGTCGAACAGTCCTCCCACTAAGATTCTAATGAGGGTGTTAGAAGTGCTTTTTTGTAACGTATACCCAGTAATTATAGTGCAAGAAAGAAAGGAAAACGGAAACCGAGCATAACTTACCATGCTCTCCAATGCTGCGTCACTAAGCTGCTTGGGGACAGATTCCGGAAACATCTGATAATTGAGGAGCATCTCATCAAATGTGGGTAGCAGTAGAGTCTCCGTAGCCTGCTCCACATATTGCAGTGCAGTCTGGGGATTATCGGGGTTCACTTGAACGACATCAAACGAGGTTCCCTCGATGATCCCACATCGGCCCAATTCTTCCAGACATTCCTTGTAAATTCCGTATATAGCTCTGTTGGACAGATATGGCACGAACTGCTTGATATCGACTCGATCGAGGAAAGCTTGGTCCTACGAAATTGCGATGTACATCAGCTTTTCCAGCTCAGAATGTGCATTGCTCTGACGGAATGCTTACCAGAGCTGTGACCAAGTTGCTCGTACAAACTACAACAACATTGTCATGGGTCTTCAATCTATCCAAGCCTGTGAGAAGTGCATTGACCGCACGTACAGCGTCAAATGGTTCATTCCCACCCAGCGCTCTCTCTCTTCGAGCTGCTAGTGTTTCTATCTCATCGATGATCACACAGACAAAGGTATCTTCTTCCTCTTCGAGCAAGGACTCAATGTTCTCGAAGGTCTTACTTACCAGCTTCCCGCTTTCACCGAAGAACTTGCTACCAAGTGAGTGAGCGTTTATTTCAACAAGCTTACTCTGGGGATAATGTTTTCCGATGCGTATTGAAAGTTTCTGAGTGAGGCCACGGCTAAACTATCTCAGCTTCGAATAACCCGCGACTGCTTTGATTGGCCCACCAGAGGCTTGTTTTTCCTGTTCCTGGCGGTCCCCATAAAAGAATTAGTCTATTCCAGTTGATCGTCCATCTATTGAGTTTTCGAGACGAGTATGATACTAGAACGAGCAGTTAGCCAAAGCTGTTATCCCGCAAGCACTGTTAAAGTCGTCACCCATCCTGGTAATGGCACGAAGCAACATAGACTTAAGCGGCTGGTCAAACTGTAATCTGTGACACATCTGAGTTAATATCATGCGGACACCAAGTCATCAAATTTATCATACGACTCCCATAGTCCGTCCAGCTCTCTGCTTGGTAGGCTAAGTACCCTTGCTTTTGGATCTTCATCCTTGCTGTCCATGGATTCCTCCAAAGGCTGAGTGTGTTGAGAGCTTTCTTGCTCTAACGGTGCGCGAAGCTGATACGCTTGGACATCAAGTTCAACGTGTTGGAGTCTATATGCTCCGGTTTCCATATCTTCCCCCGAGCATTCGGTGACGACCACAGAGTCTATGACCTGAGCATGTGAATCGCTCAGGCCTTCTAATATACTATCAGTAACTGTGTTTAACCTTTTGCCTAGCGGAGGCACTCGTACCAAAGGAGGATATTTCCTGGCCGAGGCTGAGAACGACAAAATTGGCAACTAGCCATTTTGTGACCTCTTCCCTAATCTGCTGATTTAAGCCTCATAGCCCTTAAGTGATCAGGACAGGTACACCAGGGGTAATGTACCAGGTCAGTGCGAATGATGATACCATCTGCGTTGTTTTTGACACGCGCTTCGACATGTAGGACTGGCTGCTGAAAGACTTCCATCATGTATGGAAAGAAGCTAGCCAAAATTATGTTGTGTGGGATTTACCAGAGGGCAGGATAAAATCAGGAGAGAGGGAGTATGCACTGGAATAATATGGAGAAGAAATGTCGTTGGCTTGGGTCAATTGTAGTCATGGAAATTGTAGCTCAGTAGGCCTTTTCCCATGACATACCACAGTATACAACACCCCACCACCCAAGTCTCTCTCTATACGACTAGCAAAATGGTATTAGAACTTTGAGTTCATTCAATAGCAATGAGAACTAAGTTGACCTGCTTGAAGTTTCCGTGATATTTCTGAGAGCGTATACGGTGTGTATGCAAAGTCTGTCCACACTCACATGCAATTGATAAAGCAGCAAGCAGTATCCGCCGAAGCAGATGATAAAAAAGACTTCCCACCTTCCAAGTTACTACCATGCTATTCTCATTCTGGAAAGCCTACCAAATGGGCTTTCTGTAATCACCACATCAAGTTTCATCCTTCGAAAAGAGAGACGCATCACCACGGTTGCAAATTCATCTACTAAGTAGAGATGAATCTTCCTTGTTGCTAATTAAGCGCAGTTCGCATCTGTCATCATCATCACAATAGAATTTACTTTGCGCATTTCCTTCTGGGCGGCACCGGCCTCTAACAATTGTTCAAATTTGTATATACAAACCGGAACTCATATTGCCATAAGTGACTAATTAATATAGATCAAGAATTTCAGATCTGATCATTTGTTTAGACCCCTCGATCACGTGGAGTTGGTCCCTTCTCGCTGGTTCACCGGAAAGGGAAAGCCTCCGGCCGATCCACCATGGGACTCTCTGGGGTTCATATTAAGTGCCGCCATAGTCATCATGGCTGTGCAAGACATCAATGGTCCGTACATTGGACCTGTGCATTTTTTTTTAACAATGAGCCATTTTACCTATAAACATATATCCTAGTTGTTATTATTCAGAACGATAGGCTCAGCGCTTGCCCCAATCGTGTGCATTGCCCCGCGGAGCCAACTAGTCGGTGGGAACTGCTTTGGCCGTCCGAGCTTTCGGCAATACCCATTCGATCGAGAACCCAAGGATCTTTCCTCTCTTCCGATGCATAACTACAGAAGCCAAGATGCCGCCGAAAGTGAGCAATGGGACAGGAGTCGGTGGGAAACCACGCAGAGACGTGTTGGCTTCGGTCAGAATGGCCTCCATGGACGAAGTCTCCAGGGCTGCTCTCCCAGCTGGTACGCTCGATTTTGGCCGAAGGAAAAGCGATATACAGTATAACTAACGAGTAGCAGAGATTATGTCCTCAGTCCTAGACTATCTTTCCCCGGTCGACTTGATTCGAGTAGCACGATCGTCAAAACTTTTGCGCGAGATCGCTTACGATGACACAAGATGGGTGCAGTGGCTGAAACGCATGGGCTGCTGGAATGAACTGGATGCTAGGAAACACGTTGAAGAAACATTTGGGACCATTGCGGATGTTGAGAGCGTCAGGCAAAAAGAAGCTGCCGAGCAATCTCAGCGATCATCGCTCGTGAGCGCAGGCACAGAAAATAAACCTCAAATAAGTCTCAAATCACTGTCCGATGGTTTTGATCAAATAACGCTATCTACACCTGCTACCACTGGAAATGCGAACGAACTAGGAGACGATCCAGTCTTGGGGGCATTACAGCAGGTTAAATCAGTGCGCGGAGAAGCTCGCAATGAGTATGGCAAGATTCATGCTGCTCTTGCGCCTTTTTACAACGATATTGCTGTTTCAGGAGCTTCTCCAGACAGTCTGTTGTTTAAGAAATATACCGATCCACAGCACCAAGCTCAGATTCTATTTCAATTGCAAGCTTTCGCCAAATGTGACTTGACGGAGGGCTGGTGTGAGAGACTGTCACACCTGCAGGAAGCTATCTCACTGTTCGAAACGGCCGCTATCAAGGAATTCAGACACGGTTACGAAACCGAAGACATCGACAATAGAATGCGGCAATATGCCCACGTTCTCTACACGTTGAACGGCGGTGCTGCAGCTGTCGAGCTCTTCATTCACCATAACCATCTTGTTACACGAAGGTCAGATTACGGTAGGCCAGGGGACTGCATTGATACATCATCTCAACGCGTGAAGCTTGACCAGACGCAGGCATTTTTTACCCGTCTGAGTGTTGCTTACAATGAAGAAGTCGCAATCATCAATCGCGTCTTTCCCCCGTCGTTAAAGGTTGCATTGCCGTTCATTGCGAAAGTCGGCCAAGATGTGCTGTACCCATTTCTGACCGCAATCTTTGATGAATTGCACCGCATCAACATAGAATCTTACTTGACTGCCGTTTCGAGTACATTCGCCCAATGCATGAATCTCTCTGATACCCTGTTACCAATTCAAAGTTCGGCTGTTAATTTCGAAGAGTTTTTGGAGCATGTCATTGCTAAGGTATATGAGCCGCATATGGACTTATACCTTGCGGAGGAATTAGATTATTTCCGGAAATGCTCCGAGGCCGCAGTGGATGAATGGGATAGGCAGCTTTCTGAACAGGCTGCTTCGACAGAGTCATTTCTAATGTCAAATATAAATAGACAGGCCGATAAGAAGGACTTCCTGACTTCCTTCAAGAAAGTCATCATGGCCCCTGTCAATCTCCTTCCTAGCTTTTCAGGGACCAAAGCAAACGATTCAAGGTCTGACGAGGAGTCTTCTACTAGCGATACCTCGGCTTTGAAGTCCCAGAACCGATTTTCAACCATCTCCATGCCTGCCACTCCTGTAACCGAAGCCCCTACCACGGAACTAGCAGCCAAGGCAGCTATCATGAAATCGAAAATGGAAGGTATCCGTTCCCTTTTCAGCATCGAAGTCGCCTTGGGCCTCGTTCATGCTGCAAAGTCGGGTCTGGAGAGAGCTGCTCAATTTGTTCAGATTGGAGGGGACACAGGTGCCCTTACAAAGCAGCAATGCGAGGCGATATTTGTTGCCCTGGTACGCATTTTAGGGCATCGTCATCTTATCGTCGGCTTTGACAAAGCAGTCGACCATCTATCTAACTACCGACCTCGCGAACAAGGAGACCGCGATCAGTCGGGTGTTGAACCCTTAGTCACCTTCTTGGAGCTGGTGAATGTTGGTGATCTCATTCTCCAGATGGTCGATGTCTTTTATGAGCAAGAACTTATTGGCAAAAAGCTGACTGATCGTAATGATTTTGTTGACCCCGCAGTGAAAGAGAAGAAGAAGTTTGAGCAGAATCTCGATGAACGAGTTGCTGCAGGACTCAATAAAGGAATTGATGTTCTCATGGAAGAAGTAGACTACATTCTGGCAACACGACAATTAGCGACAGACTTCAACCCGAATGTGTCCACAGACCCGTACCGGCAGACTATGGATGTAAGCGTGTCTGAAGCGGCAGTTGCCGTTGTTGACGTGGTTTCCTCGCATACCCAAATGCTCGTTGGGAGTACCGACAAGAGCACACTTGACGTTTTTAACCAAGAGGTGGGGTTGCGTCTTTTTACTGCCCTATGCAAGCACTTGAAACGTCAAAGAATCAGCGTTGAGGGTTCCTTAAAACTCATCAGGTGAGGCTTCTGTTCTTAGGTCCTAATAGCATGGTCTCGCTGACATAGCCTAGCGATATGAACCACTACTTCAAATTTATCCAGAGATTCAAGAACAATGAGCTTCTTGTCTATTTCAAAGCTTTTCGCGAACTCTCTCAGATCTATCTAATCGACCCTTCGGACGCTAAGGAGCTCGCTACTATCATTGCGGACTCGGACCGGTTTCAGGGAATCTGGACGGTTGAAGATGTGTGCGAGTTCGCCGAACGACGAGCAGATTGGTATCAGGTGAAACGAGACGTGGAACGAGCCATGTATGGGATTGGGTGCAATATTATGTGATGAACGGGACTTTGGAAAATACCCACGGCATTACGACCTGTACATTTAAAGGAGAATACCCCCATTTTCGCGTTGCATATATACATCGGTGGGCAGCTGGGTGTTACTATAGGGCTCCGGAATGCCCGGAAACTACGATTTGAACGACACTATCTATTATATGGCCGATATATTTTCATCCTAGATGTAGACTTTATTTATTTTTATTTCAGTCTTTTTGTGTCACAAACGTGGTTTACTTTCTCTTGTAAATATTGGCGCCTGAAAAAAGCCTGACGTCAGTGGGCGGCTGTGGAAGCATTATTTGGTGACCAAACACCTCTCAGCCACTCGTTGCGCGAGTCTCCATCTCACCTGCAGCTACTTTTTCCTATAAAAAGGCTGGTTTGCAGGGGGTATGTGTCACTTCACCGTGGTCTTACCTGAGGTTATTTTTAGTGTTGGTCCAAATTCCCACAAGCAAATCAAGTACAGAGAGCATTTATGAATAAAGCACGTATCCAACGAATTAATCCGACACAGGTTCAGGTCTACCGGTCTATCCAATACTGCAAATAAGCCTGACAGTCATATTCCCCACCCTGATTGATCTGTCCAGTGGCTGTATAACTGAACCATTCCATAGTATACGACCAGTCATACTAGCACTACACCCCGCAACCAGCAAAAACAGCTTAGAAGACCGGAAGACCAACGGCCCTAAGAAAAGGAAAACTATAGAACCACAGAATGTTTACTATCCCCTCTTACAAGCACGCCAATCCTTTGCGATACATAACGCCATGTCTGGAAGTCATGCTCATCTTCATGCTCGCTAAACCGGCACACACCCAACAAACAATCCAGACAACAATCATTGTAACAGCAACGCCAATATCGCCGCATCCACCTTCCTACACATCCCCCGAGGTGTTCAGAGACACAATCCTCTCGTCGAGCAATACCTACCGGAAAGAGCATAACGCAAGCGATCTCGTTTGGAACGAGACCTTGACTCGGTATGCAAATGATTGGGCCGAGGGGTGTAAATGGAAACATTCTGTACGTTCTAGTTACTTTTCTGTGCTATTTGTTGGGTTGGGGTGTTGTACGAGGGAAATATAAATAGTTGGAAGGGTTGGTTGTACTTATGCGAAAGGTATATATATATATAGCACGGACCATACGGCGAGAACCTCGCCTTCGGATACCAGAACGCCTCGGCTGCGGTCTTTGCGTGGGGCGACGAACGTCGCATGTACGATTTTAAGAAACCGACCGGGTTCAGCGAGGAGACTGGGCATTTTACGCAGTTAGTTTGGAGGGCTACGACGGATGTTGGATGCGCGGCGATCGACTGCGGGTACGGCAACGGCACTGATGATCACGAGAAGAGCGGGGATACGGGTTCCTATAGTAGGGCTCAGGGGTGGTATGTTGTTTGTGAGTATTCGCCGCCTGGGAATGTGATGGGGACTAGTAGGACTGCTGGCGGTGAGAATGGGCTCTTCAAGGTGAATGTGCAGTCGGCGAGTACGTATTCTGGACCGTATCCGACGGACTCTGGAAGCCCTCCTACTAGTACGGGTGGGGTAAGTGGTGCGGATCGCATGTTTGGAACCTGTGGGTGGATTTGGGGCTGGGTTGGGGTACTGATTTGGATGGTGATGGGTTAGGAGGGGGTGATATTGTAGTATAATCAATGATATAGAAGAATTGTTTCTTTGCAGACACGGCCCGATGAAAATTTATACAAGAACATCTTACTAGTACTTCGTTAGCCTTGCACATGCCGGCTTATGGTGGTCATCTCTCATGCTACCAATTGTTGCGCACATGACACTCTCCGGTTGGGAGATACGCAATACACATCTATTCACTTTTTGAAGTTCCAAACGTCCTTGGGCTGGAACAAAGCCAAACGGATCACAGAAACAAGCTCACAGGAGGCGAAGCGGGCGGCGCTTCGAAGAAGAGGGTGAGGATATCGACAGGCAAGATGTAGAAATGAGGAAAATAAAATAGAAAGTGACATTAGATACGAAAGACATGACCCAATCAACCGATAACTTCCTCGTTCTCCTCCACAATCTCTTCCACAATCTCTTCGACAACGGTCTCGCCCTGGTCTTCGGAGACGGAGGGAGCATCCTTGGCAACCTTGGCGTCGTCTGCATTTTCGGGGATACCGTAGGCATCCTTCTCCTCGGCCGCGAGCTCCTTCTCCCGGCGGATCCAGGCAACCCACTCGTTGAGAACGCGCTTGCGCTTCTCGACAACAGCGGTGTTGGCAATGTCGACAGCATACTTGTCTTCCTCGTCGAACTCCTTGGAGTACTCACGGAGATTCTTGCGCACTTGTTTCTGCTCCTCCTTGCTAAGAAGAGTGGGTGGGCGAGGACGCCAGACGAACTGCTTGAATTTTTCGGTAGGGTTCTCAGCGAGGGTCTGACCGGCGAAAGTGTGAAGGTTCCAGCCGTTTTCCATCTAGTAAGAAGATATTAGTAGCAAATTCTTAGCTAACCTTGGCACGATGCATTGGGCTTACCGAATGAGTCCACACACTAGCACTGCTAACAACGTAACGACCTGTAGGATCCCAGTCGATATCTGTGACACCGTAGTGCTCCACGGTCTTCATCAATTGAAGGTTGGCGGCCAGATCCTTCTCGCCCTCAGCCTTCTCACCCTCAAAGTCCATATCCCAGAAGTCCAAATCAAAGTTCGACTGAGAGTGAACGGTGGCCACAACGACGAAACGGCCCTTGGGGGACCAGTAGATAGCGTTGCTCGTCTTCTTCTCGATTGTGCGCACAAGCTTGAAGTTACCGGCCTGGGGGCCCTTCTTTTCAGGAGCGAAGAAAGATACAGCAGTCTTGGGGAGAACAGCAGCACCGCTAGGGGCTTCACCCGTAGTGATCAGGACAAAACGTCCACCGTTGGGCTCCCATGCAAAGTTGATCACAGTGTCTTTGAGACTGTCCACAACTTCAACAGGAACACCCTTCTCGCGCACTCGGAAAATCTCAAGGTTGGTAGCCATTGACTTCTTGGACTTGGAGTGACGATCCACCTTGACACAGACGTAGGTACCTTGAGACTGCCAGTGCAACTTCACATCAGAGACGTTGAACAGGTTACGGGTTCGTACAATCTCCTTAGATGGAACGCTCATCAAGGCGACTCTTGCGGGGTTGCTGCCAATTTCAGGAGTCCAGAAGGAGAGGAGTTGTTCGTATTGCTTGACGCCCTCACGGCTGACTGTTGCTGGCGACCATTCGAAGTCCATGACACCATCAATCTTAACGGAAGTCTTACCCAGCAAGTTCATCCGAGGCAGCTCGTAGATAGAGATAGACTGGCCCTGGAGCATTCTTGCGACGTACTTCTCATCAGCGGACCACTTGAAAGCGGGCCACTGCACCTTCTTCTTCGGGGCAGCATCACCTTCAGCAGGGCCGGCAGCGAGATCATGGGAAACGAAGGAACGCAGAGGCTTTCCAGAGACGATATCCCAGACGATAATGTTCTTTCCATCCTCTTCGAAAGACAAGACAGGGTGACCCTCTTCAACCTGGATGGGGCGGGAAGACCAGGTAGTCAAGTAGTTCTCACCTGGCGAGAACTCGACGAGCTGAACAAACGGATGGGGGAACTGCTTCTGTTTCGAGAAAGCAGGGCCGCCCCAGAGCTGCACACCCTGGGGATGGACGGATGCAAGATATGTACCCTTGGGAGACCACTGGACGAAGAGCTGTGTCCAATGAGCACGATCGACAACGTTCTCTGGTGGATTGTTCTTGTTGTTCCAGAACACGCCAACCTTGTCATTGCGGTAGAGGGCGAACTGGTCACGGGCGTTGGGGTCGGACAGCCATGAGCGGAGGTGCTCCTTCTCCTTGAAAGGTTCGACAGTTGGGGGCTTATATTCCTCATCGATGCGTCCTTCGCGACCATAGCGATCAATATCCATCAACTTGTTCACGGCAAGGGTGTGCTTCTTGTCGAGAGGTGTTCCGTGCAGCTGCTTGACTGCGGCAATGGCTTGTTCGGGGGTTTCATATTCGACGAAGGCGAAACTGCACAAACGAAAAATTAAACCTTTCCTTCGTTCATTTCCAGTATTTCCCCGGTACGTACCCTTCGGACATATTCTTGTCGTTGGTTGGCATGAAAACGGCATCTTCGGAGGTGTGGCCGACCGCGTTAAGTTTCCTCAGCAAGAACTTGATAAGCTTCTGCCTGCTTTCTTCCGGCACGATCGGGAGTCCATCGATGACGATAAATGTATCCAAACCCTCCTCGAGCTTCACTTCAAACTGCTCCTTGAGATCTAAAATCGGAAAAGCGGTATTAGCGAAGAGGGGCACGGGACCTAGAAAGAGACAAATGATAAAGAGTCGCACTCACCGGAGAAGTCAATCTCCTCTTCCTCCTCTTCGTGGAGATCCTGCTCGGTCAGGGTATCGAAACTGGGCGCCATGATTGCTGGGGGCGTTTCGAGGGCGATGGGTGGAGAGTAATCGAGGGTGAGAGAGCCGCTCTGATTTTCTGCTGGTCGTCCCCGTTTTGCTTGGTTTTAGGGCAAAAAGAACAAATCCCAACCACAGCCGCTTCTGTGTGCGAAGGCGCTGACTCAGCCGTGTCTACTCTCACGTGACGGCCCGACCGACCCCAGTCGCCCGCATGGCCTCCAGTGTTAGTAAACCTTACTTTACCGTAACCGACCGTACGGCCTGCCTTGACATACAGTTGGAGATCCATAACAGGTCGCGATCCTCGAACACAATTCGTCCCAGATTGCTTTAATTTTGCGGGTGCAAGGTGCTGGTCGTTGTGGGCCGGCCATCTCCATTGTTTCCTTTTGTTTTTATCTGATCTACCTTGTGTTCCTGTTCTGTTACACCTTTTATTGGAGATTCCCTTCCTTCTTATGCCCCGCCGGTCCTAAGCGCCAGCGCTACGCCCAGATCTGGACGATCGATCTCCAACAGTACGATTCACTACCTCTCCTCCTGCTG